AAAAGAGCGGCGCGAGAACAGGACCGGCAGTTGAAGAAAGCGTCGACAGGTGAGGTGAGGTTGGAAACCTAGAACGAGGGGGGATCTGACGAGATTTTGGATCTGGGGAAAGGCAGCAGGACCTTGGGAGAAGACAAGCCAGGTCCAGCGGCCCAGGGCAAGATTGCATCCACGGCACACTCCCAGCGCAGGTGGAGATCAAGTCAGGCAGGCCAGCATCTCGCTGTCAAACCGCCGAAGAGGGGCGTGTGCCTAAGACCCCGAGACATCCCGGAATTGGGGTTCATCATTGGCTGTGACCCCTTTCCCTGGACTCGTTCGGCCCCACATGAGTCCGTGCATCGACAGCAGTCACCACTCTTCATTGGTCAGGACCTGCGTGAGAGCTTCAGGTGGGGGACAGTGGGGTGTGCACGCAACAAATGAACAGGGGATGAAGAAGAAATTTTGGAAACGGAAACAGACGAAAACGACTGGTCAGTGCCTCGAGCTGTGCGAGGGGAAACTGCTGCCCGTTGCCATGACCTCGAACCAGCACCTCCTTGCCTGTGTCGACCTGGAACAGTCTCATACGGATCCATGACATGCAACTTTTGCGCTTTAATTGTGTGCACACTTTGTGTTCCCGACCGAGTGGAAAGAAAGAGACAATGGGGGCGACAAGTCAGCCCAGCTTCAGAAGAGAATGGCACACGCTACCTTACGAAGCCTACGCTAGTTTCAACACTTCGTCCGCCGCCCTGAAAGTGATGGTTTCCATGGCGCAGATGCAGGAGCTGCGAGGGCAGAAACAGAACATGTCACGGCACACTGCACGGTATGCATGAAGCTGTAACCCTCTTCCGCTGCCCATTGCCCCCTTTTCAGCCTATCTGCCGCTGAATTCGGAAGGAAACTCTGGAGCGGTTGGTTAGAAGAGGACAAGATCCGGCATCCGGCACTCACCATTCGGCATTGGTTTTGATGTTTGCGCATCCTCCCCCACTGTGCCCTGGATCAGCTTCATGATACAACTCTCCAGCCAAATCCTCCCATTGGCACTTCACGTCACTACTAGAAGAACTCCGAGACATGTTCAGGGTCCAGAACAGAAGACGACGGAATACAACCCCCCTTTTTCTGAAGCGTATCCTGAGTGCAGATTGGTCGCTGCTATCGTGGCACTGGACGATTGTCTCCGGCAGTCTTCCGCAACTGCCCCACCATCTTCAACCACCCAAAAGATCCAAGACTCCAACTCGATCAACGCTTTGCATCGGCGCTATGAAAAGACAAAAGCAAACCAAGCAGCAACACCTATCCTTCTCCTTTACTCTGCGCCGCCAAAATCCCTCCTTCGAGTCTCTGTCACCGGGCGGCAAAAGAGTGCGGGGGAAAGGGGGCAGGGAAGATGCACACCCCCGCATCTTGGTCACCATGGATGGATGGCGTCAATCCTGGTTGGAATTCCCGAAGGCAAACGAATGAGGCCTGCAGACGATCGTGGGGTGATCTCTGTGGCCAGCACGGCGGACAAGTGCATCCAGTGACGGTGTGCGGACATGGACGCAGAGCCTCAAACGAATTCACGGTCGGACAACAAAGAAATGGTCCCAATTTCAACTTGCCAATGGTGATAGCATCTGTTCCCGATTGGACCGGCCAAGCGAGCCCGTTTTGGCGCCTCCCGCCCATTCGTTTCCCTCCGCACGATGTGACGAGGCCATCGAGAGGGTTGCAGAGCGGACAGACCTCACCCGACCTCGGACAACAGAGAAATAACAGTCTGGAAATGCTACGGCCGGTCGGGCCCTCGGCAGTGAGCCGGGCATCCTCGGCCAGGCACAAAAGCAGCCCCAAAGATGGCCGTCATGAGGAGCATCACCAAAATCTGCCAAGGGGCAGTTCAGGAGCCACTGGCTGTCAGAAGTCAAAAAGTGTTCCAACCTTCGACAAGCGTTCTCGCTGCTTCCCGCCTTCTCCCCCCTGATGGCTATATTCACGCCCCCTCCCCCCCTGGCCGTTAACCGCGCACATCCGTCCCACCATCACGGGTCCGTCAATGCTTCCGCGATCCAATAGAACGGCTGTTCCTGACGCTTAACCTCATTGGGGCTGGCCCCGCGGGGACGCAACCTCCACTCCCACGAGAGCCCCCTGGATTTTTCAGTACCCCTGGGCCTGTGAGTGATGCAAAAGATCGCAATCGATTCATCATCTGGCTTCATCCTGAGATCCGACAGAAGAACAAGAGCCAAAAGAAAGGGCAAGCTTGCGCAGTCTGCAGGGGCAATAGGGGTGCAAGTCAACAAAATGCAGAGACATCAAAGCGCATGTCTCGCGATCTCGCTGGAGCTGAATGAAGAACAAACAGCTCCATCCTGCGACAAGGACATTCTTTCGAACACTGCCGATCGCCCCCCCTCCCCGCCCCCCCCCCCAACCAAGGGATGGTAAAAGAAACCATTTGCTACCTGCACAAGACCCAACAGTAGGTATCACGGTTTCTCAGCATCGCACTTGTTACAATGCAAGGCACTGGCTGGGCCTCCGCGGTGCCGTCGGAGGGCTTTGACTGGCAGCACAAAGCCTCGCCTTCGGCGCCGACAGAAGGAATTTCGAAAAACACGCCGACATGGCTGACTTGTTCCACCACCACCACCACCAAAAGATCCAGCAATCAACTTCTGCGCCGCCTTTGCTTCTTCTCATTACCCAACAAGCTGAAAATGTAAATTTCCTCTCCACTCAGGGCCGAAGCCCCAGAGCTGAGAAATGCAAAAAAAAGTGAACAAAACTCCACTGTGCGCAATATCGGACACCGCCGTGATCGCTCGGCAATGTCGTCGTCGTCATTATGACCGGCACATCGTTGAAATCGTCGATTGCTTTCCAAGGTTTGCAATGCCGGGTGTTGGGAATTAGCTCCTGATCAAGGCTGAAACCAGTGGGAATTCCCCTCGTGGCACTTGTGGTTGCTGGACAATTTTCCCGTTGCCTTGGAACGATTTCCGGGTCGCGGTGGGGAGAGAGATGATAGCGGATCCTCGGAAGTACCAGAAGAGGGAAGGGATCTTCCGCGATTTAGTTCGCACTACCGGGGGCAATATCCGGAGAAGTGTTCTGGACTCGGGCCTTTGGAACGACGGGGAGATGTCGGCTTGGAGACAATTTTCCTCACAGAATTTCCGGTGAGTTCTACCAAGGATTGATCATCAACACCCTTCCTCCCTCCGTTCCCGTCCTCGGACCCGGGTTGCACACCTCACCTTGGAGGTCCATTGTCCCACGGGGGAGCGAGGCACGACGGCCGTGCTCCGTTCCACGGCATCATACACACCAACACCTGACTCTGTCTTGCCAGTACATACCTCGTTGCGTGATGGGATTACAAGGCTAGGGGTTCGACATTCCAATTGTGTGACAGGCAATTTCTTCAAGCGCACCACTATCAGCCAGAGAATGCGCTGATATGTTCCTATACCCCGGGACGCGCCTTGCGCGAGGTATTTCTCTATACGCCGACGTGTCTTCTCCCCCCCCCCCCCATGCGGGGTAATATCGATATTTGTGCCTGACCAGAAGTGAGGGGAGAATGACGGGATTGCGCAGACGCGAGGAAGATGGGCAAAAGCTTAACATTACCATTGGCATTGTGTTGCAGATGCACCTCAACGGCGTCAACCGCTTCCCGCTCGGTAAACTCACCTTGATCAGGCGAGCCTCGCGATGCTTCGGCGTTCTCGTATTCTACACCGAGGCTACTTTCCACCACCTGTGATACAGAGTACAAAGAAGGGTGAGCAACCCTCCTGTGTATTTCCCCCCATCTTTCCAGCCCCGGGAGGGGATGATATTGGGAGCTCGCCTTGCCGGCCGAGACAATGAATAGTAACCCGGATAATTCTCATCAAGTGGTGGTGGTCAAACCGGCTGGTGATGGCTCAAGGGTGGTTGTGCATTTTGTGGCTGGGCCTTTCGGGAATTGGACCACGGCGCCGCGGAGGAAGGGCGGGACGGAGCGAGATGCGATAGGGTAGGTCGGTAGGTCCTCTGCGGGATGGCGGTTGGATTAACCCGGTTTTGAGGTGTTTTGAAGATTGGTCCTTATTTCAAGGGGCTCGCTCATTTGCCACTCTTTTCATTCTGTGACCAGGATTTATTGGATTGAGGCCAGAAAAATAAAAGCGAGGCAAGCGCCTGGATAATTCTTGTGGTGGCGGTGATGGTCATGATCGATTGGATGGGGGCGACTGGGGATCACTTTATCGCGATAAGATGTTGCTTGGGTGTATGTGCTGCCACGATGCAATTCTGCTTTTGTCCCGACGGGCAGTTGCATCGTGTGTGCCGTTGGGCTGAGAGAGGGACCTGCTCGATGGGGGATGGTTTGGTGTCACATGAAGCTATATTGAAGCTGCAAATAAAGCATGGGCATACCTTGCTTCTTCATGACTCACCTGTGAGGGATGATCCTGAGTGTGAACTTGGAGGTACTAGGCAGCATGAAACATCGGTTATTACCTTGGGTGTGGCGGTATCCAAATGAGGGGAGCTTTCGACTCCATGGGATACATCACTCTGATGAGGTCTTGGAACAAAGAAAGATGGGATGGTTGATGATGGATGACACCCCTCGACAGTTGAGGTTTGGGTGCTGATGGATGCCCTGCTGGTGACCCAGCGCACCGGGACCGACCCCGCCATGGCCACACCGCGGCCCGGGCCTTGCAGCAAACAACCCATGTGCAGCTCTCAACAAACGACAGGCGGTCAGAAAGATCTCACTCTCACAAAAAGAAGGACTTTTTGTCATACAACATCCATTTCATCTCACTCCTCTCACTCGTTCATCATCCGTCAGGCTGTCTTGGTGACCCTGCTTCTCACTGCCGCTATCTGCCCGGCTGCTCTCGGTACCAGCCTAACGAACCGCCACCCAGCTTTGTGACATGCATTGATAGCCGCATACCACTACCATCTTAGCCCGACAACTCACCACACACATCATCCTGCCCATCATGAAGTGTCTCGAGAACATTGGCCGCTATGCCAGCTTCTGGGGCCCAAACCCACGATCTGCAGGCGGAGGAAGTGCAGTTGGCAAGACCCCAAAGTGGAAGCTCAGCACCAAGAAAGCCGCCATCTCGGTGCTGTCAGCCATTCAAACCCTCGCCAACCCGCACACATCTCGAAATCATCAAAAGCCTATCCTCATCGAGCAAGAGCACAGGGATGAGTTTGTACCATACAAGGCCCCTTCAGAACTGCCATTCTATGGCCGCAGTCCACCGGTTTATCCTGCCCGTATGTCTTGCCCCTATTCTATGATATCAGCCCTATTATGATCGACCACACATACCTAAAGCTACATCCAATGTAACCCAACACTACAAACCAACCCACTCGTACCGCAACCTTTGATCACCGGGGCACAACTTTCTCAAAACAATATATTTTTCTCGTACTAACATTACTATCCCTACCAAGCAACCGCCAACGGCACCACCCCCCTCTGGTTCCACCCCCACCACCTCGCCTCCCTCCTTGTCTCCAACCTTACCCTCCAAGAAAAACTCAACCTCACCATCGGCCATGCGGGCCCATGCGTGGGTAACACCGCCCCAATCCCCAGACTATCCATCCCCTCCCTCTGCATAGCCGATGGCCCTGCCTCTCTCCGCGGCCAGGAATATGTCTCCGCCTTTCCCGCGGGTGTCCATCTCGCCGCGACCTTTGACACAGATCTCATGTCCCTTTATGGCCGCGCCTTAGGTAGGGAGTTTCACAACCGCGGTGTGAACATTGCTCTTGGTCCCGTCGCCGGGCCCATAGGCAGGATAATCAAAGGGGGGAGGAGCTGGGAAGGGGGAGGACCAGACCCCTATCTGGCGGGAAAGTTATTTGGGAAGGTGACAAGAGCTATGCAAGAGCAGGGTGTGGTAGCGGTGGGGAAACACTGGGTGGGAAATGAGCAGGAGACGAGGAGGAGGTGGGATTGGGATAATGGACGGCATGCTGTTAGTACCGAGGTTGATGATAGGACGTTGCATGAGGTGTATGTTTGGCCTTTTATGGAGGGGTTGAAGGAGGGGATGGGGGGGGTGATGTGTAGTTACCAGCGGGTTAACCACTCGTATGGGTGTCAGAATTCCAAGTTGATCAATGGGGTGTTGAAGCAAGAGTTGGGGTTTGAGGGGTTTGTGGTTAGTGATTGGGATGGGCAGGTCAGTGGGGTGGGGAGTGCGAATGCGGGGTTGGATTTGGTGATGCCGGGGAAGGGGTTTTGGGGGAGCAGTTTGGGGGAGGCGGTGAGGAATGGGAGTGTGAGTGAGGAGAGGGTGGATGATATGGCGAGGAGGGTGTTGGCGGGGTGGTATCTGCTGGGCCAGGATAGGGGATATCCGGAGAGGGCGATATGGGGGAATTTGGAGAGGCATGGGGCGGTGGATGTGATGGAGGATCATGGGGGGTTGATTAGAGAGGTTGGGGCGGCGGGGACGGTGGTGGTGAAGAATGAGAAGGGGACGTTGCCGTTGGGGAGGAAGCGGAGGTTTGTTTGCGTTTTTGGGTATGATGCTCAGGTGAAGGCCAGTCCGTGGACGAACAGGGATCGGTATGGGGGTGGGTATGAGGAGAATTATGGGTGGGAGACGTTTAATGGGACCTTGATTACTGGGGGTGGATCGGGGAGTACCACACCGCCGTATGTGGTCAGCCCGTTTGAGGCGATTCAGCATCGAGTACGGAAAGAAGGGGGCATTCTTCGCTGGGACTTTTGGTCTGGCAACCCCACGCCATACCTCAACGCAGACGCCTGCACAGTCTTCATCAACTCTTACGCATCCGAGTCATTCGACAGAAAGAACCTGACCGACAAATTCAGCGACGACCTCGTGCTCAACGTAGCCAGCTGGTGCAGCAACACCATCGTCATCGTCCACTCCACCGGCATCCGCTTAGTCGAAGCATTCATCACCCACCCCAACGTAACAGCCGTCGTCATGGCCGGCCTACCAGGTCAAGAATCCGGCAACAGTCTGGTTGACATTCTCTGGGGCGACGTCAACCCATCCGGCCGCCTGCCATACACCATTGCCAAATCAGAGCAAGACTACGGCGCTGTCCTCGATCCAGCAGGAGCAGAAGACGAAGATTTTCCCGAAGATGACTTTTCCAGAGAGGGTGTCTTGCTCGATTACCGAGCCTTTGACAGAGATGGCATCACACCCAGATTCGAATTCGGGTTTGGATTGAGCTACACCTCATTCTCGTATTCATCCTTGCATACCACTGCCAAACCCCGTGTCGATACCAACATGGGGGAGTGGCCCGAGAAAAACAAGGAAATCGTTCAAGGCGGACATCCAGACTTGTGGGATGTAGTGGCGGTAATGACATGTCACATCACCAATACTGGCGATCTGCACGGAGCAGAGGTTGCGCAGCTTTATCTCGGTGTGCCGAATTTTGAAAAGGACGGGAAGACACCGGTTAGACAGCTGAGAGGGTTCAAGAAGGTAGGACCTCTTGCGCCGGGGGAGACAAGACAGGTGATCTTTGAGTTGACAAGAAGGGACTTGAGTGTGTGGGATGTCGTCAAGCAGCAGTGGAGGATGAGGAGGGGAGAGTACAAGGTTCAGATCGGGGCGAGCAGTCGGGATTTGAGGTTGGAGACGGCGATCATTCTGGAATAGATGGACTTCAGAGGATGTAAGGCGCCAATAATGGCTTGATAGATGAAATGGCGATTTGGACAACTTTTAACACCATGGTGTGATGGATGTAGTGAGCAACCTCGTATGCACATTCCTCAACATCCCAATATCACGATCAATGTGGTAATGTTGGGAGGCAGACACATGCTTAAAGCTGTCGATCATGATTGTCTGAATCAGCGCCGGACCTGACTCTTCCATGTTTTCGGACTCTCCAGAAACCTCGAACCATTACGGGTACCTCAGCCATGATTTAACACACGTCGGATCTAACCCGTACGTTCCATCCATCCGTATACGTCGACACCCCAGCCACCCACTGCTGCTTTATTGTGCATCTATCCAGCACCCACTCCGCTCCATCTGCAATCGAGTTCCACTCAACCTCTTTCTCGTACTTGTTCTACAAAAATTATAGATTTGTCAGCCACCGTCACAAAGACCAAACGCTCCCAAGCTATCAGTGAGGACGAACGACTTACATCGTTGCAAAACCAAATAGCCGCATTCCAATTGCAGCTCACCCTCCCGCAGTTGCCCGGTCCGGGCCTGTTCTTTGCCATCCCCGACACCCGTCGGAGGTAATCAATGCCTTGGGCAATCTCCCTTGACCAGGTCAAGGAAACTCTATCGGTCAGGCATCCGTAGCTCTCCGGCTCGTCGGTCAAGACGGAGGCCTTTGACGATGTGGTGATACCCATGCCAACGAGCTGGGCGTGAAAGCTGGTGTTCCAGCCGGGGTGGGAGGCTTCCATCTGGGCAATGGCGTCCTGGACTGTCCTGGTGACGGTGACTCTGGTGCTGGTATCGGGGGCGGAGGGGTCAATGGGGGAGGTCCCACTGGATGGGAACGATCTTGTAGCCCGAGAAGCCGCCGGAGCTGCTGTTGCTGCTGCTGTTGTTGATGGGGGGGGAAGGCCAGAAGACGGGGGAGCTGTAGATGGTCTGTAGGATTGTATTAGTGGCTTCTCCGTTGAGAGGTAAGGTTGTTGAGGGGGTAGATCCTACGCAGGTGAAGGTCAGTAGACTGGCGAGCATGGCGGGAATGGACAACATCTTGTCGGTCTTGGCTTGGAGCCTGTGTGGGTTGTTTGGTTCAAGCTGCGGTGGGAGCTTTGAAAAGCGTTTGGCAGGCTTCTGATAGATGCTTAGAACAGCCGGTTAGTGTGGGGAAGATCAGAAATTTCGGTGAATCCTCAGGCGGAGCAAGTGAATGGCTCTAGATAAAGGAGCTGGGAGCCTCTCTTTCTCTGCCAGCTCCACAGATGAGCGATATGCTACCCTGGTCCCCACAATTTCGGCCGCAACTGCTCATTAGAAAGTCGGTCGTAGTTGCCATCCAATATCTTATTCAGGGCTAATTTTTCAGCTCCTTGCACGTGCCTTGGAGTACTCAGCAGTCGCCGCCTACTTGTTCAACAATGTCGGCCTGTTGCCACCTTTCTGGCAAGCCCAACAGCACCATAATCACTTGATCAACTTGTCTTTGAAGCTGTAATGGCAAGTATACAGAGCTGTGATCACGGATGTATAAAGTTGGGATTACATAAGTACATACCTAGCTGGGACTATGGTTGGAAAAGGTGTGATGACTTTCACATAGGACTGCCCCTCGGGACAACCAGTAACAAATTCCCGGATTCAATAGCTATTCCTCATCAATCCACTTCCCGGGTTGACGGCAACTGAACTTTCAGAAACCCCGTCTCTTGTCGCTGGTTCAAGCTTGCTTATTGACCGGGTCTGTGGGTGATTGGAATATCAAACACAAAGATCTGCGGCTCGTTATGCAACATCAACCCCGTTTTCTGAGACAGTCTCACCCGTGCCGTACTCCCGCCTCCTGTCAGCGATTTCCCGCCTGCCCAACACTAAAACAACAAGCTTAAATTTCACGATTGGAAGGATTGAGGGGTTTCCTGTTCCGATCTTGGGTGACGGCACAGTTCACACCCAATGCTGTGTGCCTGTGTCATTCGAAGCCCGAGAGGAGACACGCGCGACAAAATGCAGACGGCATTTTCAAACCCCACCCCTGATAGAGTATCTCTCCGGTTTTGAGTTCTGTTCATACACTACCCGAGCACCACCTCCCCCCAGGGATGATGTGGACGGGAGATGTTTTTCATTTTGCTCTCTCCTTCTACCCACACACTCGTTCGATCATGACACGACACCGTATGATTTGGTGACCATCTCGCGCGCGCAACTTGACAACACAACGCCCTGGCCGGCGACAACATAAGGCTACCTTATTATTCACATAATTACTCACACACAACATGGACGCCCCAGAAGCAGTCGGGCCACCGGTCAAGTCCCTCTCTCACATCTTCCGCCGGAACCAACTCAGGATTCAATCCCCCGGCCCTTGGAGTCCGAAGAAATGGCCGCCAAAGAGCCCCTTGGGGATGTACGAGTTCTCAACGACATCAGCTGGAGACAAAGAGGAAGGCATCAGCGAATTCACCACCAAAGGTGGGAAAGACAAGGACAACAACACCGGACCAACAATATGGGGCTTTCGTCGACCAACCTTCTTCCTGAGTGTAGCACTAGCGGTGGTGAGTCTCATCGCCATAATCGTCGGCGGAGTAGCAGGGACAACAGCAGTGGCCAACGCACGGAGGTACCTCTTCCCCCAGCCTTTCTCTCCTATTAACGAGCCACTAACCACCAACCACAGTGAATCTTCCCTCTGTCCCCTCCCCACAACAGTAACCATCACCTCTCCTCCCTCCCCAACCCAAACCACCGGCCCCGAAGCCATCACCGTCCCCCGCCTCGGCCTTCTGGATTTCGACTGCGGCCGCATAGCCATCTCTCGGCAGATCATCACCCTGGGCACAAACAGCTGGTCGTTCGACGTGAACTGCATGATGGACTTCAAAGGAGTAGGCGTGGATTTGACAGGGATGACAAGCTACACCTTTGAAGACTGCATAAAGGCTTGCGCGATCTACAACAACATAGCACGGAACAACACGTGTGTTGGGGTGGGGTTTAGTGCAAACCTGACGACGATATTACCCAAGGTGGGAGGAAATTGCTGGTTGAAGGGGTATTTACCGGAGATGAGCCCCGAGATGAACTTGGGGGCTGTGGCGGTGGTGGTTAGTGGGCCTAAGTTTATGGTTGAGGGGTGATGGGGAGGATAGTAACTTGAACGGGGAGAATGGGCAGAGGGAAAGCATGCAAAACTTGCAATTTGGCGAGGTGTATGCCGATCGTGAACGACGACGATGACGGCGAAGAGAGGTAATACCCAGTGCGGTGTGGTCGCAGGTTGGACCCGGGCGTTTTTTTTCTTGTACGTAAGTGGTTGGACAGGTAATGAATGATATGTAATTAATCACATTTCTCTCTCTTGTAATGATGATGATGATGATGATGATGATGATGTTTATGATGATGATGATGATGATGATGATGATGATGTTGTTGTTGTTGTTGTTGTTGTTATTGTTGTTGTTGTCTCACTGTTGGGAAAATTGTGCAAGTGTTGATATAAAAAAAAAGTCGAAAGAAAAGGAAAAAAAAGGTAGTTATAAAGGGATCGAACCCACTACCTGAAGCGAAGAGCTCTAATGGTGGTCTCCGGACTTTCATACTGATGGTCAGCCAGTGTGGATTCAGATACTGATCACTGAGCTACTAAATCAATGAATCTAGCTACGTTAGCTACTTCGCTGGTTGCTTGGAGCAGACTTGGGGTATATATAGGCCCACTGTCTTGCCATCACGGGGTTACTCCTCGACAAATGTTGCCGGGTGATGACCGGCATGACGACGGCTGTGGGCATGCTGGCCAGTGGCTACTCAAATCTCAACACGTGCTGGGCGTTTCCTGATCAACCAAATCCTTGGTGCTTTCCTGTTTCCTACCTGAGTGGACTATGGATCCATAGCCTTTCCATACTAGGTAGGCATATCACCAACCACGGTCACTGTAGCAGGTCGAGCTGCCAAGATTGGAGAAGACTGAGATTAACGACAGTAAACTACTGCAATAATGTAGCTAGCAAGAACCCAACAACAACGAAGCGAAGCGTAAACGACAGATATGACACCCAGCATCATCAACTCTGCAAAGCGACCCCCCATCCCCAACCAGCCCCCAAGCCGTCTCCTTCGATTTCCACCAGCAAAGCATGTATTACATATTATCCACCGCACTTCTCAACCCCATCATAGCAACCTCTCTCTTCCAGCCACAAGCTTCTGGCACCACCTTACCAGATAATAAGCGCCAACAAAGCCCCAGCCACAGTCCCCAAAATAGTGTGCAGCAGCGCCTTAACCACAATCACCAACCCCAGCACAACCTTATCAAGAGCCTTGATCAACCCAACAAGAGCCAACAACAACGGAGTCAGAATCTGGAGGACGCAAGCTATTTCCCTTGTTAGCATCACTTCCCCCCCTCTTCTGGTCCAGCTGGGAAAGCTTACCCAACCCAAGCTTGATAATCACCAACTTGATCGTGCAAGCAATCTCCCAAACCAAGAGCTCAATCTTGACAAGGAGACACTCCTTAGCGCAGGACTTATTCGGGCCGTCCTTGCCGCCGCCGTGGCCACCATCCTTGTCATCGCCGCCGGTGCGGGCAAAGATAACAGTGTCCTCCCATGCGCGCTTGGCAAGGAGGGTGGTGGCCGAGGTGAGAGCGCTGGTGATGGCGTTGAAGTCGGGGGCGAGGGCGGCGGCGGCGGCGTTTTGCTGGTCGACGGAGGGGTTGTCTTGGACCGCGGCGGTGGTGGAGTCTGGTGAAGTGGTCAATGTCAGCAAGGGGTGGAACGTGAAGGTGAAAGGCGTGGCGTACTAATGTTGCCGGTATGGGTCTGCACAAGAGCAAGCAGAGTGTCGAGCTGATCAGCCTGGCTCTCGAGCTGGCGGGGAGAGAGCTGGCTCTCCGCCACGACGGGCCCTGCGAGGGACGAGGTGGCCAGGGCAAGGAGGGAGAAGATGGCGGTCTTCATTTTTCGTGTTTGGTTTGGGTCTTTGGGAAAGATCAAGTTTGAGTTTTGCTGGTTGGTGAGATCAGGAGAGAGGCTGGTGCTGCTGGTGCTTGCTACTGCTGGTGAGAAGAATGGTGTCCAAAACGAGGAGATGAAGCCTCTATTTATCGTCGTCGTCGGACTTGATCGCGCGGTTGTCTTCCACAGAGACCTCCATCGAAACAGTATGTTCGATAGAGTCTCTGATCTCGAGGCAGCAGAGCCCATGTCTCCAGTTTCTGCTTGCGACGCTATTCCAAGTTTTCTTCGTGAAGGGATCGAGATGTTGGTTGTGGCAAGGTCCTAGTTGCATCTCGGAGGTCTCTACTTTTGGCAGAGATGATGTCAACTGGCATGAGAATAAAGTAGCTCGTGCTTCGAGGTTGGACTTCTCTTGGTGGCTCTGGCCTTCACGATAGCTTCAGCACACCCGCTCATGTACTTGGCAAGAATAGGAAAGAGTCGTGCTGATCATAGATAACCCAGTAAATGAACATATAGTAGGTACCAACTCACCACAAAGTAACCAGATAGTCAGAATCAGGCACTATGTTATGTTGTTCGGGCGTCCATTGGCTCAAGCCATGCCATGAAGTGAAGGCAAACAGGTTTCCCAATGTGCAGACTCCTATATGCCGCGGTAGACAAATATGCCGCGGCTGCTGGCCCTTATGATCAGACATCCACGGATGTGGTGTTCAGCCGCCAAGAGGGAGGTCCTGTTCGGCCAGAGACAAGAGAAAATTTCCCATTGGTGCCCCTTTTCACCGTCTCTTTGATGGAACGTTGAGAAAACCAGCGAACTCAATATCCCGGCCCCTCTACCTACATCCTGTCGAGGTCTCAGTTATTGAGTGATGCAACGCAATGATGTCAAGAGAAAACATTAGGCCTGAAGAGCGCTGCTGAAATCTGGATAGGTGGTCCATTCTCCGACTATGAAGCCTGATTCTCCTGCCAGATCCAACCGCAATCCATGTCGATTTTTATTTTCCGATAAAGCATAGAAGTGATTTGAACAAACCCAACAGCTAGAGGTGGTCGCATGGGATACCAGAAAATCATTCGTGCGGGAAATATCTGTTCCTGATCAACATGAAAATCAACGAGAAAACCTGGGTAGCAGCCACACCGTTCCGCTGCGAACTGACATAGCACAGAGATCTCGCCAGGGCCGGCCGGAAAAGGAGGGCACAGGGGTGGAGAGCCTGCCGGACTGCACGGAAGAGAAGCGCTGCTAGACACGTCAATATGATTACGGAAGAGACCTCCTGTTCTCCCCGGGAACGTATAAGTGATCGGGACGGAGAGGGGTGGTGGCTGATGTGACGTTCGCGGGGCTGATTTACCCAGGGCGGCAGGCAGATTGACAGGCACATAACGTGACAACTTGCGGGGAGGATGGATCGTCAGGGTATGATCGTGCGCATCGATTCATATAGGCGTCCCGAAATAAAAAAACACCAGCCCAAGCTTGTGGGACGGGAAGGACCACTCCATTGTCGCGGCGGATATCATTTCGGACTATGTCGCCAGCGAGTGAAGGGCTCATGGTAGCTGACCGGGAGATTTGATACCAACCTCACGTTGAATGCGAGACTGCTGAAGAGAATGTCGAAGGAGGTTTGGCGGCAAGTGAAGCCAGAATACCGGCTGAGGAGTTGGTTCATATATGGGGCATGTTGTGGCACCGGAGATTCTCATCTCCCATGCAAGTCGGTGTCCTTTTGCTCTGCTGGAGGGTGACACTTCTCTAGCGAGCCCTGGGGCCGTGTTGTTGCTGCATTTGTCCCAAACCAGAGCAGATCAGCGCATCGTCCGATGGTAAAAGTGAAGCATTACGCCAAACACTTCCGACAGCACTGTAAATGTGTCTCGTTGACAGGCGGAATTGAGCGGAGAAGCGCTATGTTACGCCGCCATCATCATCTAAGCACAAGCGGCGGATATCATGGGCAACACTGAGGGCGATAGAATATATATGACGATGCCCAGCAGAATACGTGACCTGTCGACTGTGTCAGAGAGGAGAGCTGTTGCTCGATGGGATCGCGCAGAAGGGGAGAAAATCCCCGCGGTGTTCACAAACTTCAGTAATTAGCTGGTGACATCCAAGAACGGTTTCCGGTAATGGTTGAAGCTATCACCTACTTCTCTGTGACGAGCGAGCACGGGCCTGAAAGACTCGTCTTGATGAGTTCAGGCGCCGTGAGGGGGAGGGCGGGATGATGTCCCTAGGGGTGGGAGACTTACAGAAGAAACCCCTCCAGAGGTCGGTGGAGACTCTGGGTCAGTGTCTCCGGCTCGGAAGTTGTCAAGTCCCGTGTGTGTCACTTTGGGCAAGAAGGGAGACGTGTCGACTGTGAAGTAGAGGAAGGAACGGCTCTGGGACGACCGACTTTGGAAACATGCAACTTCTTTGACAGTGTGGTCGACGTGGGGGTCTGACCACAGTTACTGTGATCAAAAAGGATGTCAGCTCTGCACAACGGAATGTCTGTCATTGTTCCAAGAGCAGATAAAGTTGGCTCATATTTTACTTATCTTGACCTATTGAACAATTTTACCCCCGCATTCTCTCCCTTACTTGGCTTGGTCTGCTCTGTCGGGTCCAGACGCGCCTCGTCTTTCTCAGGAAAGGTACGCGACTGCTGATAAGTCAACACGCTAGGAACTTGGAACAAGCAGACTGGAAATTGCCTACATTTTTGCTAACGTTGCTTGCCCGCCAGATGCTGGCTACCCTGGAATGCCAGGTGGTCGGTATCAGTCCGTCTCTCTTGCGACGGCTGCACGGCTCAGGGAATTCACTCTTTGGAATGGAGGAAAAAACAAGTGGCACAAATCACCAAGACGCGTTGCCTCAAAGTTATAACGAGTCGATCATCACAGATTGCGCCATCATGTTCGTTGCCTCACCACCACGCTCCTTACACCACATTCGTTTTACTCGCCCTTAAGGTCATGCGCCAATTCTCGCCACCTGAATCTCTTGCGGTTTCACCAACAACGGGTTCATACCCCAACATCATGCCCATGATGGCCAACAAGAACATGAAGCCCGCCGCCATGAAGTCGATGATGGCTACCCCCGTCACCTACATCCCACCACTTTGCGATGGCGCCTGCGGTACCACCCCTCGATCTCAGCAGCCAATGTGGTCAATGATGTGGCAGGAAATAATGCAGATGATGCGAATGATGCCCAACATGTGCTGGGCCATGCTCACCCAGCGCAAGCATATGTCCTGGGCCGACATGGGAGACATGATGATACACACCATGCTCACGTGCATGGAGATGTGCATGATGGTTATGGCTGTCCCGCTCTGGATGATGATGCCTGGTGCCATGTTCGCCATGTGGATGTGCACCTGTGCCTTGATGGTCATGGGCATGTGCTGGATGCTCAACGGCAGAGAGCAGATGCACATGTGCCCCATGGAGTCTGAGGGTTGGATGATGGGCCCGGAGATGGACAATGAGAAGTGGATGTTCATGGGCGGGATGGGTATGAGGTTTGTCCTCTCATTCTTTGCCTGGTGTGTTTAGAGACCACAACTAACCGACACAAGCTCTCGCCACTGCCATCAGCAAGCCCTTCCTATGCTCTCTCGCATGTTTAACCGTCCCATGATGTGCATCTGCATGCCCACCTGGGGTATGCCTTTCGACATGATGTGCATGATGCTCCAGCGTTGCATGGTGATGCCCAGCCAAGTCCGCAGAAACCTCTACGCCCAGATGCGCACTGCTCTCCTCGACGACTCTATGCACCGCTGCGTCGTCCTTTGCCACAACGATAGTGCCGTCCTCGTCTCCCAGGCCATGGCTCAGCTCTGCTCCGACCTGCCCGCTGAGAAGATGTGCAAGCTCGAGATCTACTCCTTCGGTGCCGCTGCCTGCGAGTTCATGATGCCCCGTGGTGAATCCACCATGGATAGCGAGCCTGCCCACCACCAGTCAATGGACATGATGATGAATGACCGCAAGGGAGTTCACATGGAGCACTTCGCCATGACGACTGATCCTTTCGCTCAAATGGGTGTTCTTGAGAGCGTGCGCCAAAACATGAGCGGTCGTTTCTGCGGTGGCGTCTTCATCATGGACAACAAGAAGGCTATGTCTATGGGCAAGATGAGCCAAGACGCCATGAACATGCAGATGATGTGCTCCGGCCTGATGATGGAGGACTACATGATGATGATGTTCTCTGCCCAAATGTCGATGGGTGCTTCCTCGGGCACTCCTAGCTGCATGGACAGCAACATGATGATCGATCGCGACTGCGCCGAGAAACGGGAGATTGCTGCCATGTCCAACTACTATGCCGCCTCTCAGACCAAGAAGGGTAGCAAGCGTTTGAGCTGGACTGGCCTTGCTGCCACCGCTGGTCAGAAGAACGGTGTCAGCGCCGGCATGATCGGTCTTGAGCAGGCTCGCAAAGGATGTAAGGGTTGCAATGGCCACAAGGCTCGTGAAGTCAGCTGGCTGTCGCGCTATGTGTCCATGGGCCATATGATGGACAAGAACATGTCGGAGGGCAACATGGCTCGCTCTCCATGAGCCACTGGAGATAACATCTATTGATCTTCTTGTATACCTACATCCTGTATTGTGCTGAAGGGGGTAATGTGGAGAGATTTTGAAAGGTTCTCACAGATTCCCTATCATTTGTTGTTTTATACCAAGCTGATGGAAGTGATTGAGGGATTGTCATCGACAAGTAAATTTCATGAAAATGCGAACACGATATATGAAACAGAATCCGTGATTAGATGGTAGTCCACCCTTTCTCGAGGTTCAAGGCAACCAGCTGAAGGTAGACACAGAACAGGGGGTTTCCCGGGATCTTTGCTGATACTCGGTCTTCGTGTTGCATCCCGGTGTATCACAACAGATGTATCGGGAGGTCGACTACCTTCATTGTATCACCTGTTCATTGGGTCTGATTCTTTTTTTGGAGCGCCACTTCAATCTCTGGGAGCTTTTCGGAGCTTTTTTCGCGGGATGATACGGGGCCTAGACCGTGACAGGGATAGAAGTCAGCATTCAATATCTTCTTCCTCTCTGCTGGTCTGGCTGTGAAGAGCTTCACTGCCATGCTGTTGTGTATTGCTGAGCGCCGAGCCAAAGATGGACCCAGATTTAACCAATATTAAACCCAGTCCCACCAGGCAATCTGTTCTACCGCTCTTTGCTCTTTTTCCTTCTGGGTAGCTCCAAGATGGACGTCGCTATCCCATTTGGTGTGCCAGGGGGAGTCTCGTTTATTATCTTTTGGGTACTATATACATCGCTTGCACGGGCCGACCGCTTCACCAACCCACCGTATGAGTCGCAAGATCTGCAAGAACACTATGTCATCGGGCAAAAGATCCAGGTCACCTAGGTAGCGGCTGGGCTCCGGAAAATCACGCTCGAAGTTCGGCAGTGGACGCAGAAGAGGGATGGTGATGTTATTGGCATTCTAGCTCGTGAGTACCTACCACTCATAAAAGCCCATGATGATGGCAGGAGAAAGTCTTTTGACCTTTCAGCTTTCAGAAGACGCACAGAACCAACAGACGCTCCAGTGGGTCATCGGAGAGGGTGACAGCATCGACAGCAAAGTCATTGCCAACAACCCACGCTTCGTGCTGGTTATTACTGATCCGCCCCCCGGTAACCATGCCGATATCATGATCGAAAAGTACGGTTACGAGAATGGCTCGCTTTGGAGCCGGGCGTTTATCTTGGAGGACGTAGCCCAAACATCCCTGATGACATCGGCGACGTCAACAGAGACATTTTCGACGTTGACACAACCGACGATATCCAGTACAGTCTTCCCGACGTCTAATCCCTCTACCCCAGTCAACAACGGCGATCTGCCTCACACAGCGAAGATCGGTATCGGCGTTGGAGTTGGGCTTGGGTCCCTGCTGCTGATAACTTTGTCTGTTCTTCTGACAAGATTTGTCTTGAAGCGGCGGGGCAGAGACAGCAAGGCGGATTTCGCCAGCGGTCCGAATGAGGAAATGGTTCATGATGTTGGCAAACCACCGCTTTACTCAAGCCCTTTCGTTGTGCACAGCGTTAATGGTCATAGCAACGCGGCTGAGTTGGCTACTCAGCCTACGTCGGTGGAGGCGGGGAACTGAAATCGGGTATCTTGAAGGGTGACGGTCGAATCAATGGTCGCGTTTTTGGGTTTTGGTGACATGTAACACATAGGGGTTGGAAGGCTGTAGCTAGGTATACACCCAAATAATACACAGACTAAGTGGGATTTGTCGAGGAGAAGAGCGAACAACCCAGGGGCGGTAAAGCCTGTCAGTCGAAAGGGTACAGGTATGCAGTGCTGTCATGTCGAGTCCCTTGATGGAAAGACCAATTTGATAGCCCGCTGAGCCACACGGCACATGTGCCCACTTCAAAGTGTGACAAGTGTCAGAAAGTCGCCAAAATGTGCGACCTGTTCAAAAACTCTTATTGGACTCTGTCATCATACACACATTGTGTCACAACTTTCCATCACTTGTTTGATCCCTTGCGCCTACACGTGTGCCGTTGTACAGGTCCTTCCAACAGGTCTTCAGAAGCAAAGAGGGAGGGTTTTACAACCTACCTTATATTGTCGGAGCCCGCGTCGGTGAACTTGATCGCTCCGTCATCCGGTTCTTCTCTTTTCCCTATATCCTCGAAGTAAACCCTTTATGTTTCCAAAAAAAGTCATGAGAGTCCGGCTCTTCAAACCAATTCAACAGGCGGGTAGCCTGGCATTTCTAGTGCAGCATGTGGTGTCGGCTGTTGAACCACTGGGCGTGACCTGGATCAATCCACCTTTCGATGATTTGACTGGGATTTCGCAACGCTTTGCTCTCGGCAGTAATATTCTTATTGAATGGAGCGTTGGGATGGCATACTCCGATTCCTTGACGATTGAAATTTGGCACTTACGACCTGGACCTTGGGACTCAGGATCGGACCTGATTGGCACTTTGCTCAGTACGTCATTGTTGACCAGAACCGGTGTTCAAACTGTCGCTGAAAGTTTACGTTGGTAGAGGACATCTACTATTCATCCGACCTTCTCGTCCAGGAGTGGTGGGACATCGGGGACCATGACAATATCAACAACTCAATTCTCCTCGACAGCCGGGAATTTAGACTTCGGCTCCGTCGATCTAACGACCCGAACTGGAAAAGTGACAGTGGAATGTTTTATATCCAAGACAATCCACACCCAGATGCATCTTCCATGACGCCTACGACATCCACAATAGGGACAGTCACAGCGCCGGAAACATTGGCAAACGAGGCTCTTGACAGCAGCAACGAACTTTCCCAGACTGCGAAAACAGGAATTAGGGTAGGAGTCGGACTTGGCTCTGCTGTACTCATTGTACTGGCAATCTTGACAACTAGGCTTTCCATGATCCGGCAGAATAAAACTAAGCAGGCGGACATCTCTGGCGAGGATGTCGAGACTCATGATGTCGCTAAACTCACCAACACTATCCTTGTTTCGTTACCAACACATGAACTGCGGCTAACAAGAGCCCAGCCCATGAGCTGGTCGCGAACAAATATTACCCAGCACATGAGCTTGCTGGAAAGAAATACGAGAACCTGGTGGTTGAGTTGCCGGCTGAGCCAAGTGCTCAAGAGGGGGAAGGGAAACCTGGGTCTGAGCCTCCCAGGTCAAGCACTGAGGGAAATGATTGCAGTAAATGGCCGGCCACACTCTTTTTGTGGTGTCAACTTCACTTTCAAACACTGTTGTCAACTGGAGAATGGGGCTAGGCTAGGTATTGATGTAATGAATATGTTTTCAAGCTGGAATGCAAAGTTACTGCAAGAGAGAGGCTTGCCGGATTTAGGTAATAACATTTCTTCAAAAGGCAAGATATCTGGCCTTTAGGCCGTAGGAAGAGTATATGTATGTGGAATTGCTAAGGTACTATTGCCTAATCAATCTAGACAGATACCTACGGAAATAGGTAGATACCATCCAAGTGCCCGGTTGAGATTATGTTGTCCGAGCCTTCATTATCTGCTACCCAAGCTTTACTCAGACACGTCCCAGCTTTGAAAGGCCAGGAAGCTAGGTAACGGTCAGGTACAATGAAGGAAAGCCGAATAGTTTCGGTCCAACATTCGGTTCAGTGATGCACAGCATCAATTCTACAGGCACCCAACAGTGGTTTCGCCACATCAAGGCATCCGGCAATGCAGGCATGGCCTTTATTGCCGGATTCCAGAATGGCCTGCGGTTTTAAACCACAGATATGTAATATGTCTCTAGTTTGCAACCCCTAGCGTTCTGTGGCACAGAATTACTACAGCAAACCTGGAACCCGCCCTTAACTTGTATCTCTCAGCATGACTGTCTTTGCTGGCACTGTCACCAGCGAGCAAGCCGTTGCAGCCTTTGCTCCCCAAGTCAAAGGACGCACCTTCGTCATCACTGGCGCCGGCCAACCCAGTATCGGGAGCTCAATCGCCATCGAACTCGCCAAAGCATCACCAGCTCACCTTCTGATCGCCTCCCGCACCGCTGAAAACGTCCACCCGGTGATCACAGCCATCCGGAAACAAGACCCATCAATCAAAGCTACATTTATCCAACTCGACCTCTCCAACCATGACTCAGTCCGCCGCGCGGCACAGGAAATCCTGACAGCTACTAAATCCAAAATCGACGTCCTCATCAACAGCGCCGGAAACATGGCCCTCAAGAAATACACCCTCGACAAGCAAGGCATAGAAATGCAAATGTCCGTCAACCACGTCGGACACTTCCTCCTGACGAACCTTCTCACCCCCGCCCTTCTCACCGGTGCCAAGAGCCCCTACGGAGCCCGCGTCATCAACCTCACCAGCGTAGGGTACCAAATCTCCCCTGTCCGCTTTGACGACGTCTCCTTCTCCAACGGCAAAACCTACGACATCTGGACAGGTTACGGCCAGGCCAAGACAGCGCAGATCCTGTTTGCGTATGGTTTGACAGACCGGCTGAAGGACCACGGTGTGGTGGCTTTTGCTTGCCACCCGGGGTCTAATCTTGATACTAAACTTGGGTCACACTTGGTGATGGATGATTACAGTGATGTTTTGCCCACCACCAAGCGCAACACAGGTCAGGAGTTTAGCTTCACTGTTGGGGATGAGCCGCGGTTCAAGACGTATGAGCAGATTGGTGCTACGCCTCTTATTGCTGCGCTGGATCCGGATTTGGCAGGGCGAGGGCCGGCGTACTTGCAGAATGGGGAGGTTGTGGAACCTGTTGCGAGACATGCGGTGTATGATAAGGGGGAGGTGGATAGGTGCTGGAGGCTGACTGAGGAGTTGGTTGGGCAGAAGTTTGAGTATTAAGTCTAGGGGAGAATGAGATAGCCCATGGGAAAGCGGTGGAAAATCATCGTTGTGGCAGGCTGAAGGCGCGTTGTTTGTGGACATCCACTCTTCTTTATGTGTGTGAGGTCGATTATCTCTGAATCAGTCACAATCAATCCCCCTGGTTCTTGACGTATGCTACAATACACTTGTAATTCGCAAAATCATCTCGTCTTTGGCAACTGGGACGCTGGAAAGGGGGGCCAGCCTTGGAATTAGCGGCTTGGTACAAGTGATTCAGGGGCTCAGGGTTCAGGGAGTCCAAGGACGATAATTCTATTAAGCAGTCTAAGTTTCAAACACAAATTGCTTTTCCTGTAGCACTGTAAAATCATACCACACAACAGTGTTTTGGTGGCAATACGGAACAACCCATCTGTGCACCTTCTTTTCTGACCACAATCCTCGACAGATTCAACTTGAAGCCCAGGACTGACTTCTGGTCGCCCAATGCTCACGTTCTTCTCCCACACCCGCTCATAGAACCACAGCGGCGGTGTTGACATTGGCTTTGGTGTTCTGGACGAAGTAGTTTTGAGTCAGCTCTTGTGTCTCATGACTTCTCCCCAGACTGCCTTCAAGTGCTTGCTTACCTTGAAGAAAACCGACGAAATTAAACTGGCTGCAGCAGCGACGTAAACACAGATGAAAGTCTTATTCCAGGACTGGACAATAATCTCGAGGGCGCGTGATCGTTGCTCGAGTGACAATGACTCAAAGACCTGGTTGCTAGCTCCAGCAACGACATGCGACAACTCCTCGACGGGAATCTGTGGTAGCGCATCATGAAGTCCGCTTGTTGCTGTGTTGATGAATACGGCACCACTGATGGAGAGACCAAACGTGATGCCCGTCAGTTGCCCTACAATAATGTCAGTCATGAAGGGCAAAGTAATCAGAAAGGTTTGTATGATGATGAAGCTTACCAACGAGCATGAGGGCGAGCCCAGAGGGTGCGTCTTTGGGGGCGACAACTGACTGAACGACGGCAAATGCATTTTGTGCATAGGCGCCAATTCCAAAGGCCAAGAACAGCTCGATGACATAAAAGGCACCAACCGGTGTGCCCCCATTGATGTAGTGGGCTAGATGTCGCGTTAGACACCAAAGCCTTGGTCAAAGGAACGTCACAGATGGCTGGAACTTACCCATGAGTGCAGCTGTGATAAGAGTCAAAGCACTTCCTCCCACGAACCAAGGTTTATACCAACCCCATCTGCTTATCAGGTGTCCACTCACGGGCATTATCGTGATAAGCGCGAGGATGAACGGCAGCAGTCGAAGAGCCGTATAGATTGCTGAGTCTCCCTTGGAAAACTGGAAGTAGATGGGAATCCAGTATGTAGACATGTAGCAAGCCGCAGAGCCGCCAGCGCAGGCAATGAAAAGCAATACCGGCATCTTCTGCTTCAGCATGGGCACAGGAAACAGACGTTTATGCTCCGTCGTGAAGAGACAAAACGACTGCTGGAGAGCGAATGCGATCCAAAGAACACCACTGACGACGAATAATGCGACGATCGAGCCACTGTTCCAGGGGAATTGCACTCCGCCTAGATTGATAGCCATGACGATGGTTGCCATGGCGCCAATGCTGATGATGACGCCAACCCAGTCCATGAGAGCGAGCTTTTCAGACTGCTTTTTATTCGGCAACGGGTTGGCCGAGGGGATGACGATGAGATAAGTTGGCAGAAGGATAGCCCCGAAAAGGAGATTGATGTAGAACCCCCATCGCCAGTTGTACAACGAGAAGGCGCCTCCGACAGCTGGACCACAAACGGTTCCTACGCCCCAGGTGCCTCCGCTAAATGCGCCAGTCGACCATATCAATATGGATGATAGCAAATAAGGCCATTGAGCAGCGCATACTTACACGTAGCTAAGGTATGTGGGACGCTCCTTATCCGTAGTATGCATAGACATGAGCACCTGAAGACCGACATACATCCCGTTCCCACCGGCACCGGCCATGACACGACCAATGATTTCAGCATCAATGTTTGGTGCTGCGCCGCAAAGTGCCGATCCGGCGAGGAAGAAGACAAAAGATATGATGTAAACCCATTTGGAATCATACATTGTGTAAAGTCTTCCGAATGGGAGGATAGTTGCCATCCCCCCGATCATGAATCTGTCGTTTTTGGGGTACCATCAGCCTTCGGATCAGGAAATGGTGCCGGAAATCGGACTCGTGCTTACCCGACGGACAGCCATGGTAGCTTGTCAACTCCGTTGAGATCGTTAACAACGACCTTTTCACGATCACGAGTCAGTAGGGGGTGGTTTATGGGAACACAATGGTGAAATGTGTACCGGAATGATGTTGGCAACGATAGTGTTGTCCAACGAGTAGACGAAGATAGCCGTCAAGGTGCTGATAACAAAAGCTGCCCACTGCCCAATTGTCAGTACGGTGACGTCTTGCCAGCAGCTGCGACCAGGGTCATGTAGGTAAACACACGCGGGCACCGGTTATTTTTCGTTGCGGCTCATCTTCTGCAGTCAAAGCTTGCTGAGGGGACGAGGAACGAGACGGGGAGGATTTCTCCACTTTCTCCATATCTCTCCCATCACCCAAAGCAGCAATTTCCGTGTTGTTGGCGGGAGTTGGATCGTCCATGAGGTGTGGTAGGGTAGGGAGACGGATAGTGGCAAGTCGAAACGAACGGCGAGCTGATTGGGACTTCACCTTTCCTTGTTAAGGAACGACGCGTAGTAATCATGCATAGAAAGAAGCGGTGAACCACCAACACAAAGGCATCAGGGGCCACAAAGCAGGAAATGGAAACTGTTTCTGATTTATGTTGGCTTCAAGGGCCGAAAAATCTCGGCTGAGGCTGCGATGGCAGGATGCTATCTTCTGCCAGTAAGGCTTCATGGTCTGCAAGATTAGGTGAGTGATATGAGTGTTGGTCTGAGCAGAGGGCCAATCGCTTCTCAAGGATATTACTCTGTTGCATCTCATTCAACGAAATTGGCAAGGAATGGGACGATCTCTGACAGAGCAAAACAAAGTTCCAGTCGTTCGCAACAAGGCAAGTAGCCCTAAAGTCCGAAACGCAAATTGTCCATTATTAATCCGGACATAAGGGATTCCCGACATGTAACGACAGATAAAGAACTGAACCCGGACCCAGATAAGGATTTCGATTGACAGCTCAGTGCTAAGTGGTTCCTCGATATGTGATTACTCGCAACATGTAATAAGGGATAGCTTTTAGGTTCATTAATCTTCGATAACTATGACTGCTCAATGGTAGGCATGGACCAGCAAAGCGCGCAGGTAACGACCGAAGTACTGACCACCACCTTTTGTTTGCATGTTGTTTATGTGTGTATGGACCTTGCATAACCTTCTGTAGCCCTTCCACGGGCATCCATGAGTAGGTAACACCCAAGGACTGAGTAGAAGGCCCGAGCATTCAAGGGGGCGAAGCCATAATATATTATGTCGGTAAATATTCAGCTGCTGAAGACCACGGGACGATCGACAAGAACCCGGGCGAATCGCAGTCAGGGTCCCGGTGGATGGCAAGCTGACATGCATAATTGCTCATACAATCACTATAGTATCACACAGTACGGGTAAGTGCTGACCTACCTAACTACAACATTATCAGGGTACATGTCCGGCGAACTGAATACCCATGTGGGAAGTAAACTGCGCGCCGATGGCAGGCTATTGTTCAGATATGCAACACTTGATCCTTATGAAAAGTTCTCTCTGATAACCGATAAGGTGCGATTCTCAAAGAGCTATGTCGTGGCATGTGGAGTCGTGATACGCTGTGCTACCTTCGGACCCGGACTAAATCAGGATACCGCACCACATCAACTTGAGCCCTATGCAGATTGTCGGTGGCGAGCGCATGGGCATGGCACAGCTAAGCTTCTTTCTGTTCCATGCGGCTGTTTGAAGGGGACTGTGGTTTTGGATCGAGATCGTCGAATGAGTTGGGTATCCTGTGGGCTCAACCAAAAGGAATCCGTCTGCGGACCTTGTCTAAACTAGGCAATTCTCCGGACAAGAACGGCAGGATGACCCCCACATAGGTAGAATATTGGTTCCGTTGACATAGGTACAAAGCGTACTGATGACTGATGGCCGGCATGGGATAAACAGGGCAAGGTTTCCACTGATAGGAATCCGTGCCAGCCCAATGAGTGGCATTACACTGACGCGCCATCTCGGGGACAGAACTAGAGACCTCGGACTGCAGCGTAGGGTCAAGGGCCCAAACATCAATGGAAACTTCTTTGAACTATCCTCAAGTCACTCTCATCTGACGCAAAAGGCCTGTGGACTGTGCTTACCTAGGTAGAGCATGCTGCCTATTTTGGGGGGCTTTTCATCAACCACGGAATTTTCCATTCTTCCGACGACGAACACGTGTTTGAGCTTTTTGTTCCGCACTTTGCAGTAAGGGCTGTGTGGATGAGGCGTAGTCCAGTCGGAAGCCGGATATCGAAACACTCAGTATTCTGGCGGTGGCGCGAAGCGGGCCTTCCCTTTACCGTTCAACGGCTCCCAATTCCGGTACTTGGAGGGCTGATGATGCAATACAATATGCGGCATGCGGGATCACGTATCGGGATACGCAAGACGATGAAGAAATGCAGCTTCAATTGGTGGTGCTTAGTGGTACTCAGGATTGATCGTTGCCAACGTACAGCTCCACACAGCTATCCCACAATGCGGCTCAGAGGCGTGGGATATCTTCTCCCACTTGACAAAGTCGGCTCTGCTCGCACTTAAAGTGAATAGGTAGCCCACGAGTGGATGCTGGGGAAACCGAGTCTGGACCTTGGTGAAGTTGATACCTCTTTCAGCACCCTGAACGCCGAATCGATAATGCAATCAAGCCAGAGAAAACGGGTGGTTTCATCATGTATCCCTTGTTACACCAGGAAACAGAAGGTTGGTTGCAATTGCACATACCAGGGAATCTTGGCATCACGTCCCTCACTGACATGCTATCCCGTCACAGTGCAACCGGCAGTATCCATGTAACCATTGCAGCCGCCGTCGACGCCCCGAACAATGCGCCTACAACCCTTCTCAAGCTACATTACCACCCAGTCCACCCCAAACCCAGAAGGACCACCTTCATGATGACGAAATTCAAACAGATGATAGCCAACAGGAGGCTCAGGCTGAAAGGAGGCCCTCTGCTTCATCTTCAGTCCAGGACACGATCAACTGGGGGGGTCTCAAAGAGGGGAGAGAACCGACATCCCTTGCGGAGGTTTTCGGGTATTTTGAGAATAGCAAATCCAACACGATTGCTTTGGTGAGAAAGGTAAGTTGCGTCCGAGTCAGACGTCTTTTCTCACGCTTACCACGCCTCACAGCTAGGGGCAGATGACGATGCAACGGGGCACAGCAGCGAGCCCGCGCCAGTGCCAGAAGAAACGGCGATCATAGCCCAAAGGCTGTTCGCTTCAATGCCTAATCGGTCCATCCTCGACTTTCTGGTACGGTATTTCATCGCGGAGGTTAGCTGGTAAGTTCTGCCGATGCAATTTGTCCAACCACGTTACCTATTCAACAAAAGAGTAGCTGACAAGGCTTCAACCCAGGATGGATCAGCTCATATATCCGCCTTGGTTTCTTTCACATTATCAGAAATGGTGGGAAATGGAGCGGACATCGACTGCCTACGGTATCGAGTTTGCAGTGCTGGTTCTCAGGATATGTTCCTATGCCTCTCAGTTCCTCCCTTCGCCGACCTGTACTATCGACAGCATCAGGGGAGTGCCGCTGGCTGACATCCGTAAGTCCTGTGATAGAGTGGCCGATGCACTCACACCAATCTGCTCACGCCTCGACGCACGCGGGTCTCTTATACGGGTTCAGCACGTCGCTTTTGCTGGGCTGAGGTCCCTGTGCCAGGGCCGAACAAATGCGCACTGGGAAGCGCTAAGTTGCGCTGTTCGAGTAGCACAGAGGATTGGGCTGCATGTTGATGCCACATCAGGTTTTTACAGCCCCAACATGGACGAGCTCGAAAAGGAAATGAGACGGAGGACATTTTGCAATCTTTATGTCTGGGACAGTGTGCTATCTAAACGTCTGGATCAAATCCCTTTCTTACCAGACGCACTGAACCCTGACACCATGCCTCGAATGCACCTTGTGCTTGGCCTCGACGACGTCCCTCAAGCTGATGCTCCTGACCTGTTCACCGAGCGCGTGCTCGAGGCACAGCTAGCCAACTTCTGGCGGACTCATGGTTCCGGGAACGCGACTGAATACGACCCCATTGCTGCAGAGGAACGATACGAGAAGTTCTGCAGCGAGTTTCTTCCCGAAATACCACCTGTCTTTGCTCTCTACCCTGACACATGCGACAAGTGGGATGCCCGTCTTCCAACCTTACCGTTACAGCGTCAGATGTTTCATATGGCCATCTTGGAGTCGCTTTGCCACAACTTCCGCCCTGCGCTATTTCAGGAGCCCAACTCGATTCAGCAACTCCCAGCCTACAAGCAGATATTGCTCTCATCCCACAAGCGAGCGCTGGCCGTCATAGCACTAAACTTACTTGAAGGTGTCTCTGCCCTCCATCTGATGATGGGTGGCTCACACACACGCCATGCGAGTCTCATCATCCCAACCTTTGAGGCTGCAGTGGTCCTTTTGTGTCTCTGCTCCGACGGAAACTTCCCACCAAAAGCAGAGACCACACTCCGAAGGGGGTCCACTACCAGCATGACTAAGTCCTCAGATCCCTTCGGAGTAGGCGTCACTGACGTTGCTAAGGACGAGTGCATCCAGGCTGTAAGGAGTGCGCTGGGCCGACTACAAACTCTTGCCGATATGAACCACATGGCTGAGGTGGGCGCAAGAACGCTCACACGCCTTCTTGGAAAGTTAGAGAAGATCAGTGATACCACGGTTAGCGAGGCCAACACACTAATGAGACTGGATACCGACCCAATCGTCGTCACTGATCCCGCACTTCAGCTGTCGGAGGCGTGGAATTGCCTACAGACGCCAGACTATGCCGAAGTAGAGTTCTTGGCTGAGAATACACCGACAACTGATATGAGTGTATTTAGTTGGTTTTGAGGATATGGATTTATACGTGAATATTGCATGAACACAAGACAGGCGTAGGGTGTTGGGAAATAGGGTCATGTCAAACTTACGAAGCTGCTCTCAACTGATGATCCTGGAATAGCAAATATATACTGTCTTTTCCCCATGTCATAGCAATAATGGTATTGTTGTGCCTGTTGCCTGCCTTACCTATTTACCTACTACATTATAGAATGAAGACAGGCAGCGTTGGGCCGCTCGATGCTCTCCATAGAGAAATGGCATAGTGAAAATGATAAGGTATTATACACATGGATTAACATATGTGATATGTAGAAACGAAAGTGCCCCTTGGCCATTGATGAAGCTATAAAGGAGGCAGCATTCCGCAGGTTATGCAACACAAATGAGCAGACATGATTCATATGTGCACGCACAATAATATGCCTCACACTCATGCACAGCTCCCTCGTCTCCTAGTGTAGTCCTCATCTGAGCACCTACAAATAGTTGGGTGGACGATAATCACTTTTCTGGCTCAGTGCTACTCTCTCTGAAAGCTATACATCCGTTCCCTCCGAACAGTCGAGCCGGTACCTTCCGACCGGTAGATATCGGCCGACATTTCTCGGCTCAGACTGACCCTCAAACTCACTCTCGTGCGTGCCCGGGCCTCAGCATTTTCGAGCGGGCCCGCTCAGGCAAAGCTGGTTGTAACACAGAAATGAATCGGCCGACGTAGCATGGTTTCCGGTCCCGGTGGGGGCCATCGGTGCTGACGCCGAGCCTGGCGGGAAACCACCTTCACTGCTGCCATCATGGGTTGGGACTTCTGCTCATCTTTCCCCATTGCGTATGGAAGCATTTGTATTAGGCTCAAAACAACCGTCCCCTAACAGTGCCCTTCAATGCAAACTCCTACAATATGGCTCTTCTGAACATCTATACGACGCTTACTAGCTTCCTGTCGCCAACAGCCACACTCTGGCTGGCTGTTTCGCTCACAGTCCTTGGTTCTTATTTGCTGTACCAATGGCTGCTTCCCAAACCGCTCCCCGGCATTCCGTTCAACACGGAAGCTACAAAGTCGTTGTTCGGTGACGCACCTGCCATGAGCAGGGAAATCAGCGTCACGGGAGAGTTTAGCATGTGGCTAGCCCATCAGGTCGAACGAATGGGTGAACCCATCTGCCAAGTCTTCATCCGTCCGTTTTCCAAGCCATGGATCCTGGTGGGCGATTTCCACGAAGCTCAGGACATTTTAATGCGCCGCACCGAGTTTGAGAAGCCTCAGTTCTTGATCGACGGGCTCCTCGCTTTGGGTGATTGGAATGCGAGGTACAAGACCAACGACCCCACCTTCCGAGCCCGCCGCCACCTCAAGCAAGACTTGATGGCACCAAACTTCCTGAACAGCTTCATGGGTCCTTTTCTTCACAGCGAGGGGTTGAAGCTCGTCAAGCTTTTCGAGGCAAAGATGAAGCTTGCCGACGGGAGACCGTTTTCTGTGCGGTCGGATTACTACCACGCTGCCCTCGACACCATGGTTCACTACGCCTTCGGCGGAAATATTCCAGACTCGGCAACGGACCCTCAGTTGGAGACGATATCCAACATGAGGCCCTCGCAAATCCCCCCAGCCAGCAAGGACGAGCCTGTGATCTTTCCTGAGACTCCAATCTCGCCATTCCTCGCCGCTGTCCATCACGCACCTGATGTCTTGGAAAAGACCACAATTGCCTGGGCGCCCAAACTCAGTTTCTGGTGGTGGAGCCAACAGCCATGGTTCCGGAAGATCTTCTCACAAAAGGAACAAGTCGTCCCCAAGCAGCTCGACGTGGCGATTCGGAATTTTGAAGCGGGCGAGGTCAAGACAGCTCTGGAGCACCATCTGATGCGGGAGAAGATTGCAGCTGAGAAACAAGGGCGTGAGCCTCTGTTGAACAGTCACATCATGGTCGATGAGGTGAGCGTGGCCGCATCAAGTAGCCAAAAAAACAGGTTGTGCTAACGGAAATCCTCTGCTAGATTTTTGCAGACATGATCGCCGGTCATCATACCACAGGGGGATCAATGGGGTGGGTTACCAAGTATTTGACTGGCTACCCCGAAGCCCAGTCTAAACTCCGCGATGCACTGTACTCTGCTTTTCCAGAGGCTGTTGCAGAAAAACGCTTCCCCACCTTTGAAGAACTTCGCCGAGCGAGAATTCCTTACCTTGAGGCGGTCATCGAGGAGACGCTGCGCCTGACACCATTCAGCATGACAAGAGAGGCTACGGAAGACACCGAAATTCTGGGCTACAAGATCCCTAAAGGATGCCAGGTCTTTATGGTCAATGCCGGACCTGGATACCTCTCCCCTTCGCTGCCTATAAACGAGAATGCTCGTAGCCCGACGTCCAAGGCGGCGAAGAGACGGCCTCATTGGGATGAGTCCAAGGATCTGAAGCTGTTTGAGCCTGAGCGCTGGCTTGTCACCAAGGAGGATGGGAGTGTGGAGTTTGATGCAGGCGCGGGACCGCAGCTGGGATTCGGCATGGGTATCAGACAATGCTGGGGGAGGAAGCTGGCGCATCTGGAGATTAGAACGATTATGGCGTTGGTGGTTTGGAATTTTGAGTTGTTGGAGATTCCAGAGGCTTTGGGGGGTTATGCTGGGTTTGATGGAATTTCGAGACAGCCGCAGAAGGTTTATGTCAGGTTGCGCAAGGTGAATTTCTGGTAGATTGGATAGGGGCGTTGGCCTTCTGTTTGGGAGAATTGGAGTTTTGCTCAAGTGAAACATATGAATACCTACTATGATCTTGACATCATACCTCATAACAGCAATGTGCGTTTCTCCGCCGTTCCAGATCTTGGTTTTATATGTGCTGTTACCTGGAACCGCCGACCAACCAACAATTGTGGAAAAGCTTCATTACTAACCAAGGTTTCTGCAAAAGGAAGCCATCCCACATCGAAAGTCATCGATTTCTAATCAACCAACTTTCAAGTACCGGCAATCCCTTTAGAACAACTTTCTCAATTCGCTTCACTTGGGCATTTTTGACGTTATTTGTATCTTCTTTGCCACCTCTCTGGTAACGAATATGTTGCAGTTTCACTTTCAAATAGCAATCACCTTGACCTTTTCCTATGACACTTTGAAGAATCTGGACCAGCTGGTCGGAGCTAGGTGGAGTTAAGAACGTTCCAAGACTTTGACGTTACCAACAGAAGCTGGTTGGTGCTTACTCGGTTGAAAGCCGAGATATTTCGGGGCGAAATCGTACCATACCAACAACACGCCCAATCCAAACCCGATCTTCTGCGATGGATAATACTACCATGGACACTTCCGGTGTTCCGCACACCGCCGCCACGGCGGGATCTGAAAGTCGTGAATCCATCCTGTCGGTAACTACATCTACATGCATCTCACCATCTTGATCAGCCCGTTCAATTCTGGACCCCCATAGACTTCTCCTAATCTGCCCAAGCATTGTTTCTTCACAACGATGCCGTCGCTCTATTGTTTTGTTGCACTTGGCATCGCCCTCACCCAAGCCCTCGCTGCGGCGTATACCAACCCAAAGGACTACGCTCAGATGCCAGTTCCAAGACAGAGCCCCTTGCCGTCTGGGTCTGTCCAGCAAGGGCTCGGCCCTTTGCTTTCCAAGAATGCCAGTATTTTTGGGCCAGATGACTCCCGTTGGCCGGACGCTACCGAGCGATATCAAGATTTCGCGGTGCCGCAGGTGCAGGTTGTTGTTCAACCCGGGGTAGAGAACGATATCCCGACGATTGTAAGCGGTCCCTGCCTATCCACTCAGAGCGAGATAACCAACAGTTTGAACTAGGTGAAATATGCAAATGAGCATGGTATCAACTTCTTTGTTGTCAATCGCGGGCACTCATTAACGTCAACTGTTGGAAGGTTCAACGGCATCCAGATCGACGTGAGAAGTCTGACAGACATCTCCATCAACAAGGATGCGATGACGGTTAAGCTCCAGGCTGGGGCGCGGAATTATGAGACGATTGACGTCCTTTGGAAGGAGGGCTATGTCACAAGTGAGTTTCCTAGCCTTGATAATCAACGACTATTTAGAAATTAACAATGTTCCTCCTCCTCTCAGCAACTGGAAGTTGCTCCTGCGTCGGCATGGTCGGACCAGCATTGGGAGGCGGTCACGGTGTGCAGCAGGGCGTCCATGGCCTCATAGCCGACAACCTGATCGGCCTGAACGTTGTGCTCGCCAATGGAACAGCCATCATGGTTAGCGAAACATCCTATCCCGACTTGTGGTGGGCGATGAGAGGCGCCGGTCACAACTTTGGCATTGTCACCAGTTTTGATATGAAGATTTACCCGGTCACGGTCCCGTCTTACTACTACAGGAACTACGTCTTCACAGGCAAACACGTTGAGCCGCTCTTCGAGGAGCTGAATAAGTTCCATGCAAACGGTAGCCTTTCGCCGACGTGGGGAGGGGCGTTTGGTGTTTACACCATGGAGCCGAGCGTGAGCACTACTGAGGTGAGATAATGGCCAGCACAGGTACCGCCGCCTACCACTAACAGTTCTTCAGGCCACAATATTCTGGACATTCATCTACGGAGGCTCCAAAGAGGATGCCGCAGCGGATCTGTCACCGTTCGATGCCCTCGGCCCCGTGGCGGTGGATGAAGGCGATGTGTCATTCACCTCCATCTCAGACATCTTGATCAGCGGACTGGAATCAGATCTGTGCGCGCCGAGCAAGGTCCATATCACAGGCACAGCCGGCCTTCAAGTCTACAACGTCACTGTACAGCGGCAGCTCTATGACCTGTATAACAAGAAGGTCGCCAAGGAGCCGTTGCTGTCAGGCACCAAGCTAGTCCATGAAGGTTATGCCGTTGAGGGTGTTTTGAGGGGCAAGCCGGAGGACTCTGCTTTTCCATTGCGTGACGATAATCTTCTGATGTGAGTGAAACAGTTCCTGCCGCTGTACCACGGTATTGACATTTCACCGCAGGTACTTCGACGCCATGCCTCCACCAAACTCGGGCCTGGAGGACTTTGCCTTCCAGTGGGCTCGGGAAACGGAGGATCTGTGGAACGCAGGCGAAGGTGAATGGCGGAAGCCCACGACATACGTCAACTATGCCGCGGGCCACGAGTCGCTGGAGTCCATGTACGGCTATGAACCGTGGCGGTTGGAGAAACTACGTGCCCTCAAGGCACAGTACGATCCCCTAAATAAGTTTGCATATTACAACCCCATAGTTCCATTGGAGAGCTAGGTAGACGGAGGCACGGTCTAGATAGGTAGCAGGAGTCCGTTTCGGGGCTGGAACACAGGAAAAAGTCTAGTGTTACCCTTTTTCAAACGCGCATCGCCCCATGAGAACCATCGCGGCTTTAACGCTAACCCATCGCAAGGCCCGATATTCACCAGATGATATACCCTATCCCTATTCCTACCCCATCCCTTCCCCTAACCCCAACCAGACTGTGGGTAATTCACGTCTCGAAAGAAAAGGTCGTGTACCTCTAGCATTTCTCTCAGACAAACACGGACCTCATCATCCAGCCAAACATTTTCTTTCCACGGAAAGTACTTTAGACACAGGTAGAAGATGCCGAGGCTGGCTAAAGAGACAACGATTGATTTGGCCCTCAAGAACTAGGCCTATCCTGCCAGTCAAGCGTGACATCCAACCCACTAATCCGCCACGGATTCTCCCCCTTCTCCTCCTTCTCCTCAATCCTGACCAGCTCCAGCTTGTACGAGCCCTACCGTGTCACAAAGTCAGCCACCTAACGAACTCAAGCAACTTCAACACTGACAGAAACTGACTCACCCCATTCCTCAAAGCCATAACACACGGCCTCCCCTCCCCCCCATCCCTCTTGTAGAAGATCCCATGAGCGATAGCCCTCGCCTTGACATTTTTTGGCCTCTGCACCCCACCCCCCGGCTGCGGTAGCTCAATCAAAACGTTCCTGCGATGGAATCATCAGCTTCATCTATGCGTGGCGATGGGAAAACTCACTGAATAATATGCTCCGTCGTATCAAACTTGTCATGCATATGCTCCAGACTTTTAGCCCACTCCTCACTGGAGATCTTCTTCTGATGAAACTCATCACCGAGCAACAGCTTGTCGTAGCTGAGCTCGATGACAGGCGCATAAACATCATTGATCAATGTTTCAGTGGCGGCGTCGTCAAAGGCGAACATCTGTTGCGGGAAGGAACATCAGCAACTCCCACTGCCCGGACAAAGAGTACCCACTGGCAACTCACCATGCGGATCACAGTGTCGCGGATGTTTTCCTTGTCGAGCAAGTAAGTGGCAGCGTCATATGAACCGGCCATTTTGGAGATATCGCAATTGCGTTTCTGTTGAGAGTTTGCAGGATGTGTCAAGATGAAAAGCAAGCGTTGCTGTCGATGGTGGTGGACGTTGTGGTTTATGATGGCATTGCCGGACTTACCGGGGATAAGCCATATCGGTGTTAGGGCCTTGGCGTCACCCTGCCTCGGATCAAGTGCGGAAGGATAAGCCTGTCGATCACCGGCCTTGGCACGGGAGCACCCGAGGAACTTCGGCCGACGCCAGTTCTGCGAGTGCCCGAGCTTGGGATGAACACGTGAACCCGCCGCAGTTCTTATCGAGACGACAGTCTCTGATGGCTACCGCCTGAGCATTGGAAGCAGGTTAGGAGTTCACATTTGGGATCGCATCAGGGCTGTATCAGGAGTTGCATCAGGAGTTGCTTCAACGACTTCATCTGTCTATCTAACGCTGCGAAAAGTAATGACATGAATGCTCAACCTACTCCTTCAACGCCGCATCTACAATATTCTCAGCCAGTGTCTTGATACTCGTCTGTGCGTCCAGCAGTTCCCCCATCTTGAGGTTCGTCTTCAACGCCTGGTGGAACCAGCTCCGCAGTTCAGCCGCAATGAGGCTGTCAACGCCATGCTCGGCAATACTCTTGGCAGGGTCCACTGTTGACGCATCAATAAACAACATCCCAGCAACAGTCTGTATCACGCCTTCGGTCACGAGCGCGACCGTAATGGCCCGGGCGCCAGCTCCTCCCTTGATTCCCTCCGAGAATGACGACCGCAGTCGGGCCACAGCCGACTTGCCTGCTCCGCCAGCGCCATCCTGAGCCGCATCTGCCCCGCTCGCTTGTCGTTGCGCGTCCTTCATTGCCTGCATGATAACCGACACGCGCCCGTCGCGATACCAGCGTGGGATAAGATCGTTCATCGACGCCAATTCAGCCAACCCGACCGGATCGAGACATGTCAAGATATTGGCCTCTGACAACGGGTCCTGATCCTGCCCAACCCAGCAAGTTGTCTCCACAGGCAAGAAGGCCGGCTCCAGCTGGGCGAGGACCTGATGCTCTGTGATTGTCATGGTCTTGTTACGTACGTACATGTCATCTGTGCCAACTGAGTTGTGAAGGAAGTCCGACTTGACATCAGCCACCAACCCATACGATACTGTGGACGCGGGAAGGCCGAGCCGTCGACGGTAGCGGGCAAAATAGTCCTGAAAGCTGTTTGCAGCGATATATGCCGCTTGAGTTGGTGGTGCCCAGATGGACTCGGTCGACGTGATCATGACGAAAAAGTCCAAAGGTAACGAAAGAGTGGCTTCGTGCAGGTTGAGGGTACCCAAAGCCTTTGCAGCAAACCCATCTCGCCATTGATCAATGGTCAGCTTGTCGAACGAGAGATCTGTCAATGACATGGCTGCATGGATCACTCCTTTGACAGCCCGGTCGCCCGATGCAGCGTTGTGGACCGCTTTCACGACATTCTCTCGCTTGCTCACATCACAGACCGCTGCCTCGACACGAACGCCTTGCGACTCAAGATCCTTTACCAGTAATTTTGCAGCAGGGGTGTTGATACCACGCCTAGAAAGTACCACAAAGTCACGAGCGCCACGACTGACCATCCACTTGATAATGGCTCGGCCAAGCCCGCCCAGACCTCCTGTGACAACATAGCGTGCCTCAGAGTCGAACTTCGCTGCTGGCGGCTCTTGGACAAGCTTGATCAGAGAGGCTGGATTCTCGAATGACACCACCAGTTTTCCAATGTGCGTGCCCCTGGACAGGCCCACCAAGACTCGGTCGAGCTCCGACACATCGTGAACGGCAAAGGGGTGAATCGGCGCAATAACGTTCCATCGATAAAGGTCATTGACTGTCTGCATCAACTCGCGTCCAAGCTCTGGATCATTGTCCAGGAGGACATTAAGATCGAACGAGGTCAGAGTGGCGTTCCTCTGGAAGTGCTCCAAGCCAATGTCCTTGGCTTCAAGTACGTCGAGCCGACCAACGTCGACAAGATGTCCCATGGGAGCCAGCGCTTTAAGGGATTCGCACAGGAAATCTCCTCCGACAACCGTACTGAGAATAACATCAAAGCCGCCCCTGCCGGTTGCTTTGGCAGCATTAGATAGCGCCGTAGGGTCCCGAGAGGAAAAGATGTGATCTGCCGGGATACCCACAGTGTCAACAAGGAAGGAGACCTTGTCAGCATTGCCAACAGTAGCGAATACATCGGCACCCCGAGCCCGCGCAACCTGAATAGCCGCCAAGCCCAGCCCGCCTGTGGCAGACTGTAGCAACACCTTCTGGCCTTTTCTAAGCCGTGCCACATAGTCAAAGGCATAGATGGCTGTCATGTACACCAGTGGCATCGTAGCCATCTCGGTGAGAATGTCTCCTGGCTCGAGCTTTTGTGCAAATGCGGCAGGAACTCTCGTGTAGTTTCCAAACTGGCCTCTGCCGACACCATAGACACGATCCCCAACAGACAGACCATCCACTGCGGCACCGATCTTGGTCACAACGCCGGCGTATTCTGACGACAGGTTGCTGCCAGTTGCGTCAAATCGACCTGACGTGAGGCCCAAATCCTTCCAGTTCACACCCACAGCTGCCACTTGAACGTCAACGTAGTCCGCTGGGATGGGTTGCAAGAGCTCTGTATAGGCTCGGAAGTATAGCGAAGTAAGGATGCCGGGGGTCTCGAATGCCGCACGAACAGGACCCTGACTGCCAATGGGAACCATCTGAGAGCCTCTGCTCGTAGGTGTTTTGCTTAGGTCGATATACACGCCGAGCTCTGTGTCAGGGACCACCCGGCTCACCCACATACAGCCGTCCTGCCAGACAAACTCTCGGTCCTTGCTGCCTTCTTCATCAGAGGCATCCTCATTCTGCAGGGCTAGCTCGGATTTGACGATGTTGCGAATGAGAGTATCATCCTGTTCTCCGAAAGTCTCCGCATCAATGTCAATGGAGAGGAAACGGCCGGCCGGGTTCTCAGTCGCGATGGTTCGGAGAAGGCCAATCATGAAGGCGGCCCGAGGGTCCCGACCTTTGGCAATTCCACTCGACGTCAACCAGACCATGCTCTTGGTGTTTCGGGCAAGATGCTGGAACGAGTTGAGAAGGCTGGCGTTTTCAGTGTCAAAGAGGTCATTCTCGTCGTTGAGGAATACCACGGTGCGGGCGTTGGGCTGTACTGTTTCGGACGCTTCATTGATCGAAGACGCCACAGCTTTGACGCCACAACGCTCAAACTCACTGGAGACTTGCTCCAAGAGCGGCGACGGGCCATTGGCTCCGTGCAAAAGATGGATCACGACGGCCGGACCTTCCTTTGCCTCTGTGTCTTTGTTGGTGACCACGTAAGACTCTTCGACACGGGTGGAAACGAGGATGGAGGTCGTGTTATGGGGGCGGTTGTAGTCATCAAGGGCCAGCTCCGTGCCCGAGAAGCCGGCCTTCCTCAATCGCCTGTCCCAGGTCTCCAGGTCCATGAAAGGTCCCTCAGTACGACCGTCACCAACCCCCAGCCAATAACCCGTGAGAGTACCGTACAGCAGCCCCAGCAGCACTCTCATACGCGTGCTCTCCACCAGCACTAACCTGCCTCCCGGCTTCAACAACCTCCGGCAGTTTTCGAGAGTTACATCCATACTGGCCGTGGCGTGGATAGCCTCACATGCAAAGACCACATCGTAGACCGGCTCAAACCCATTGGCGAGCGGATCCTCCCCGATATCCAAAACAGCGTAGTTCACATCACGATAGCCTGACATGAACTCCTGAGCGGCCGTCAAGAAACCAGCCGAGATATCAGTAAACGTGTAATCAGCGTACCGCTTAATGCCGTTCGACCTTGTCAGCGCCCCCATAGCTACTCGTGTGCCTGCGCCAGTGCCTGCGCCGACCTCTAAAATACGCATATTGGGATTGGCATGGCCGAGGCAGTCGAGGACATTACGTAGCTGCGGGTATGAGCCCACAATGACATGGCCTGTCTCGTACAGCGCCGTGAGGAGTCCATCCGGCACGAGGACGTCAATACCTGTCTTGCGCTCCGCGAGGATTTCACCCATGTTCTCGTGCAGTCTCCGAGCCGCCTGTGCCTCGGGCCGATCACCGGCCTCAACGTACAGCTTCTTAAGCAGCTGGTGACGCTGGTCGGCAGGAAGACTCTTGGCTTCGACCATATTCTCCCGATTGTCTTCCTCGACGCACCACTTCAGCCAAGAGACCCAGTGGCGGAGTTCACCTTTGGGCTGGGGTACGCTGGTTGCGCTTTTGATGAATACCTCGTAGATGTCCGCCACGACCAGGCAGCAGATCATGTCGACCACCTCGAGGCTTGCGGCACCTTGGTTATTTTCCTGTGGGGGGGGGAACAGTGCCCGGATCTGGTCGTTGTTAAGAGTACGGATGTCGGGCTTCCAGGTGAGCCTGGTGAAAGGGCTGCTCAGGGCCTTCTTGGACTGCATGGTGTACTCGTCCGACTTGGACTCCTTGAAACTAAGACAGCGCAGCGTGTCGACGTCCAGGACAACGTTGCCGCTTTCGTCAGTCATTTGCAGCTTGATGTAGGCACCGCGCAGGCCTTGGGTCTGACCGTGGGCTATGGCTGTTGCGGGTGTATGCGGGCTGAGTCCTGCTTTCAGATACATGCTTGAAAGGTGGACAGGCACGAAGGCAGTGTATGCACGTTCCAATTGGCCACCGTAGCAGGCAATGAGACCTAGCTGGAAGGTGCCGTCGAGGGCCGCCGGATGGAGCGAATAGCTTGACTCTCCTCCTTCGATCGTGTTGTCCGTTGTGTTCAGCGCCACGGTTGCTTGGGCTAAATTCTGGTTGGGGTCTGCCCGGATATCGGAGAGAGGCTGGAAAGTTGGACCATAGCCGATGCCAATCTCGGTGAACTTGTTGTACCACGCACGTGTGCCGGGGAATCGGGGGTCCATTAAAGAGCCCATCTTGCTGGCCACCGCAGGCTTCTCCGAGATCTCGACTTTGACGAGACCTGTGCAGTGCTCCGTCCACTCATCGGAATCCCTGGATACCGAACTGACGGTGAAACGGGACCAGCCAGGCGATTTGACCGTTGCGTCCGTGTCTGCCAGTTCCAAGCTGAGGATGATATCAACACCACGATCATCTTCGGGAAGCCGCAGGGCGGTCTCGATGTCAACCTTGCGGAGCGAGTACCCCGTGATCTCATACGCCTTGGGGAGCTCGTGGTACACCTGCGTGGCGGCCTCTATTCCCATAGCAATGAAGCCCGCCGCAGGGAAGACGGCGTCAGGAATCAAGCGGTGGTCGCCCAACCAGGGCACATCCTTAAGTCGAAGAATATTCCGCCATTGAGGCCGTAGCTTACTGGCGCCGGGCAGCCGGGCGCCTATGAGGTCGTGCCTAAGGACTTGTCGAAGTCGATATTCCTTGCTAAGCCGGCTCTCATAGTAATTGACCGGTCCATATGTGTACTGGTAAGGGGGGAGATCGACTGCCGTACAGCCGTGCGCGAGACTCCACCGGCCCTCGTGCAAGCCGTCATCGACTGCGTTTACTGCAACCAAGTCGACTTCGGCATTCAGGCTAAACAGGGTGCCGGCGAGCTGGAGCACAGACTCCCGGCTGTCTTCTCCTCTCTTCAGTGATGCGACATGTGGTGCAGACTTGCCGATACTCTTCAATATCTGGTCCACCGGGCTCTTCAGTGCCGGGTGCGGGCCGAGCTCCACCAAGATATCAACGGCTTGGTCACCCTCCAAGCTCATCATCCCGCTGACAGCCTCGGAGAAGCGGACGGGTGATTCAAGGTTTGCTCTCCAGTACGAAGCACCAACCTCAAAAGCCATGGCCTCATCAGGGGTCACCGACGACACCCAGCGGATGAGAGGGTATCTCTGGGCCTTGTCAACCAGTCCGATATTGTCGATGTGCTCAAGTCCCTTTGACAGCATGTCGTTGTATTGCCCGCCCAGTGCCACCATGTGATGTGAATGGTAGGCATTTCCGCCGGTTCGAAGGACACGGTTGAACACGCCTTCCTCATTGAGCGAGGCCGACAGGGACTCGATGGCATCCTCGTCACCAGACAGCGTGACGCTGCCGGGCGAGTTGATCGCCGCGATCTTAATGCGGTCTTCCTTTCCGTCCAGGTATTCCATCGCGGCATCCATCCCAACACCCACAGCCAACATGGCGCCCTTTGCCTTATTCTGCGACACGGCCAAACCGCGAAAGTAGGCAGCAGTAATAGCTTCGGCAGCTGTGATATACCCCGACGCATACGCCGCTGCCATTTCGCCAGAGGAGTGGCCAACCACTGCGGCAGGCGCGATAGACCACGATGCAAGCAAATCGACGAGCCCGATCTGAACGGCGGTACAGGCCACTTGGGACACTTGGGGTGACAGCACGAGATCGGGCTCGCAGTTGCCGGACAGGACATCGGAAATCTTCCACGTGGACCGGGATGGTAGTGCATCCATCACCCGGTCCAGGTGGGTGATCGCCGCGCGAAAGACGGCGTACTCGAATAGCTGGGCGCCCATGGCATGCCACTGTGCGCCCTGACCCGTGAAAACATATCCGATGTTTGCTGGCCGCAGGGGGCTTGTTAGGATGCGACGGTCTGTGGCGAGCCCGGTTTGGATATCGCTCTTGGCGACGATGCGGAATGAACGCTGCTGGAAACGTGATCGTTTGGAGCTCAGGGTGTAGGCGATGTCTGCAAGGGGCCACTGGTGGATGACGCGAGAGAGGGCGGCAGTATTCGACTTGAGGGATTGCTCGGTATGGGCCGAGAACGGGAGAAGCACGAGGTCACGCGTGGTGGCGTCCGCCTTCGTCGTCTTTGTCGGTTTAGTCGTGAGAGGGGAGTGGTCAGCAGGTGGCGTCACCACTCCGTTGTTGCCCTCGTGGGCCTTCCCGTTGGAATACCCGTTGGCGGTATGGCCGTTGGCTGAGGTGCCGGCCCCAGAGATTCCGGGCTTGATGTAGTCGGGGAGAACCACATTGACGTGGTCGATAATACAGTGCCCGTTGGCCCCGCCGAACCCGAAGGAATTTACGCTGGCGCGCCGGAGCTTTCCTTCCGGCCAGGGTATCGTGCCATCTTTGACAACTTCGACTTTGGCTCCCGCAAAGTCGATGCTCGGGTTCAGTTGCTCGATCCCAAAGGTTGGTGGGATTTGGCCTGCTTCGAGGGAAAGAACCACCTTCATAACCGAGGCGATGGCACTTGCACCTTCCGTGTGGCCAAGGTTTGGCTTGATGGAGCCGATGAGGAGCCGGTCTTCCGGGGCGTCTGATCGAGAGGAAGCAAAGACGTTGCCGACGGCCGTCACTTCGATTGGGTCGCCGGCTTGCGTGCCCGTGCCATGGCACTCGAAGAATGTCGTGTCTGAGAAGGGGAGGCCGCCGGCGTGTTTGTAGGCCTCGCGAATGACGTCTTCCTGTCCGGCTATGCTGGGTCGGGTGATGCCTCCTGTCCGGCCGTTGGCGTTGATGGCGGTGCCTCGAATCATGGCTCGAATTGGCAACGAGTCTACCACGGCTATGATGGATTTCTTGAGATATAGAGCGGCGTAGCCCTCCCCACGGGCGTAACCGTCTGCAGAGGCGTCGAACGTGTGACATCGCGCCGTGGGCGAGAGTGCGCCGAGCTTGTCGAGCACAAACTGCATGCTGGGATCGGATATCCAGTTGGCTGCCGCGACTATGGCGCCGTCACAGTCACCGCTGCGGATCGCACTGACGGCCATGTGCAGGGCATACATGGAGGATGAGCAGGCGGTGTTTGTGGCCAGACTGTGGTAACCATTAGCCCCTGATTATCCGACTAACGTTGATTTCTAGGAAGACCAGTGCATACCTCGGACCATGAAGGTTGAAGATGTAACTGATACGATTGGCGAGAATACTCGTGTCCGCTCCCGTGGCAGCGTATGACTTTGGGCTCTCCCAATCCCGCGCCTGGATGAGGATGTGATCGAGGGCGAAGTTGCCGATATACACCCCGGTTCGTGATCCTGAAATACTCTCCCAAGTCTCCCCTCCGTTCTCGAGAGCCTCGTACACCACTTCGAGCAGCTTCCGTTGAGACGGGTCGAGGGTTTCGGCTTCTCGCCCGGTGATGCCGAAGAAGGAATGATCAAATAGGCGAGCATCTTCGTCCATGAGAAACGCACCGGGTGTTCTCATGGATCCTGGGCGCTCTTTGTTGGGGTGGTAGAAGCCCTTGGCAGAGAATCTAGGGTGGTTGAATTCGCGCCAGCCGTCGCGTTTGTTCTTCAGAAGGTCCCATAGCCCTGAAGGGTCACGAATGTCACCGGCCCACCGGCAGCCTGTGAGAAATGTTAGTATTACATGGCCAGTCCAGAAAGGACTGATGAGATTGCAGCTTACCCATGCCGATGATAGCTACAGGCTCATGTGGGCCTTCGAAAATAGATGAGGAGGACATAGCTTAGTGTTGAGACTATCTACGCTCTGTTGACATTCGTTTTGAGATAGTAATCTTCCGCTTGGGTACAATGGTTCTATTCTGGATCTCCAAAATTCTAGGCACAATCACAAGATATGTATCTCGGTGAATCTCTGGTGTCCTCAAGCTGGCAATCATACACCATCGAGTCCTTTAGCGTCTGTTGATAGCAGTGATCTCAACTGCTCCGACGTCCTTCGGCCGAGGCCCTCCTGATTTGAAGATTGTATGTCTACTGTAGAGTCGACGGACAATAACGCATCCCCTATGCGTTGAGACCGCACCGTGCAATATCGGTGCAGAGAACTTTGGCCGATGATCCGCAAGTGGGCCATTCTGCTGCGGAAATGCAACCTGTGGTGGTCAGACCGAGATTTCTCGGACATCTGCTTTGTACGCTCAATGCATGAGATCAAGGTCATCACCCAGATTATGCTCACGAACTCGGCCGAGGATCAATCGCGATTGTGACACTTCCAATCCTTCAAAAACCTTGATCTTTGACCATCCCACCACCGTCACCACCACACACTTGACAGCTCACCAACCACCATCACCATACATCGACAGCAACCACATCCCACTCTAGGTACCAAACCTCCACCATGTCCGACACCGCCGAAAACGTCTCCATCCTCGCCCTGGCCGAGGGCATCCTCTCAAAAACCAAAGAAATCACCGCCTACCTCCAATCCAACAACCTCCCCGCCTCCACCTTCTCCCCCTCCTCCGCCTCACCCCCCAACAAGGCAGACTACCGCGAGCTCCAAGGCAGCCTCCGCACCCTCCTAGAAGACCTCCAGCGTCTCGTCGACGGACCAGCGCTCTTCTACCGCCACTTCCTCATGCGGGGCTACGAAATCGCCGCATTCCAAATCGCCCTCGACTTTGACTTCTTCACGCTTATCCCAGCCGAGGGGGAAATCTTCGTGGAGGAACTCGCAAAAAAGGCAGGCTTGGACACCGACAGGACAGGAAGGGTGGTGAGGTTGTTGATAACTCATCGGTTCTTTCAGGAGACGAGGAAGGGGTATTTCTCGCATAATTCGTTCTCTTATGCGCTGCAGCAGGATGATGAGGTTAGGTCTATGGTGCATTATTCGTGAGTCATCTGCCTTTTCCTTCCGTTTGGGTGGTTGGTTGGTCGTTGACTCTAGCGGCATGAAAGGTTTGACGAGATGCTCAAGGCAGCGGCCGAGTCGAGTGTTGCTCTGAAGGCGACTCCCAATGAGTCTGACAGTGTGCATTGCCCGTTTTACGCCAGACATGGGGTGCCGATTTTTAGGTATTATTCCAAGCACCCGGAACATGCTGGGAGGTTTGCGAAGGCAATGGCTGGGTGGAGGAAGAGTAAGTTTCTGCTCGGCTTGTTATCCTGGACAAAGAGTGAACGTATCTGACCATCGAATCACAGTGGAAAACAGCGTCACCGAATTGCGTGATAACTTCAACTGGGGAAGCATCAAGGGCAACGTGGTAGATGTCGGCGGTGGAAGCGGCCATGTCGCTATCATTCTCGCTCGAGTAAGTCCCCTTTCCCTAAAACATGACTCCCCCAATGTTTGCTAACCTTCACAGACCTTCCCCCATCTCAACTTCATCGTCCAGGATGAATCCGACGATATGCTCGCCCAAGGCCAACGCCTCCTCACCGACGATGTCCGTAACCGCGTGTCCTTCTCTCGGGCAAGCTTCTTCGAGCCTCAGCCATACAAAGGCGCTTCGGCATACCTCATCCGGCAGTGCACCCACAACTGGGCAGATCACGACGTTGTCAGAATGTTCAGATCGGTGGTTCCTGGGCTTGAGGGTTCACCAGAGGGCACACCACTGTTGATCAACGATATTGTGCTGCCTGAGCCGGGGACAGTCCCGAGGTATTGGGAGAGGGAAATGAGGCAGGCCGATATGGTGATGTTGGTGAGCTTTGGCGCTAAGCAGAGGACAAAACAGGAGTTTGAGAAGTTGTTGAAGGAAGCGGATGAAAGGTATGAGATTCGAAAGGTGCATGATAAGGGGGCATTGGGGTTGTTGGAGGTTCACTTGAGAAGGTGATGTGGTCACACTGATGCAGTACTTAGTTCGACCGTGGTACCTTGGTGCCAGAAGACTGATAATGTAACTGTCAATTGTCTACATGTACTTGCAATTTGAAACCGTATCTATCCAAACGAAACCTTCTTCTAACTAAGCGGCGGGAATGATGCAGCACCTGGCCTATCATACCTCTGGTCAAAGGCCGAGGTGTATGGTAGAGGAGAGCTGTCTTGGAGGCGCCTAGGTACTTGGGTTTGAATGAGCAATACTTGGCACGACATTGGTACCAGCACCCAGCGCATGAGTCAGTGCCCGGCACAGTAACGCATTCGATAAACGGCCCGCTCCCACGGCGGCAAGTGTCACAGGGCTGCCGGGCAACGGTCCCCCGGCTCTTGCATGAGAACAGCTTCACAGTTTTGAAGACCGTGCCACTGCCCCTCCCGGCCTGGCTCAGGCGGGCAATGAATCCACCAAAGGTCTAACAGACTGCAAAGTCATCAGCTTCACTTCTAGATTGATTGCCGGGGCTAAGACAACAACTTAAAACGTACCTTCATTTTCGCCATCTCCTTCATCCGGCCCGAGGGTTTGACGTAACTGTCGACAATGGCCTCAATTGTCTCTTCCCCAACAACCTCAACCTCAGGTTCACCATGAGGTTCCAAATACTTCCCTACCTCTCTTGCGTGACGTGTAGGAGGCCGTCCAACTCGTTTCGCCGGTCTTCCCACCCGCCCTTGCGATGTTCGAGCGTACCCCGACACCAGGAGCCTTGGTTTCCTCCTACCCAATGTCTTTTCCCCAGCCAACCATCTACCGCACCCGTTGATGTCCGATACCCGCGGGGGATGTCGCTTCCCACCTTGCGAAGAACCTCCTTGAATCGGTCTTTCAGGCCCCCACGCTCGCCATCCTGAACAGAAGGCACACCGGGTATGGAGACAAAACGAGACCCAAGCTCCTGGATCTCAGCCTCATAGTCGGTGAGGCAAGGCCCAAGATGGCTGGCGATGAGATGGGGAAGTTGTTTGTAGATCATCTGTGTGAATTTGGCGATGAGACTAGTGCGTATAGTAGAGGCCGCTTCCTCGAAGGCACGTTGGATGAGGAAATCGATGTTGGTTTCTGCCCTGATGGCGTTTTTCCGGCGGTTGATCCTAGGGGATACGGGAGGTCGCAGGTGAGAACCCCCTCTTGGGCACCATCCGATCGTTTGGTTCCTTGTTTACTTGTACAGCCCTCACTCCATGTCGCCAAGGCTAGTGTTTGAGCTTACCAGAGGACCACCGGTTGGCAGACTGGAACAGAGAGACACCCGCAGCACGAATCTGAGCTGTTGTTTGCTCTCATGAATTTGCAAACTCACTCGTTTCGATTCCGAACCATGGCCGGTCAGCTCGAGCTTTGGGCGAGTGCCTCATAGGTTGTTCACGACAAGTTTGCCTTGTATTACAAACCATCGCTTTCATCTACCGCTATAACAATATTCCGCTACCATGATAAGGCTGCAGATACAGCGGGTACCCGTCTAGCGCCACTCTCTTGTACTACCGCATACACGCGAGTCTCCTTTCGACGTCCCAACGAGCCAATCGGAACCCACGTTAGGTATCGCAACTCAACAAACGGGACATACAATAGACAACAGAGTCGCTTCTGCGTTTCAAGGCTTATGGCTGCCAAGTACTTTAATGCTTGGTGAAACTCCATATTACTGTTGTTTGGACGCTCTTGATGCATAATTATGGCAAGAGGAGCTCATGTCGTAGCGATCAACGTGCTCGCTCTTCTCAAGATCCGGACTACCTTGTGTTCATTGCTCTATCCTATTAAAAAGCCAAATGGTTACGGGCTGTCTTACAGCGTGTGATACATGCATAGCTCAATAGGCATCCATACAACATAGAGTCTCCGGCAATAACTAGCCCTGATACATGAAGATTGAAAACAAAACAAAAGCTTTCATCGTCCTGCAAAAACCAGTATAATCCGATAATATATCTAAAAGCTCAAGGCCACTCTCGCGGTATTGCAAACAATCACCACCATGAAGGTATCCCTACTTCTCTGATGTGTTCATATTTGTGTATCTGATTACGTCGTTGCTATTGTTCACCCACGCGCTGATCTGCTGAACCGAGCCTGTATCAAAAATGCCTCCAGTGACTGTGAAGCAATACCAAGTTAGTAAATCAACAGGAAATGGTCATGACCAGTCTCACATACCTTGGTATCCAAAGCGCTCCACCAACTCCTAGTCAGTGCCGAGCGGATGGCCAGCAACAGGACACCCTTTCTCAAAATGTTTTCTGAGACGAGTCAACATACCCGGACCTTGGTTAAGACAGTTGAAACGGCCACAACGAAGAACGCACCAGCCGGAGCTCTGAAAATTGAAAATCCACTCGCGGTGCTGAACCTCGTGAAGGCTAGCTCTAGATATGCAGAGTGGTTTTCCGTGACAAGGCTTTGAAGCCTGGGCTGGTTTCTTGGTTTGTGCTGGCTTCTTCTTCGCAGATGGTGGGGCGGCCTTCGAAAGGTCGTATCGCTGATTGGAAGGTGTTGCATGGTGAGCAGGCGCAATCTTTGATTGGGGTAGCAAAGGTGATGGTGATGGATCCTGATGTCCCGAACCAGAGTTTCCACCTTTGCTGAGGAGGGCTTGCGGCAACGAAGGGGAGGAAGTACGCAGAGCATGGGACAGGGCTGGTGTAGGCTCAGACACCCGGGATGCCCCGTCCTCTGAGAAATTGACTCGGCGACGCTTGGTCGGGGTAGGTGATTCAATCTTGATCGGGCTATCGCTGCGTTTCTTAATGGGAGTCTGGCTGACAGGCTGTCCAGATAATTAGACCTGGGTAAATAACCGAGGTACTGACTGGTAGACTTACTCGGTCGTAGCCATCTAGCCGCCCCGAAATCTCACACTGGGTTGAGCCCTGTGAAGTTGACGGAGATATGTCCTCAATGGCCAGTGGCCGCTCAGCCGATCCCTCAACTGGCTGAAGCCGAGAGAAGGCCAAGTCCTCAAGCTTGGCCATCAGGTTCAACTTGGTTGGAATCATGGCGAGCAGTCGGTTTGCCTGGGCACCGTCGGTCTCAGCAGCCATAGCCGTTGCGATCACATCGAGCTTCTTGGCGAGTCTGTTGACTTCCTGCTCGATAACAGTGGTGATTCTGTCGGCGGACCCTTCGATATCCAGAGAGCTGATTTCGGCCGCCCAGTGCTCCTCGGCCTGTCTTGTCATGAACGCCTGGAAGCTTTCGCGATGGGCCTTCACATCGTCATCGTAGTCGCTCAAAAGGCATGGAATGACCTCTTGATGGCCGGACTGGTATTGATCCTCCATGGTGAAAGTGTTTGGAAGAGTGGAAGGAGTTGACAAGACACAAGAGTTGTAGAGTTGAGGTGTTTTGTCACAAGAGTTTCTGTTGAAGGTGGGGCAGAGATGGGTTGCCTGTGGAAGATTGGGCATCAGATCATTGCGCACAAGGCAGGCACGACAAGAGATGCCCACAGCGTTGCGACTTCCGCACACGAGACTTGTATCGGCTAGGTACATTTTCCCGGCCATTTTTGGTTGATATTGAGAGTGTAACCGCTGCACTTAACCCCCAGTCCCACAGGTCGGCGCCGGTAGGTCTGAAACCCACTCTGGGTTTGATTAAGTGCAGCCTTACAAGAGCTGATAATTAGATACTTCAGGCTTTACAAGCTATCAGCATTGAAAACAGAGTTTAAAAGGAGTCGAAGAATCTGAAAAGTAAATTGTTCAACGGGCCTGTCGTGTCGAGTTAATACCATCGTGTCACTCAACACCCTGTGCTTGAACCCTCTATCGGCTTAAGCTACCTACCGTAAATCACATTCTCGAAGAGGTTGTCAAGCAAAAGAGAATTCCAATCGACCTGCTCCCAGATGGTGGAAATCAAATGTGGCTTGCGATGTCAAGCGCAAGAAAATATTCACCTGGCCAGGCCATCGTCGCAACGACTGCAGTCGACGTGGCCCAAGCTTCGGAGCAAGTGACAGGAGAAACAATACCTACTGCCCCCCCACCAGGCCTATTCACTCTTGTTCTGAATAGCCAGCTGTCTCTCCTCTTAAGATCTTGTCCTGCCCTGCCAGCAGAAACTGGTCTGCAACAACACAACAACAACAACCGCGCCAAATACCAGCAACGAACAATCCCCCGACTCTTCACACAGCACCTTCACACAACACAAACAATCCTCGATATATTCGCCAAGATGCGTGTGAATATTTCATCGATCCCGCGCTCAACGATCCTGATCGAAGTCCTAGCAGAGGAGGACCGGGCTCTCTTCGACAAGCTCGACTTAACGGGCATGATCCGAGACAACTCGAAATCCGACGCCCTCAGCTTTCACATCAAGGCTTTCTTCGACCAACTCCCCCTCTTTCCTGACGATTCGTATGTTATCCATCACCCATCTCGTATCCCTCATCTTCACATATACCACGATCACAAAAACTAACACCATCCTCAGGACCCCCTCTCCTCCCAAACCCTCCCCCAAGAAAGTGGCATTTTCTTGCGACTCTCCTCACTACAAATCACCCACCCCCTCCAAGCTACGCAAGAAAAAGAAACTGTTCGGCATTCCCACAGTTCCTACAGTCAAAACCCACAAGCAATACACTTGCCCCGAAGCCACCAACCCCTTGTCTATCATCTGGCCCGACAACAACAATTCCCTCCCCACCGACAGCCGCCAACCAACCTGCCACCCTCACCTCCGCCTCTCTTGCACCGACCCCTCGCCCTGGACTACCCCCGACGAAAACCCTCCCACACCATGCCACCACACTTCCTGGTACGCCGCAACATCCACCCTCTCTCAGCACGCCTCCAAGCTCCTATCCTCAGCCTTCACTAAACAAAATATAACCACTCTCTCCGCCTCCATGGCCAACCTAGCCGAAGCCCAAACCCTCGAGCTGAACATCCTCCCCAAGCTCCACCTCGCGTACAGCCTCTACACCGCCCACGTCTTCATTACCGGCCGCTTCAAAAAGCTCGTCATCCACATCTGTCGGCACTGCACCAGATCCCTCACCCTGGCCAACATCCAGATCCTCGAACACAAGAAGCCGTGGACTCTGCTCGAACATTGGCTCGAGAAGATCAAAGCGGTATACGATGCTCTGAATACAATGCATCTCTGGCTTTTCGTGGCGGCTAAAAAGCTGGACAAAGCAGTCAAATATCTCGCCGAGGCTGGCAATGTGAGGATGAAGGGGGGGGATGGCATGACGAGGGTGGAGATGCTGCCTTTGTATCGGTGTATGATTGAGGTTAGGGGGTGGATCAGGAGGGAAGCGATACAAGGTGTCATGGAGGATAAGGCGCGTGTGAAGGAGGTTGTGGGGAGGTTGATGGGGGTTTTGCATCCTTTGACGGGGTTGGGGTATGATAAGGCTGTGGTGGAGGCGCTGGGGGGTTTGTGGAAGGTGGAGCAAGAGGAGAAAGAGGGTGATGAGAAAGGGGAGGAAGGTAGTGATGAGGAGATGGCGGACGGCAGAGAGTCTGAGGATCCTGATGATGGTGCTGGTGACTCTGATGAATCGGACGACTCTGACGACTCCGGCGAGTCTGATAACTCTGATAGGCCGGACGATGAAGACCAGGATGAAGCTAACTCTGATGAGGAGATGAAGGATGATGAGACAGATATTGGCGAGGATGAGATTTTCGACGAGGGTATCGAGGTCTCGATGAACAATGCTGTGGAGGATGATTTGGGGGAGTTGAACGGCGATTTGGATGACGATTTTGACAAGGAGATGGAAGAGCAAAAGTTTGTGATCCGCAAGGCAATCTTGGAAGCTGCGGTCGAGGTTCGCTCGGTTTGTGAGACGTGGAGGAACCATGCGGCTTTCATTCAGGCTATCGAAAGGGGACAACTGAATGACCACCAGGATTAGTTTTTCTTCATCTCGTTGGATGTTAGCTTTTGTTTGGGACAGTGGAGGAGTGTGTAATTAGCAGCAATATATAGCGTTCTTTTGACAGCATCCTGTCTTCCTGTACCGCTCTTTCCATCTTCTTGCGTTGTTCCTTCCGTGCTTATCCACCGTTCCTTCCGTCTTTAACGCATTCGATTGTGATTCATTCCAGTACGTGTCATGAGCAGAGATCATCTTACACTATCATACAACCCCCATCTAAACCACATCCCATCATCCTCTTTAAAACAATCAGCAAAACCCCTCCCTCTCCAACCACCCCTCCAAAATTTTATTCGTCTCCTGCGCCTTCACATGATGAAACCAATGCCCAACCCCCTCCACGGTCACCGTCTCAACCCCCATCTCCCTGTCCGTCCCAACCCAATACTCACTACACCCCAGCGTCAGCCTCTTCGCCTTGGCCCCCTTGGACAACTCCATCGCCACCTCCTTCCTGCCCAGTCCATTCTTGTTCGTCCAGCAGGCATATGTCATCGCACCAATACTGCTTGGGTCCATCGCCTGTTTCCACTCATGTCAGCGTTGACCCTTTTGTCTCTGGGTTACAAGAGACTTACCATCCCCCTCCTCTGAATCCAAGTCGTATGCCAATCCCACTCCGGCCCCAGCGGTGGAATAGGAACCAGCCCTTTAGCCGCAAAGCTCACCATCAAGTTTTGCATCGTTGTTGCTGGGTCGGAGAACAGCTCGTCACACGTGGCGGAGGACATGGAATGCAGGGGGTCTAGTAGGACTAACCCTACCACCAGGTCTGGGTTGGTAGCAGCGAGGTGGACTGACGTGCAGGTTCCCAACGAGTGACCGATGACGATGACGTTGGAGGTGATGTCAAGGTGGGCGAGCAGAGCGGATAAATCGGAGGACAGATTCTCGGGCGTGTAAATCCCTTCATCGACAGCGGTAGGGGGAGCGGAGGAGCGGCCTTGTCCGCGGGGGTCAGGGGTGATGACCCGGAAGCCTTTGGAGAGGAGGAAGGGGACTTGCCAGGACCAGTCGGATAGGTCGCAGGTAATTCCTGGGATCAGGAGGCAGGTGTGGGTTGGGGTTGATGAAGGGGGGGATTCGTCGATGTAGTAGATTGAGACCGAGGGGCCAGGGGTGGGGGAGGGGAAGTATGGCATTTTGACAGGTTGGTATGGTGATGTGTGGTTCTTGGAAAAATGCTAGAGTTTGAGGACCTGAGGGTAGTGACGAGATGAGTGTGGTGTGTGTTGTAGTTTGCGGATGAGGGGATTTAAATATTTGATAGCAATAACGGGCCCCTGGACTGGATTTAACGAGTCAGTGCTGGTAGACACTCAAAAGGGGGATGATACTTCTGCAGTATAAGATGACTACCATCAAGCTCCAGGTTGGAATGCTTGCTAGCCTTCGCATGAGATTTTTTTTTCCAAATCAAGTGATGTTTGAAAGTTCCCTTGGCTGCTCAGGGGGGGGGCATCGGGTGAAGCCGGCGGGAATTACCTAAACACAATAGGCGTGCCAATAAGGAGGGTGATGTCTGGCTGAGAACTGGCTGCGTACGATGTTTTGACATTGTATAGTTATCGCCAATCGTTCAAATCCGACGTAGTGCAAAATCCTTAATTTCTCAAAGGAATGAATCCATGCTCTCGGCATCCTGTCACAATGCCATTGACTCATCATTGCTGCTCAATGAATTTGATGATTTTCGCAACTCTGCAGTGACCAAAAAATATTTATGGTATAATTTAACATGCATTGTAGCTGTGAATCTGTAGTCTGCAATACCACTGATGCACCCTACCCTAGCAAGGGGTAAGAGACTGGAAATCACCATGATAAATGTAACCACCAATATAAGCTCCACCAAATTATCACAGGCCGTGTAGCGCAATGGTAGCGCGTTACTTTCCGGTTTCAATTTCTCGAAGTTAAATCTCCAGCTGGTAAAGGTTCTGGGTTCGAGTCCCAGCATGGTCGATCATCTCTCGTGCTGGACTCCACTTCATGAGTGACACGAGCTTTTTGTCGTTTTTGACCTTGGGCCCCCTGAACTTTGTCAATACCTGGTACTCTCAGTTGATGTCTACAGACCTCACAGGACCAAGAAAAGTATGCATGAAACTGCTGTCTCCCAAGGGGAGTAAAATTTTGTGCCATTGGTACGCTTGTGGCGTGAGAGAAGATGGTTATCAAGTCTCGCCTACCTACCCTTCTATGAAAAGCACTCAAAACACCAAAACGCCCCATCGTCTGCTGACTCAAGCGTACTGCTCTTCCCGACAAAGGAGACACGCATCTCGAAGAGCTGTCGGTTGATAATGTAAAAGTCCAGATAGACATCTCCGGATCACAGGAAGCGACGTTAGTTACCTGGTAGGTGAATTACCTCGCAGGAAAATCCACCCCCCTTTGCAACCCGGAGCTCGACGCACTCTCCCCAACTCGGACTTCCTGCTCCAAGGCACCACCATCACCCTGCCCGCTGGTAGCACTTGTGATCCTCGGCCGTCTCTGGGCAGCCACACTAATACCACCCGCTCCGGTCGCACTGGTGGCTACGCTGGCAGCAACACTTGTTGTCGTGCTGACACTATCACTTCTAACCCTGCGTGAGGCACCTGCACCGGGTGTGGCTCCCGAGCCACTGACATCACTTCCTCTCCGGGCCCGAACCATTCTCTCGAGCTCGCGGACTCTCTTCTTCAGCTCATCATTCTCTCGCTTGGTGGCCTCGAGCTGCTCGCGGTAGAAAGCCGTCTCCTGATAACGGTCTGTGGCCGGGATTAGACCGGGCGAGAGGTCGCTTGTGGAGCCAGGGGTGGCGAGCACAGAGGTACTGCTGCTCACGTGTGGGACCCTGGAAGAGAAATAGTTGGCCAAAGTCGGCTCGTTGGAATAACTGGAGCCGTACACCAGAGGAGCTGGTGACCCAGCCCTACTACGGCGGGAAGTGGTACTGCCTTGGCGGGAGAGTGCAACACCGCCCAGGGCAGTGGTCGGGTAAGGACTCGAACGGACAGGCGCGGGGGACGAGATTCCGGCCATGGATGTGGTCGAGACTGAACCCATATTGCTTCGCGTGCTGGTGTTGGAGAGTGTGCGAATGTGTCGACCGGAACGGGGATCGCCTGGCTCGGTGCCGGTAGCGCTGGTCGAGGATGCATTGGAGACGACAGATTCGTTGTGGAGAGCCCTGAGGGCAGCGAGTTCACGGGTAAGCCGGTTGATCTGCAGATGAATATCGGTTAGACACGATTCTGTACCGACGGTCTCTGAGGGTGCAACATACTCGAGCCTCCTGCTCCTTCTCAAGTTCGGAATGGAGTTCTGCGGCAGTTGGGGGCCGGGGATGTCGAGTTGGCCCGGGGCCGGAGCCAACGCCAGTGTTGTCGCCAGTCGTCATGGTGCTGCCGGGCAATTGACTGATGGGCGGTGGGAATTGCGGTGATGGCAGTACCGGAGTGGATGTGCTGTTTGGGTTGTGTACGGCGGCTTGGTTTGACGGCAGAATCAGCGAACTGGGGGCTGGCAGTGGTGGCATCTGCTGTGATGCACGACGCGAGAGGAAATGGGGTGAAGGCGGTACGGAGTTGAGGTCGGGCATTGCAATGTGATTGGAACCCTTTGTTTATGGCACGTTTTGTATGCTGAGGAAGTCGCAAGCAGCTTCCGGGTCAAACACTCAGGCAGCATGTCACGAAACCACTTTACACGCTTTCGCCGGGAGAATGGCGCGGTGTCGTCTGAGTGCTGGAACAACTCCCCACAGGCGACACGTGCTGTAATTGGGTCTGTGCTTGAACCGAACTGAGGTGCCCAGGCGGTGAGCTGTCTCGCTCGTCCCGGCTCTTTGTCAACACTCCCATTGTTTTTGAGCTATAAACACCTAGTACATGCTGTAGGAAATGAGTATATCAGCTGTAGTCAGAGCAAAACTAATGGAACCACTTCACAAACACTGCCATGAGCAACAGAGGCTCCCTGATCGCTAACTGCAGCACTTCCGACAGGTTCAGTTGGCGCCCCACCAAGCCAAGCCCTCGACATAAAAAGCGGGGCTCTGGAAAGCCACCTGCATTTGGCGGGGGCATATGATGTAATGGTGTTTGAGAGACGGGATGATGAAGTTGACTTTGAGCAGCCGGCAGTTCCCCGATGGAGGTGCTGATGTCAGTTACGGATCTTTCTGTGTGTATAAGAAGCTCTGCTTCACTTTGACCCAGCTTTTCCTTGACACAAACAACGCACCTCAAAACACCCTTCTCTACAAATTCTTCAGGACAGCCAATCCTTCCATCACAACTCTTACAACAACCACCAAACCTTCAACATGTCTGAACGCGCTGCCCAGTCCCCTCCTCCTGAGGAGCAGTCCGGAAGACAGCTCAATGACCCCCCAGCCAGCGGCAAGGGCACTGATGATGCTTCTAACAAGGAGCAAATCAACAAGAGTGGTCTCGAGGTATGTATAATAAGAAAGCTGTTATGGATGGCACTAGCAGCAACAAGCTAACAGTGCTCCAGAACTTGAGCTCCAACCCCAAGGGTCCAATGGACGACGAGGTCACCAAGAAGTTTGCCAAGAATACTAAGATGGGAGAGTCACAGTAATTGTTGAATGGCTTCTTGTATGATACATGGCTCGGACATGACTGGCGTTGGGAATTAGTATTAGCATAATTGTGTTCCACCATTTCTTCAAATCATCACGAATACCAACGAGACTGTATATGGTCCGTGCGTCAATGACTCTCCAGTAAGACAGTGACAAATTCCGCCAGTTATCCTCCCTAATTAACTGCAGTTTGTTACGTACAGGCTGAGTGTTGCTCACTTGAGCAGGACTCAAACACCCTGTACTGATACATAGCACAGGTTGGCGAAATAGAGTCAACTTTAGCAGCGATAGTCTGTGGTGGCATCTTTGCAGCAATGCGGCCAGCTTTCACATGTCAAGAACGTCATCAGACACCAAGGGTCGTCGTCCCTGGGCACGTCAGTCCACAACGCAAGCTCCATCAGCCACAGTCCAGCAGCTGGCCGCTGGTGGGGTGTTCGGTTGATTGGCGAACTGCCACACAGCCACACGCAATGCCCCTCGATCAGCCGATGACGACATGCCCCTCCTTCAGACCTTCGAGCTTGTTCCAGCTCTCTGCCACTTCATCTTATCACCTCAAATAAGCATTTAACAAAACGGTTGGCCTCCCAGACTTTCTCCAATTCATCTTCACATCTGACGACTTACTCGTGTTTACTTTTTCCAGAACACCAATACTAAACATCTGCATCACCCCAACAACCTGATAGCTCAACCCCGCACCGTTACGCTATCTACCCAACAGACAACATTCAAAATGGCGACCACTGTTTATGTCAAGAATATTGCCTCCAACACCGAGGACAAGGAGATCAAGGACTTCTTTAGCTTCTGGTAAGAAATCTGCCTTCTTCCCTGCCCCATCACTCGTTCGCTCTGCTAACGCACCTCCCAGCGGCAAGATCAACTCCATCGAGGTCACCTCCGAGGGCGAGACCAAGTCCGCGACCGTAAACTTTGAGAAGGAGACCGCCGCCCGCACTGCTCTCCTCCTCAACCACACCACGCTCGGCACCAACAAAATCTCCGTCACCGGCGGCTCCTCCTCGGACGATGCCCATCCCGATGACTCCACCACCGATCGTTCCCCCGACGATGGCCTGACACAAGAAGAGAAGCCCCGCGCCCGCGTCCTCGCTGAGATCCTCGCTCATGGCTACCTCGTCGCCGATACCGGTCTCGAAACAGCCATTCAGCTCGACGAGAAGCACGGCGTCACCAACAAGTTTGTCAACACCGTCAAGCAGCTCGATGAGCGCACCCACGCCACAGACAAGGCCAAGGCTGCCGATGCTAGCTACGGCTTGACCGCTAGAGCCAACTCTCTCCTCACTGGCCTCGCGTCGTACTTTGAGAAGGCTACCCAGAGCCCCACCGGCAAGAAGCTGGTTGACTTTTACACCACCAGCTCCAAGCAGGTTCAAGATATCCACGCCGAGGCGAGACGGCTGGCGGACCTGAAGAAGGCCGAGCACGGCGGGAATGCCTATGCTGCGTCGGGGCTTGATAAGGTCTTTGGCCGGTTTACTGGTGGCGCGGCCAAGTCTAATGAGGAGGTTCCTGGTGGTGCTCCTGCCAATGCGGCGGCGGTGGAGAGTGAGACTAAACCCACTGCGCCGGCTGGTACTGGGGAGTCCAAGGTCATTCACTAGAGGGGGTTGAAGGAGAGTAGACAATGACGAGATGAGAATGAAGTCATGGCATGGGACTGGGACTAGGTTTTATGGGTCATGATCACGGTTCTTTTGCAGACGTTGATTCCCACCGGTGTTGTTTTCTTTTTTTTTCTTTTCCCTTTGCGCTTTTTGTATCCTTGCTTTTAGTGTAGTCAAGGCTTGGTGGAATGAGAATTACATCCTATCACAATGTAGTCGTGGATCAGATCATCCTCAACAGGTGCTGTGTGACACAGTTTATGTCTTGTGCAATTTTGATGTCCCGTGTTTATCTATCCATCTATATACAACAAAGAGGTATCGAAAAGATTACTATGTAATACTGGAAATGTATACTTTTCTTCATGAATCCATCGCATCAGGCTCGTCACATCTTCCACAGCCGTGCCAGTTTAGTTATTTCGAAATTGGACTCAATCATACCTCGTTCATGTCACAGGTACACTTTACCGCTTATTGAAGTTTAGGAATCGACTCTGCACAACACTCTGGTCAGCATGTGTTTCTTTGACCAAAAAAAAAAGCCAAGGCAACTTACCGCCAAGAAGAGAATAACCATGTTACTCCCAATAAACCCAATAAAGATCCCCAGATCCCTCCACCTGTAGTCGTACGAGAAACCCAACGGCTCAAAGAACTCGTTGCCCACCTCAAAGGCGCAGTAGCTGCAGTCGCTTGTGTTGTTGCCGCCGCCAACTAAATATCCCGAGCCGCCCCTGCTGAAGAAATTGCTCATGTACTCGGAGCAAGTCTGACCGATAGGCGCAGTGAAGTTGTTGAGCTCTTCGGGGAGACAAATAACGGGGAGGTCGTGGAGAGCAGTGACGACTGTTCCTCCAATCAGACGGGTGAAGGGGTTGAGTTCATAGAGCCAGGTCCTATACCCGGCAGGCATTTGAGGCGGCGGGATGGTGACGCCGCAGAAGAGGGCAAAGGTTACAAAGATGAAGGGGTCGAATTGGGAGGAGATGAACAAGCTTGGTGTCAGTGCAGAAAGAGCCTGGCCCATGGTGACAGAGAAAAACTCCGTGATAAGGATCATGAGGAATTGGTACCCTGCTCTTACTGGCTCGGGCTGCAGGCCAGGGAGGTAGTACAGTGGTAAGAAGAAGAGGACGGCGCAGAGGATGGAGTAGGGGATTTCCGCGATGAGGAGGGAGGAGGCGAAGACGAAGGATGAGTACATCTTTGAGGATTGTTCCCGGAAGAAGAGGACGCGCTTGAGGTGGTACATGACTTCGATCTGGCCGATGATCAGGGCGGGGAGGACGGTGATTTGGAACATGACGAAGACGCGGTATTGGAGGGATTGCCGGGAGGAGGTGAGGGAGAGGAAGGTGAGGCCGGTGATCAGCGCGATGATGACGTGGTTGAAGACGCGGGTGAAGAGATAGTTTGGTGTGCGCCAGTGGGCGAGGTTGGCGCGCTTGACCACGACGCGGAGCTGGTGGGATAGAGGGGAGGCATACTCACGCTCGAGGGAGGGGTCCTTTTGTGCTGCGGTGGCCGAGGCAATGCGGGATTCCTTGAGCTGGGAGATGGTGTCTTTGACGTTGGCGAGCTCAGGGGAGTCAACCCAGATGTCGGCCCAGTCGCGCGAGCCGATTCGGGGCGCAGAGCCGGCGCCGATGGCTTCGAGCATAAACTCCGCAACATTGTCGGTGGGCTTGGCTTCGGCTCCGTGCCGCCGCAGATAGTCGCGCAGTACGTGGGCGTCTTTTCCAATATCCCCAAAGTACACGCAGCGACCGCCGCTCTTGAGAAGGAGGAGACGATCAAAGTTCTCAAATAGGGCGGCATTCGGCTGGTGGATAGTACACAGAATCGCCTGGCCAGCGGCAGCCAGTTTGCGAAGGAAACGAACAATATTGAAGGCACTTTGGGAATCAAGGCCAGAGGTCGGCTCGTCGAGAAACAAAAGCAGCTCAGGCTTGGCCGCAAGCTCAACGCCGATGGTTACTCTCTTGCGCTGCTCAACGGTAAGACCAGCCTCGGGTGATCCAATAATCGCATCCGCAAACGTCTCCATTTCTAACAGAGCAATGATCTCCTCCACGTATGTGTACTTCTCCTCACGGGGGGTCTCGAAGGGCTGGCGTAAGTCGGCCGAGAACCGAAGGGCTTCGCGGACAGTCTGGGTCGGGTCGTGGACATCAAGCTGCTCGGCGTACGATGTGCTGCGCTGGAACTCTTTGCCTGGCTTCACGCCATCAACCAAGATATCGCCGTGAATAACACCAATGTTCTTCCTCGCAGCCAACACATCCAAGAGGGTTGTCTTGCCAGCACCCGATGCCCCCATGAGAGCGGTAAGTTGACCCGGCTTGACATACCCATAGACGTTATCGAGCAGTCGTCTTGTTCCGCCAGGCACCGGCACATCATAACACAATCCTTCCCACGTTAGGACGCTTTCCGAATTGATCTTGAGCTCCGAATCTGACTGCTCAGCCCTGGCTTTGCGTCGCTCTTCCTTCTTGGCCATCAGTTCCTCGTTCAACTTCTTCCGCTCTGCGTTGGGCTTCTGAAAGACCTTGGCTTGATTGCCACCCATGCCGAAGCGTACATATTCGCCAGCCACAATATTCACGAAGAGAAAGAAGGCCATCAAAACAAGGACAATACCCCAGTTGCGCCACAGCAAACCGGGCGTATAGGAGAAACCTTGATCAATGTAGGATGAACCGGACAGCTCGAGCGTACCGGGCGTGGAGCCAGGCAGCGTGCAGACCTGATGGTTGATATCATCGTACCCAGGACCCGACGGTATCAAACTCTCGGCTGTACATGTCATATCAATCCGCGAAAACTCGTTTTCCATCAAGGAACTGAAGATCAGACCAAGGACGTTGATGTAGTAAATCCACCGGAGCCAGACTTGTTCTGTCAGAGTATTAGCACCACGTCCTCTCTCATCCCACGGTTCTTGTGTCAGGACTTACCACTCTGCCACTGGATCAAATAGCCACTGGTCGTAATCATCAACGTAATTCCAACGGTTGCAAACTTGACCGCATAGTCGAAATCCGGGCTTAGACACCCGATCACACGGAAAAACAGCGTCATGGCAATGTTGCCGCTCAGCAACATGAGATAGAACACGAAGAACCCCCCAGCACTCCGGCTAAGATTCGTCATGAAGTAGACAATCACCGAAAAGACGAAGACTTGCGTGCTAGCGAAGACCTGATCGACAAGAATATTCGCAATCCACAGCGCTGACGGCCGGTGAAAGGCATACGCCCGGTGTTTGTTCACCACGGCTCTGCCCAACATCGTACCCGCCAGCTCGGAAAACGACTGGAAGGCGTTATGTAAAAGGGAAATAAACATCAAGCCACCCTTGGAGAAGGCGCTGGCAGACGTCTTGCCGAGATTAAGATAGAGAGTACCGAGAACAATGCCAATGATAATGTTACGGAGCCAGGACAAAATGAGAGCCAGGACATCTTGCTGCTTGAGAAGAAACTGCCTCTTCATCAGTGCCCAGACTTGCTGATGAAAGCCGACGCTGTAGGCGGAGCGCTTCGAGGCACCACGACGCTTCTGGTCGCGGACAGCAACGCGGAAGTCTTCGTGTTTGTCAGTCTCGCGAGCGAGGCTTTCTTTGTAGGACAGCATTTCTTGCTCGAGGTCCTGGGCGTACTTGGAGGACTTGAAGGCAGCTTTCAGGGTGAGAGAGTCGTAAGGGGCATTCTCAGGTGAACGGCCATCCTGGTACTCGCGCTCGAATGCGTCGGTGCAGCCCGTCACATAATCAGGGGTGGTCTGGCGGGGACGGGGGAGGAAGCCGAGACCCTCGAAGTACAACCGTGCATCTTTTGCGGGACCAAAGTACACCTGCTTGCCCCCGTCGATAACCAAGACCTTGTCAAAGAGGCTGTAAATGTTCTCCGATGCCTGGTAAAGGGAGACAAATGTGCTTGTCTTGTACAGGTCGGTCTGAATGCGGAGGGATTTGACGAAGTCGAGAGCCGTAGAGGCGTCGAGGCCGCGGGTGCTGTTGTCCCAAGAGAGAATGCAGGCATTGGTAGTGAGCATTTCGGCAATGGAAACGCGCTTCCTTTCGCCGCCTGAAACACCACGGATAAACGAGTTGCCAACAATTGTCTTGCGGGTGTGTTCAATGTTGAACATCTTCAAGAGCATGGTCACAACCTTGTCCTTGAATTCCTGCTTGGTGATGCCAGCAGGCAGTTTGCCTGGGGTCTTGACATCAAGGGCAAACCCGAGCGTCTGCTCCACGGTGAGAGTCGGGTGGTGAACATCATCCTCCTCGTTGTAAACAGCCTCTCCACGATAAGGACCAAATTCGTCGACGGCAAAAGGGCCGTAGAGGACCTCACCGGTGATTGACGTGTAGCCATAACGCTGGTTGGCGATCGTCTTGAGGAAGGTCGTACACCCAGATCCAGGCTTGCCAAGCACCAGTACCATCTCTCCCGGTTTACAAAAGCCCCTGAACCCGTCCAACAAGGTGGCCTCCACTCCTTTCTCCTCAAAACCCAGCAGCTTCCTCACCGGTGAGATGATGTCGAAAAAGTCGGTGAAGGCATCAGGGAACGTTTTGACGTAGTTGGTCTGGCCTCCGATACCCTTGACCGTCAAATCGTCCCAGTAAACCCCAATGTGCTTGGGACGAATACCGGCCTCTCTTTCGGCATCCAGGTCACCTCTGAGGGCCGCCTCCAGGTCAAACTGCTCAAAGGTCTCTGAAGAGGTCTGGTTTTGGGCGTTGCCCTTCTCGGCATCGGCGTGACTGCACGAACGACTGACGCGTGACATATGCGACAGTTCCCGTTGAAGCTGAGCAAAGTCCGACACCGCCTGCTCAACAGAGACACCGCCAATGGCGCGAGTGGTGCCATTGGGGTTGTTGCGCCGTGCCTGTTCGACGAGGTCCGCTCCATTCTGTGTCCTGGACGAAGCAGATGATGGAGATGGCCGTGCCTTCTCCGTCACAACGGCCTCCACGATAGCCTCCTTTCCAGTTCCCGGCTCCGTCGACATCTTGGGAAAAAAGTTTCCGGTGGCAATAGTAAAACTCAGCGAACTGAATCCCCCCAGACCTAGGGCCTGGAGGTGGACAGTTTACGAAGCGGTGACCCTTGAAGAGTTTGCTGGGCAGGTGCGTAGGTTTTCGAAATGGAGAAGTTGGAGAAGTAACAGAGAGAGAACAACGTTAACAAAGGAGGGACAGTCTGCCACAAGCAGCGTGACAGTTTGGGAAAAAGCTTCTCGAAAGAACCAAGGAAGGGAAGAAAAAAGGAGACTAATGGGCGCTTGGCACCCATCCCATCATTAATAATTACCAATCGAGCTTGACCATTGAATGCTACTGAGCTCCAACTGCAACACTGACGGCTCGTTATCCGATGAAACGGACAAGGTTCTTTTGGGGCTCAAGAGAACCTGCAGGAATAGTACCCACCCACTAAATGGGGGAGGGCCACGAGGGCGTAGGATCCCGAGTTAGGCAGCTCAACGTCGGGAGGTGGGGGAGGAGATGTTTATCAAGTCCACGTTAGTCGACCTTTCTTCCACTCATGCAGTCCATGTTGTTGTTTCTCGCTGCCTGTTGGGCCGTTGAGCCCGCGTGGCCTTGGCCCGAGAGACACACAGTGTTGTGTGGTGTTGTCGGTGTTGGACGGGCATTGACAAGCGGGAGCGAACATGTGAGTGGGGTGGCAACTTGTGTTGATGTTTTGCGCCGGAAATATCATTGGTGAGCGTGAAGCTGGATTTCCCTCCCGTGGTGCCGTGTTCCTCGCCATCCCTGCCAATGTAACGAAGGGCTGACCCCACCATGGACCTGGCTAGAGCTCTTGATCAGCAATGGGGGTCTGATGTGGGATGAGGGATGACATGCCATTGCTCGGCCTCCGCCCTTCGTGGAAGCTTTCAACAAGCTTGACATGACGAGGCCATACGGCGAGTGACTCATTGGCATGCAGTGTATCCAATACTGCAGGAAACAGCGGCAGATCAATGGCTCAGGGCGAGCGGAGCCAGAGGGTTGGGGATGAGGTGCGGTGGAGAAAAAGTATGGTTTGGCTTTGTCGGCCCCACAACCCCGAACTGTCAAGCGAATGTGGGGAAACAAGCCACAGCTGGAGCGGCAGATGAATGCTTGATTTTGGTGCAGTTGAGCCACACATTGCAAGGGGTCAAGCCACAAAAATGCCGAATTTCCGCTTACTCAGCGGATCAAAGTTGACTTCGACTTACGCACTTGTTCATAAAAGATAAATATCTGATAGGACCTATGGAGTATACATGCAAGCAGATAACAACAACTACCAGCACTAGCAAACCCCAAGAATTACATTCAGACCTTCCCTCTTGTAGAAATAATTGCCTTCAATTGTCTATTATTGCCTAATACTCTCATTACATCCCAAAACAAACTAACCATCCAGCATCCAACGCTGTCTACAATCTGCTGGCCGCCAACAGACCTCGTTTCCCAGTCTCACGATGGGAAATAGCCGAGCACAACTCCTAACCATGCTTGAATGCTTGCTTGTATGGCCGACGCCAGTTTTGTTACAAGAACTGCACTCCAGATTCGCAACAGAAAGAAGAGAAACAAAACGTTCGCTCAAGATTTATGCTTATGCCATGTTATGCCAACCAACTAGAGTTCCGATTCGGCGCCATTGGCCTCGGTGGCCATGGGGCTCCCATTTTGCCCTTGTCTCTTCACCCTCGCATTTCCTGCTCGACGTCTCCTGGTCACCGGTCTCCCACTCATGTTCATGTTCTCGTCATCGTCATCCGAGTCACCATCCTCTTCAGCAAAGTGACGGGCTTCGTCCAGCACCGTGATATCCTCTGGCTTTTTCCGCAGCCATTGCATTCGTGGCCCGGAGCGTGCCAGTTCCGAAACTCTGAAACCATAAATCTTTGGCTCGTAGACCCTGCCTTTGCCCAGACCAGGCGCAATATTCCGCGCCCACATGCCATTGATGTTTAGCGACTCGTCAGTCCGAGTAAGGTTCGCAAGCTGCTCGCCTCCTGACTTTGTCAAGTCGTAATCTGGGAAGGTGAGAAGAAAGAGAGCGCCAAAGGTGCGGCCAAAGAAGGCGCCATCGACCGTTTGGAATCGGCTGTTAGGGGGTACATAGACGTCGAGACACGATGGGCAGAAGAGCTTGACCGTGTCCTCACCAGGCGTATCCGAGAGGCCAACTGGCAGCGTTCTCGTCTGGTTGCAGTTCGTCCGGGGGCATACTCCGAAGTGACTGAGCTCGTACTTTTCCGACATTTGCTGGATGCCGGCCCTGGAACAGATATACCGCTGGTGGATGAGGCCGTAGAGCATCTCGGCCGAGGACTCAATGACCGATAGGTCGCTAGCTATGCGGCTGTGGTGTCGGCGTTCATGGCGACCGGCAAGACCATCTCGTCCATCTCCTGAAATGTCCTCCTCGTCCTCCTCTTCCTCGTCCTCGTCATCCTCATCGTCTTCTGGTTCAACATCGAGAATCATCTGGTGAAACACGCGCCTGATTAGCATGGCTCCTACAGCTCAAAGTAACAATAGTCAAACATTTTACCCACCTCCAGCGCCTCCTTGTACATAGTCACCTGGCTTTGAAGACCAGTGAGGTTGAAGTCATCTTCGATAAAGTCCTCTGACACTTCGGCAAAGTATTCGTGGCCGAGGAGGGAGCAAAAGGAAGAGATCCAGGACTCTGGTGATCCTGAAGAGGTCGACATGTTGGTGTGTTTTCGCTTGCTAGGAATTACTTGATCAGAAACTGCTTTGCGCGCGCAGACAGCTCTGTCCTGGTGACTGAGAGAGGTATTGTTTGAGGTGGTAGTCTCGTCGCGGGAGGACGTTGGGCGAGTTGATCTCGAGATATTCTATGTTCTGATCATTATTGACTATGCTGTTGCGCGTCGGTTTGGGCTGGGATGCTGCAGGGAGCGGTGGGACGATGCTTGCTTGTGGTTGCTTCAGAAGTCGTCAAAGCCTCATTTCCGATAGGAAGCCTTGGGCCCTTCTGTGGGCCCCACCTTCGCAATAGCCCCGCGCTGATTGCGGCCTGAAAGGCGAGGTGTCAGTCCCAAGAGGTCGGTAAGCGGTCACGTGCCACCGCGTTTCTCTCGCTCCAGCCCCTCCATCCAATCGCAGGTCGCCAATCTGATGCCAGCCTGCTAGCAAATGATGAAGACCAAGTCAGCTCTTCATTCTCAGTCGCTGACCATGCGCTGTACACTTCACCAAATTCCCCGGCTGCCTTTCACAAGGTCTCGCAGGACGTCTTTTCTACCAGCCTCAAGCAGATCACTATGTGCTGCGCGTCAGATCCAGGGGCCCATCGGGGTGGAAGAATTTCGGAAGCAAGCCATGGAGAAGAATGAGCCTCTGCTCATCAAAGGGCAGCAAGAGCCTTCGCAAGCCATGACAAAGTGGTTCGAATTCCACCCAGTGCCCAGGACAATAAACAAGACAGCTGTAGCTCTTTCCGAGCATTTTACTCATCCATTCGACGTTAAAATGGTCCCGTATGAGCTCACGGTTCCCACATGGCGTCCCAGAGGCTTCGATGGCGACAATGTGGACCGGTTCATCAGCTGGATGGCCAATACACAAACAGGTTGGCCCCATCTGTGGCTTTCGTCTTACCTTCATGACATCAAACAACAATTGGGCGATGAGTACGACGAACACCACCGCTTCCTCCGCTTCGAGGCACCAATTTCCCTCATGTCTGCTGCGCTGCGCTACAATGCTGTCAAGGTTTCATTCCAGCGCGTCACTCAGCTCTACATCGCACAGGCTCCGATATCTGACTTGCCGGCCACTCTCCAAGACGATGTGGCGACGCCAGAGATTGTTCTCAAAGCGGGCAAGGGCGACGTGTATGGTTCCAGTATTTGGCTCGGGTTAGAGCCAACCTACACACCATGGCACTGTGATCCAAATCCGAATTACTTCTGTCAGATCTATGGAGGAAAAGTGATCAGGCTTCTACCACCAGGCCTCGGCAAGAGTCTATTCCGCAAGGTTCAAGCAGAACTGGGACAGACGGGGAGCTCAACCATTCGCGGGGACGAAATGATGCAAGGCGAAGAGAGGACCTTGCTGACAACAAAGGTCTGGACCGAGGAAGCACCAGAGGAGATGATGGAGGTTGTTGTATCTCAGGGGGATTCGCTTTTCATTCCCAAAGGATGGTGGCACAGCGTGAAAAGCGTGGATTACAAAGGCGATCTGAACGGGAGTGTAAACTGGTGGTTTAGGTGAGGCTGTCCTCGAATGAACTGATCATTCAACGTTTTGCTCGCATCCAAAAGGCTGTATGAAGTCCATGTGCTTTGCCCCTTGGGCACATCTGGTGTAACGCCCATGCATGAGCACCTGCGAGAGGGTGCCCACGGCCGCCGCGGGTGCCGATGGATCTGTATTGGTTGTCTTGGCTAGAAAACTTGGATCTTTCCTTTCCTTCGACATGCCTTTCCAGACACGGTCACTCCAAAAGCTCGCAGGCCGCGGGTGAGCGTGAGAACTGTTATCGCTCGGCCTTTCAACCATCCAGGTCAGGCTTCCCTGGCTGACACGAGGGAGGATGACACCAAGTGGAAAATTGTCTGTTGGTTGTATCTCGGCGTCGCATCTTCGGCCGCCTCGCATCGCAAGACATTGGCATTATGCAGGCGATTACTGAGTCTCCTCCGAAGGGCTTACCATTTAAATAACGACATGGAAACAGTATGGCCTCGAGATTCTTCAAGCTTCAACACGATTTTCTCTTGTTGAAGTCTCTACGCCATTTGTTCTTTCGCAATGTCCGACCAGATTCAGCTCACCAACCACAAACAGTACGATGTGATAGTTGTTGGCGCCGGGCTCAGCGGTCTTCAAACAGCTGTCAAGGTCCAACATGCAGGTTTCTCCGTTATTGTTCTGGAGGCTCTTGATCGTGTGGGCGGCAAGACGCTGTCGGTGCAATCCTCTAGCCAGGGCAAAGGCGTCAATGACCTTGGCGCTGCCTGGATCAACGATAGCAGTCAATCCGAGATCTACAAGTTATTCCTCGAGGCTGGCCTGAAACCTGAAAAGCAATTGGATGAGGGCAACACCCTTCGGCAGATTGAAGACGGCAGCTATATCTCTGTTCCTTTCGGTCAACTCTTCGTAAGCGCCCCGAACACATGCAGTCCAACCGACTGTCGCCGTGCTTGTTCTGACACAAACCTAGGTTGACGAAGAAGAAGCCGCAGCCTTTGCTGTCCTCTTTGGCGCTCTGCGAAAAGTGACTGATGCTTCCAACCTGGAAGATCCCATCACCGGGCCCGACGCCAAACGGCTCGACAGCCTGACTTTTGCAGAGTACTGCAAAGAGCTCCTGGAGTCTCCTTCGACACCCATCATCGCTACCTACCTGGCGCGTGCTCTCCTAGGGGTGGAAGGTGACGAGGTCAGCGCGCTGTTCATGATCAACTACTTCAAGAGCGGAACCGGAATTCTCAACCTCGTCTCTGATGGCCCCGACGGTGGCCAATATCTCCGCGCCAACAAAGGCATGCAGACAATCTCCAAATATCTCGCCGCCCAGCTGCCCTCCGGGTCCATCCACCTCACCAGCGTTGTCAAATCCGTTAGCCAGTCTGCGGCCGGTGTGGAAGTTGTCACGACCGCCAACAAGACATTCAGGGCCGCGCGCGCGGTGGTCTCTCTGCCAAGCGCTCTATACCCGACCATTTCCTTCTCCCCCGCGCTGCCGCCATCCAAATCCATCCTGTCAGAGGGTACAGCCATCGGCGCGTACGGCAAGATCATATATGTCTGGGCTATTCCATGGTGGCGTGAGGCCGGGCTCTCTGGGACATTTGAGGCACCGCTTTCTGGGCATGTCTCTTTTACGAGGGAGACTTCCGTGCCGGAGGACAACCAGTGGTCCATCACTTGCTTCATCGTGGGTGATCCTGCAAGGGAGCTGTCCAAGTACGCCCAAAAGGTCAGGAGGGAGAAGGTTTGGGCGCAGTTTAAGCAGGTGTTTGAGGGGTCGGGGGTGTTGAAAGGGGCGAAGGTGCCGGAGCCGATTCAGGTGCATGAGATTGCCTGGAAGAGGAACCAGTATGCGGATGGCGCGCCGACTGCAGTGATGGGTCCGGGGGTGTTGACTGTGTTAGGGGAGGTGACGGTCAATCCGCTGAGGGAGCCGTGGCGGAGGGTACACTTTGTGGGCACGGAGACCAGTTTGGTTTGGAAGGGGTATATGGATGGGGCTGTCAGGAGCGGGATCCGAGGCGGTGAGGAGGTGGTGAAGGCGTTGCGGGAGGAGGGGAGGTGATGGCTTTATTCGCATCGAGAATTGGGAAAACCAAGCCATCTTGTGTATATTCTTCATCCGACAGTGCCCAGCTGTACTACTTGTCACATGCCTGTGCTACACTCCACCGTCACGCACGATCACCAACTTCGCCGTCTTCAATCAACCTGCGGGCAATCGAACAGGCCATTTGAACCACCCACAAATTAAACGTAAGCCACCTGTCTTTCTACTGGAGAAATTATAGCTGTGTGTTTCCCCCGGGGGGTTAGGGTTATATACATCCTGACTTGCACTTCATCAACCACATTACCACTCCCAGCCACACCTACTTGCACGCAGTTAGTTGAAAGCGTGGGAGTTGGCCTGGAAATTCAAGGCCGGGCAATAGGAGCCATCGCAAATAAAACCCTGGCAATGAGGCTCTTGCAGGTGGTGGCGCGCGTGCAAATATGCCCTCCATTGGCCCATAGACAACAATCAAGAGACAAATATACCATTAAAGCCTGCATTTCTGAGCAAAGGATTTCACTGCATTCTGTATTAGACAAAATGCGGTGAGGGTGGTTTGTTCATGGAGGCGAGTGATAGAATGGCGTCGCTCAGGACTCATATACAACCCTAATCCCAACTCGGGGCTGCACAGCGGTAACACAGGGTTTTAAGGGCTTTATTGAAAATAAATAAGCCAGTTACGTAGTATGTTCATCGATTTGTATGGCACTTCCTATGTGTTTCAGTGCCGGTGAGAAGTGATATTGTCTGTTGAGACGGGTTGTTGAAGCCAGGGTGTGATGTTCCTGTCACAGAAGAATAATGACTTCTCCATTGATACAACCTTAACCCGTGTCAGGGGCACGCGGATGAGGATGGAGGGACGATGATTTACTTCCCAATGCAACTCGGTCGCTGGTAGATGCATGATTTATGCCGATTGTTGGTTCTAGTCCTTAGTTTGGTGATTGCATGGAGTGCAACCACATATATCCAATGTTTAAAAAGTCGTCTTCGCATTTTCCATCCATCAGGTACCCCGCAGCTGAAGCTATGCCAGAGTGTGCGCCTGATGGGGCGCCCTGAAAAATGGCCTTTTCACACCAAGCGTCCCTCTCACCTGACGCAGCTGCCACAGCGCACTGGGCGCCAGCGCGCCCAGTGACATCTACGACAACAGGCCCGGCCGCCGGAGACACCACGCAAGCGCACTGCCTTCGAATCCCGGCACACCGCGATGCACACCGCGGATGAAACGACGACAGTTGCGATGTTCTGTCTACCCAAAGGGACCTCACTTTTACAATCTTCTCGCCTTCAATCGAGATGAAAGCAATGGCGCAGCTTCGCTCAGCCTTGCGTCCAGCTCAGCAAGGGGCATCCGAAAGGCCACTGCCGACAACACTAGCCTACCAGAACTACACTCCTGCTGAGACTATCTGTTAGCCAGTACCTGCTAACCCTAAGAAACTCCCGTTCTATCCAGACAACCCCCGCTGCCCGCGGCGTTCTCGTGCCGCTGCCGAAATCCCGCTCGACAACCCCCGCGCCCCTCCGCGCGCGCCCCTCCGCCGGCGCAACACTCTGCCTGCTCGTAACACTGCCGAAATCCAGCTCCGCGCCTAGGCTTTCGAATACGTACATCTCTAATACTCAGTTGCCGCGCGACAGAGACGAAGCGTCCCGGCGGCCTCCAAAACCGCAGGTCCGCCAACAAAATTGGCGCGGCGGTCACCCCGAGAATTCGCAAGCGCCTACTCCGAAGTCGACAACTTCAACCGACCGTCCTCGAGAAAATTGAAATAGTCTGGGTACAATTATATAACCGCCTGCGTGAAGGGAACCCGGCGTGCTTGGGATAATTTACGCCATGCCGTCAAGTTGCTGGAACCTGTCCACCCGAAACCCGGCACGCATCACGCATGGCCCGGTGCCCTTGGGTCGCGTGCGTGATGACGGAGGAAATATGATGGATCACCACCATATATTATGTTTCGAGTCAAATGATGTGCATATCCACGTGGGGGGAGAGCGTCTCGCGTTGTGTGCATCGCGTCCATGCTGTATTGGCCTACAGCTGATTTGGTTACCTATACAAGCAAAGAAGGATGCGATACAGTCAGGGTATTTCCTTCTCCCGGTTCATCTCATCCTCCCCATTGATCTTCCTCTCATCGATCGCCCTGTTCTTCCAGTCCGCGCTGTTGTCCCTGTTAGGGGCTCTTCTCACCGCCCGCCGTCTCCTGCCCGCCCACCGTCTCCTCTCCGCCTACCATGGGCGGTCAGTCGTACGAAGGAATCTCAGTTGTTGGTGCTGCGCAGGAGTCAGTCCAGGAATCTACTTGGCGAGGACATATGTATGAACACCAAGAAGATTATTACGAACGAAGCTGAGAGTATGACACTTACTCGCATTTGTTTGTGGCTCCGAAAAGGCACAACGAACCGGCGACACCGCCATCAGATCTGGTGTCTTTCTCTTAGGAGCCCCAGGGATACTCTGTTCTGGTTCGCGAGTTGGGGTTTCCATCCTATAGAATCTAGAACGGTGGTAAGTATATGCCGGTGTCAACACAGTGTAGGAACCTCGAACACAGACATAAGCTTTTGGCTGTATCGTTTGCAAGCAAGGCACTTCAAGAGCAGGGAGTGTAACTGCTGGTGCGAAGCAATAGCTGTTGACCAATTTGGGGGTTGCAGTTGATAGTTTTACTTGCGAGAGGCGGTCATTTTCTACCAAAGATGGAGTGCTGCCGTTTAGCACGTCACCATGTTCATTCACCGTCGTGAAATCCAGATCTGTCTCAGCCCAAACCTAAGAGCGGAGAACTAGTTGGGTTTGATAGGGAAGCCTGCATATGGTGAGTCCCGTTGGACGTCCTGTTGGAGAGAGTCAAACCCGAACTGGGCATTGAGATGCTAGCAGGTGGCCAAACACGAAGATGGAGATAATGCTATCAGCCTACCGGGTGTGAGGTCTGTCTCCTAGGACAATCAGGGGACATGATTGCGAGCAGTAAGAAGAACGCAACAGCCGTTTCTCATCTGTCCAAAAATTGCCAACGTCTATCATGTTGGGCAAACCATTGGTTGTAGTGAAACCAAGGCTTAATCCGCGCTGCCCTTCTCCAGGATTGGTGGGTGATATATGGCAATGTGCAGCAGCTCCGATGCGGCAAGGGAAATGCCATTCGACTACACGTCAAGGGGATCCCAGACAGGTCTTGTGTTTTCAGGTACTGTGGATGCTGTGGGTACCAAGCTGGAAGCAAAGGCATGAGAGCTGGTAGGCGCACACGTTGTTCAAACCTCCAAGAAACGATGTGCCCTTAAACATGACAATTGTATCAGCTTAAAATGGACAACCAGAAACTAAAACGACCCGCAACTCTCCTCATAATCCGACAGCATGATATTGATGGAGAAATTGAAGGCAATGGGGGCCGGGAAACTCCAATATCCGCCCCACATCGTCGACCACGTCATCGACCACATTTCCAACCACAACTGCCGAAACCCAGGGTTTTGTCTCATTCAATTTGCAGTACAAATGTACGCTCGAGCGTGATAGGACCCCTCCATTTATATGGTGTTGATGTTGTTGTCTGCGCGCAAATGCAAGCCCCGCCTCCATACTCAAGTTTCCGGTGCATGGTATTTGAGAAAGTTATATGCAAAAGCTTTAGTTGAGGGCGAAAATGGTGATGTGGTTGATGAGACACCACATGTAACTCTCACTCCTGTACGGGATAATTCACGGCTACATGTTGTGTCATCTTTTCAGTTCGTCAAGGCCAGTTCTTTACTTTGCAGGCAACATAGATAGCCAAACAGTATCATTTTGCGCAATGGGCCAACAACTTTGCTTGAGCACTGTTTCAGAGCTCTATTGCGTAACAACGTCACCGCAAGGCTTCTATTGCCTTTGCGCCGCCAATACAAGCATAAATCTCCCATCTAGTCAAGCCGAATAAACAAAAATAACTGACAGTGAGAGCAGAGGAACGGTACAATAATGGTCTGGGAGCCTTGTCAAAAACCGTAGGAACTGGAGCCTCGGCTGTCGCCAAGACAACCACTTACAAGGCTGGATATCTTGAGCCAATCACAACGTCGAGAATTCACAGCGCGATGCAGCCTTGCTTGCCAGGACAATCGACCTCGATAACATTAAACAAAACTGAGAGTCGCAGACCAAAGAAACCATCCAGCTGGGGACCTAGCATCTAAATCTGCCATTCCCTACTACTGCCTTCGGAAATAACACGACGAATCTTTTGCCGCCCACCGACAATTCGCACAGGCACCTTTGAACTTGCCCGGCATCACCACACACTCGGCGAACCGGCCTTGACCCTCCCTGCACCGATCGCAGGGCTCTGGAGAAATATCACCGCGAGAATGTGCGAGGGCAGCTTCACAGTTGGCATGTGGCTGCCAGTTGTACATGGGGTTGCCACGGTGGTCCCTCTTCACGCCCACCCCCACGACGGTTTTCGTCCTCACCTTAGCTGGCCTGATGAACTGCTTTCTTGTTAGCCAGGTGTCTGGAACAAATTGCTTTGGGTTCGAGCGGGCATACCTGTTGAGAGAAGATCTCCTTCATCACCGCACTCTTCTTGATGCAGCCATGGTAAATCCCACGAAGTGCCTTCTCGCCTATATACGACACCTTTCCACCCTTATCATGCTCAAACCTGGGATTGGTTGCAGTGGCGGCAACAATGGTGGCAGTTAGGGGGGGAATTTTCCTCGGTGGGGCCCTGCAAAGGGGTAGAAGAACGGTCAGTGGGGTGCCAAATACCTAAGCAGTTTTGCTATACGGCAGAAGGAAGACGGGTGGCATTTCAACCTAGCAGCAAAGAGGAAAGACATGGAATACAGGCAGCAGAAATGGGAACAAAGGTCCCTGCCAAAGACGGCCGCTAGACAGTGGTCTAAAAGAAGAAGAGCCAACTGCGCTTACATGTTCAGACTCCGAGCCACTCTCATGCTCAGAGACACCCTGGGCTAATAGGAGACTGGGAAGACTCGGAGAGATGGAACGCCGTAGTCCCGTCATCATTCTTTTGGCTGATCTCAAATTTTCCCCAGAGCCAGATGCACCAGGACCATGCGATTCCCGTATCTGATGATCGTGAATGGCGAACCATTCACTCGGGGCGGAAACCGCAATGTCTGGAGTGAGCAGAAGATCAGTTGGTGATCACAATCCCGAACTGGGGGCAATAGTACTCACTGGAAGCGAAAAAGATTCGATGTTAAGGTTGCGAGGGGCGGAGGCTGGTATGGAGTGTTCGTTGCTACGTCCAATTGTGCTGGTGCTCTGCTTGGCGACGCTGGAATTGCTTTTTGAACTTTGCGACGATGTACCAGCGGGGGGCGCCTCCGCTGCTGCGGTGGTGAGGTCGGCAGGTCTCTGCTCTGGACTGAAGCTATTGGGGCACAAAAGATTCAAAGTCAGCTGCGACACTTGGCGCAACGATTCCTCACCAGAGGGCGGTTCAGCGCCGGTTCTCGGTCTCGCAGTGCTCGTGCACTGTCCGGGAACGCTGATGTTGTAGTCGGGTGTCGGCGATGGTGTGCCAGCACGGGACGCCTCCGCTTTAGCGGTGCCCAAGTCAACAGGCCTCAGCACCATGTCCGTACAGAAGTCCATGTAGGCCACGTGGGACTTGACCCGCGGCGTGAAGTCCTCCAAAGAGAGGCAGTCAATGTCGACCACAACTCGGGCCCCGCCATTTGCGCTGCTGGGCTGGGTGCTCATCTCAATTGCGTACTGGTCCGCAATGCAGCTGTTCATGGCACGACTTCCTGATTCCATAAGCGCTTGTGAATCGGCAATACTGTAGAGCAGCCGTGTTCTTTTCTGCTCAACTGTCTTCTTGTAGTTCATCGCCCGGGCTTTCTCTTCGTCAAGCCGCACGATCTTCTCTTTGACTTCCCTCAGCTCCTTGTCCCAGGAACCCACCTCCTCGGCATCTTTCTCGGCTTTCGGGGTTGCCATCTTCAGACGATCGTACATAGGCTTGATTTGGACAGCAACGTCATGTGAGGCCTTTTCGAGGCTCTGTGGGCGCCGTCTCTTGTACTACTCAATATACTGGTTCTCCAAGATGGCCAGTCTATCGTTGGAGCCATCGTCCGCCTCTTGCTTGATGGACATGTTGTTCATAGTGGGCGATCAAAGAAGTTTGACAGAAGGCTTGTGAAACAGGCAGTCGCGGACAAGTAGGACCAGGCAGGAGCAGGGAAAACTTCAACAAGTCATCAGGGCCGCAGCATTCGTCGTTTCGTTGATGCGTCTTCAGCTTGCAAAGCTGGCGCTGTCTCAACAGGGTTGGGTGAGCTACATCGAACTGCAGCGCCCATTCGTTCAATTCCAGCCATGTGGGTCCAAGCAAACGGCGGGCTCCCGGCGGCTCGATAAGTGCTGCCACCCGTCCGAGGCGGGGCACGCCGGGGCACGCCGGGGACCGCTTTTTCTGTTCTTCTTTTTTGTGGAGGGGGGAGGTGGAGGGGGGGGGTGTGTAGCCAAACCCGCGTGGTGGTTGGGTGTGGAGTGTGGGGTGTGAAAAGGATCTTTGCAAAGCTGCACAAATTGAGTTCGATGCCGCTGAGCGACCCATGGAGGCCGTTTATTCCCTATTCATCTATACCCTTTCTTCGTCTTTCCAACAGCCTCTCTGTGTTCAGTATTTTCAATCGAAACACCATCGCCTTCGTCGGGTAACACGTAAAAGGTTCAGCCAGGCAGCCGCATTCTGTCCGCCGACTGAAGCATGTAACTAGGACAAGGAGAGACTTGGATCACCATCTGCTGACTGCTACATTGGGGGACTAAGATGGATCTCCGCCTCGTATTGCATTGTTTGCTATGAAGACACTGCCGCGTTGACCAATGGCACAACCAGCCGGCAGCCAGCAGCTAGCAGGTGTGTTCTATCACGCACCGCGCAAGACGGGCACACCGCACCGGACAAGATGACGTGGACAAGAGACTTGAGCTATCATCTTTGGACTGACGCCCATGATGGCTATTTCCCATGAAATCTTACCGCTGCCTGAAGTGTGCACAACAGACCGGCTTGGCATATCTCGCCGGCTTCCCTCGCGGCCCGGTTCCAAGCCGCACCAATGCATGAAGCCCGCCATGAGAGATATTGTCGGCGGAGGCACTCAGGAACTCTGACAACGCCGATGGTTCGTTCAGAAGGGCAAGGTGGTGGGATCCTGCATACCTACCTAGGTTGGTAAGGAGGCAGCAAAAGAGTCAAAGCTGACGTGGACGAGGACGCACGAGTTTATATCTTGTTCATTCATCCCCATTCTTCACGAGCTTGGGACCAAGCATTACCAACCTATCGCTATCGCTTCCTCTCCCCATGGATTCCAGAACATCAAGCAAGAAAGAGGCGAGCCCACGATCCAGAAACGCCGAGCACAACATGACGCACGATGGGCTGAGAAAATATCACAGTTACTCTGAGGGAAGTCCCACAATTAGATGGAGAGAGGAAGGAGAGAGGGCCGGTCTATTTGAGATGGCTGCGAGGAAATGAATCGACAGCAGAGCATGGCAAAATCACAGAAGTAAAGTCTGAAAGACCAAAAGAAACGTCTGGAGGCACAAAAGAAAAGTTTGGAGGCACAACTGGCTAGCACGGAAGGAGAACTGGTCAGCGTGGAACGGGAACTAGGCAGCGTGGAGGAAGAACTGGAGCTTGCGTCGACAACCGAGAGGAACCTGAGGAACGACGGTCTAACCATCGTAGAACGTTATCACAGCAGGATGAGCCACAGTGCAAAGAGATTTTCGAAAGAGTCTGGACTCGAAGGCCTTGGTCGGATACAGCCTTCTCTTGCTGAGGTTGGCAGCAGCCTCAACATTCCTTTGCCTCTCATTGCCACCAATGATGAGGTAGAACACAATGAAGGGACTGCCGGGGACAGCCGACCCATGCCAGCCATGCGTGCGGAGACTATAGCGCCAACACAGAGAGAGGGGCGAGATGGGCTGTTGGACTCGGATCAGAACTTGGTACGTACATCTAGTCCTCCATCCTCAAACTTGCCCTTCACATCAGGGTTCGCGGAGCGATTTCTCTGACCTTTTACCCTCATCTAGGCCTCAGAGCCAAGGGCCTTCCCACAGCCTTCGGAATCTTGTGCCATGCAGAGGGGGTCGTCGAGCCAACAAGAAACCTCTTCGTCCACTCTTGTGTTGACCAGTCCCCAGGAGGACTCTGACACAGAGATGGAGCAAGACAAGGTTGCTATCCGTGACGAGCAAGAGGTTGGGCATCTCTGGCGCATCAATCAGTCACAGGGGGCAGTGTCCTATGTGATAAGAAGGATGTTAGAAAAGCCGGCAAGTCATAATAACCACATACGGAATGAAGAAGAATCTGCTTGCTAACTGGATACTGGGCAGTATCGACGACCAGCTCGCTTGCGGACAACCATGCCCAAGTCCGAAAAGAAACGTGTCTATAATTGGAACGATCGGTCGAATATGATAGCTTTGGTTGTCCAGACCAGCGGACAAATTGTCCAAGAGGGCTGTGGCCGTTGTAAGAACAAGGCTGGGCCATTTACTGAGTGTGTTGTGGACTCGCAGGTTGGTATTGCCTGTGCAGGCTGCCAGTACAACAAAAACCACGGGAGGTGTTCTTTCAATCGTCAGTCTAAGAACGCTGTCGTTTGCAAGGGCCTTGACGACAACCTTTCATCAGGGGGGGCAAACTCCAATCGGTTACCTAGTCTTGTTGAGAAATAGATCCCTTGATGTTGCTCTTTTGTAACCTGCCTTTACATTGGACTATACCGGAAGTTCTCACGAACTCACTGGGGTAATATCTCTCAGAACTCTCAGGTTACCTGTTCACACAAATTGGAAGCCATGCGCTGGCTACCCATTTAGATACACACTGCCAGCACCTACTTGGCGACCTCTGTATGCCACCACGATGTGAACTGAAGAAAGAAAAAAAGCTGCCTTGTCCAGTGTGACTAAATAAACATCTTGGACTGGCCCCTAAAGCGCCTTAAGAGGCGGCTCTCTTGGAGTTCTACCGAGCCTTCGACCAGACAGGGGGACCGCAGTTTACCTAGTTGAGCTTGACCTTGTTAAACCTTTTGTTCAGCCTCTTCTTCTGGTGCCTCTTCTCCGGTCGCCTGCCCTCCCAAATTTATGCAGCTATCTCAATATTCGAGCAGATTTAGGGTGGTCGATAAGATAAGACGGCTTTGGCCTAGCTTGCAGAATGATCCTCTCCATGAGTACCTATACGTCCTCAAATCTCGCTCATCATCACAAACTTCGAGAAGGCCTCCAAGCTAGCTAATATCCGGTTTAGCCACCTGGTGTTCGGTTGGAACCTAGCCACTAGATGCTTTTGGACTTGGCTCCAAAGTCCCGGCGTCTCAGCCCTGTCCGGGGTAGAGAAAGAAGCACTCGCCAAGCGGGCTGTGGCAGCCCTGTTCATCTCCACCCTCCTCGTTCGCAACTTAAGGACCAATCATCAGACGACCCACTTGCAGAAACCGAGGACTGTTTTTCCGGCTAGTCCCGACCTTTTGGGTCAGACGGTGGCATGTTGTTGGCGGAACCTGCGTGGCTGCCCGAGGGGTAGGCACGCAAGGAGCAAAGCCAAGTCGCAGAGCCAGCCACATGCGGGATGTGGGCGTCTTGGCAGCAAGTTGGTCACTCAGTTCGTATTAATCAGACGTCAGGGTCACATATGTTGATGGTGTATAAGATGTGGGACAATGCCTTTCTCACTGATCAGCCTTCTTCCATCTCATTCTCAGCAACAGTCTCACCACCAGTCGTTCTCATCGCTCTTTCTCTTCTCTTTTTGCTATCGAAGATACCCGGCCTTTTACCCGACCTACATACACCTTATTTTCTAATTCTATCAAAATGGCCACTCCCGCTCCCCAAGCCGCTGCTGCCCCTTCCACCCAGGCCGCTGGCCCCATCTCCGACGCCGACGTCGCCGAGTGGAAAGACAAGTTCAACAAGGTCTTCGCCGCACCCTCAGAGCACTTCAACTCCGAGTCGCCGGCCACCGCCCAGCCATGGACACACAACTTCTGGAATTTTATCAGCCCGCTCGAGACATGTCTTATGACTTGGTGCTTGCCATGTGTGGTGTTTGGCAGGACGCATCACAGGGTCAACAAGAGCGCCAGTTTGAGAGGTTATGAGCCTATCAACACTTCGGTATATTTGGGCTCTGTCATATTATTGCCCTTGATGGGTTGTTAACATAGATCCAGTGCCTTCTCTTCTGCGGTTCAACAGCCGTCTGCATGCAATGGCTTCCCATGGCAATTCAGAGAGCGGATTTCAGAGCCAAATACAACCTTCAGGGGAGCTGCGCGATGGACGTTGCTTTAGCGTGCTGCTGCTGGTGCTGTGATATTGTGCAGATGGATAAGGAGGCTGAGTTGAGGTCTTCTGGGGAGCAGAGCCAGAATGGGATTCAGGAGCAGTATAAAGCTGCCGAGGTCATGGTTGTGCCTGAGCAGAAGCAGTAGACGGACGGAGCGAGGTGCATGACGAGATACTTGGGGAATTTGCTAATGGATAATGGGTTGCGGCTTAGCTATGATACCTCTGCTAGTTTGTTTGTGTTTGTTTGTTTTGGTCAAGAACATAATACTTTTCTCTAGCTCTTCAGATATTTCCTCACAGTTTTTTCGGCGGAACTGCGTCATCAAGGGTCAATCCAAGGGGACAACCCCCTGCCTGTCAAGTGCCAGATTGTGGGGTCAAGATCTGCAAATGGCCCCTGCTAGCGCTGAGAGCAGAACTGGACCCTTGCTCGGCAATTTCACCCCAATGTGGCGTCCATCCCGAGATCAACGACAAAGTTGGTGATGGCTTCAAAAATACAATTTGGAGTTAACTTCTCACAACTCGAATTATGGCCCTCACCTAGTCCAACCTCCTTGGTAGCTAGTCCCTCCCCAAACCGGCAAACATCACTTTGCTGCCCCCCTCCTTGATATCCCTGATACCTGTAACCTTGATAACCACCATAACCCTGATAGTATCCCCCGGCAACACCATATGTCTGCTGCTCCTTCTGTGGAAAAGCAGGCTTCTCAATCTCAAGATCGGTCAGCATCCCCCTCGGCGTCTGCCCCCTCCAATCCGCCACATCAGGGCTCGCCCCCGCCTTCACGAGAGCCTTTGCAATCTTTGTCACCGCGTCTTTATCCCCAAGCTTATTACACCCCAGCCCCACAACAAGCAATGCCGTCCTCCCCTCTCTATCCTTGCTATCGATCACCTCCTGCCTCAACCCGGCGTCCTCCACCTCTTTGAGTAAGAACTCTATCGCCTCAGGACAGACACCAGTAGCCGCCCAGTGAAGGGGGGTCATACCCCGGAAATCTTGTTGTTTGAGCAGATTTTTCCACTTCCACTGGCCGGTGTAATTGGTGGGTTGGAATTGGGTGTATCGGGTGTTTATTTGATATTGAGGCGTGTATGTAAATGTTCTGGTAGTTGTCATGCTTTCTTTGATGGCTTCCAGCGCGGCCACGTTGTTGTGATACGACGCGAGGTGTATGGCTGTTAACTGAGAAGAGGCCGCGTTCAGCGTGGCGGTTGGGTCGGCACCTTTTTCTAGGAGGGACTCGATGACGGTGGTGGTCTTGGTGCTTTTCCCGGTGGTGGTGCACATGTCGTGGAGGGCGGTGTGCCCGGTTCTGGGGGACTTTTCGTGATGTTGGGCGTGTTGAACTGCCATTGGAATCTCTGTGGTTGGAATTGAAGGCCGGGTTGGATACCTCGGATTGGGAGAGGTTGACCGAATGGTGTCGCGCGTTGGAGAGGATGTTTTGGGGAGTTTGTAGGAGCGGTGAGGCTATTTGTCTAGATGTCGTCGACGGCGCGTCAGTACACAAACCTTCCATGAAACTGGTATAGACATGGAGGTTCGGGGGATCACATACAACCTAACAGCCTGAACAACCCGATAAATCTCCCGTTCCCTCGCATACAACCGACTCGTCAACCGATGCATCTGAGCAAGTTGATATATCTCAGACGGCTTGTGGGAGCAATACTCCTGTGGGACTGGCAGTCAGATTGCTCTAGGGCTTCGGCCCTGGGGCCCACATATATGGAAAGGATAAGGGGAAGGTTTTGCTCTCTAGAGTTGTTTGTTCGAGTACTTAACAATATCATCAACTATTACCAAAATCCTCGCTGCCGTACAACACAGCTTTGTGAAACCTTGCTGGGGCATCATCTTTATTTTGCCTTCTCATTGGCGTCCGCAAAGGCCACCTTGCACTCCTCCAGGTTCGCCTCAATTCGCGGGGAGAGATCAGTGGTTATAGGGATGCTGGTAGTACCAGACCTGAGCTGTTCAAGAAGGCCTCTGCAGGAGTCTAGTGCCACGGAGACGGCCTTGATGCTATTGGCAAGATCTCTGAAACTGTTATCACTGCATAGGACACGGTAGGTCAGGCTGTTGTATGTCGTCGAGAGCCGCTCGGCGGAATCCTGCAAGATGATGATTTGATCCAACATTGTGTGATTTGACTGTGAGTGATTTCTGTGCTGAAGGACAAACGGCAAAGATGGCCTTGAGTTAAGGTGGGCAAGAGTGGATTGAGGATTAAACAGGGGTAGCAGTGGCAATCCGAAGATGATTTGCGATTTAGACTCCCACAGATTGCCCTCGCAAATGTGGACACAGCCTCAAGGTCGGATTCAGTTGGCCCTTGAGCAGCATGTTTGCGGCTCATTGTGCTGACATGATAGGGGATCAACACGACTGCGCCCCCCCCCCCCCCCCTTTGGCAGCAGAGCCTCACTTCCCTATGTAGGCCTTTTCTTACTCCTGAAACTACTCTGACCACACGCTTCATGCTTCATGCTACAATAAGGACAAGAAACATAAAACGCTACAAAGAAAGCCGAGAGCCTTCAGCACACCAATTATAGCTTTGAAGATCATATTTTCTCTATAATGCTGCTTTTGTGCACACTCAGATTCAATTAACATCTAGAGATCTCTCATCTTTTATTCCTAGGTAGGCTATTCCAAGTCCAACTCAATAAAAGCCACAATTAACTGGAACACTGTCCAACCACTTCTTGATAAGAGGTTCAGTCTGTAACATCTGACCAAATTGAGGACCTGCTTCTACAAGACTGTCCTTTGACGGCAACACTTGATTCCAAAGATCACCACCTAAGTCTTTTTTATTCCGAACAGCACCTCTTTTCTCGCTGTGAGCCCCATATCTGGATGCTGTATCCCACCCAGCACTCCTCGTGCTTTTTCTGACCTCGCCCGTGGAGACTCTACTCTTAGGCTTCTTTTGGCTTTCACTTTGAGATGACACTGGACGCATCTTGCATTTGGCATCTTGCTTCAAATCAGGCAAGGTATTTGGGGACCTGCTCCTCTGGTTCACGGGGGGCGGTAAATTGGCTGCTCTAGTATCTCGACTTGGTGGCGGCTTCTTCATCTGGCTTGAATGAACACCTCGAGGTTTTGGTGTATTCTTTCTGGGTTTTTGTTTGTCACCGGCCGCTTTGTCGCTCCTGCCAGTGTCAGGTGTCACTTTGTGACTCGATATCTTATTTGTGCACAAATCCTGTCTGGCGACCTGTGGACTGTTCGATCGTTGTCTGTTGGTCCTGTTCTGGCTGGCATCCTTCGTAGGTGCCTTGGATCTTCCACGGCGGCTGTCGCTCTTTCCCAGTGACCGGTCATCATCTCTACAATCTGGATATTTGAGATGGCTTTGGTCATTCTGTCGTTGACCTGAGTCTGGGGTTGTATTCCGACCACGGTCCTCATGCTTCTGTGGAGAACGAACCTCAGACCTGCCTCGAGGCGGGCTCCGGCGTGGTTGCTGGCGTGGAGTGGTCTTTGACGCATTCTTTGTACCTTCATGTTGCTCGTCGACTTGAGGTAGCGCCTTAGCCTGTACCTCCTTTGCTAGTTCCTTCTCTTGAGCTGCAGCCAAGTGGGCACCCGCCTTTTCTAACGCAGTCTTCATCTTCCTGAACGCTCTTTCATCCTTATCTCCCCTGGAAAATTTTCCAGACAAGACATCCCAAGGCGTTCTTCCCTTGTCGTCCTGCTCCCTAACCAACCGCTCACTCAGCCTCTCTCTCACAATCTCGCTAACCAAAAACTCGGCCGCCTCAGGTGCTGCCCCCCAAGCAACCATGTGAAGGACATTCCTACCGTTCTTGTTGGCCTTACATAGGAGACTCTTCCATTCCTTTTTGTGACGTCTATAGCGCTGCACGGTTGACACCGTACTCATCGAAGTTGAAGGTCGACGAGGTAGTGTCGTCACCTCTTGTTCCTTGGTGAAAACAGGAAGCTTTGTAGCTCGAGCGGCGAGTGTCTTGGCATCAGCAGGTCCGTCGTCCTCCGGCACCAAGCTTCTCTTGATAGCCTTCAGTGCTTTCACGTTGTTGTTGTAGGCAGCGAGGTGTAGGGATGTTGACTGAGCACCTTCAGTGGTAAGCCTTGGATCAGCCCCCTCGTCGAGCAGAAAGCTGACAAGAGCAATTTTGTTGTCGGATTGATCGGGGTCACTACAAGCATTTTGTAGGGCAGTGTATCTGTTAGGCAGTTGTCGCTTGTCGACGCTCTCACCGTTGAGCAAAAGTGTCCTCACCAATGGCGGAACCCAATCTGCAAATTGGCGTCCTGGACTCGGTGCGCGGGATGCCTTGATGAGTTTTTTGAGTTGGGATTCGATATTGAGGACAGTGGCCTGTGTTTGGCAGGCTACGACGCCGTTTTTTTGGACGTCACTTTGTAATTTGGAGGTCATTCTTTTTGTTTGGTCGGCCGTGTCTCTTGCTTGGCGAGAGATATGCTTGGTCTGGTAGGACATGTCTTTTATTTGGCGCACGTCTTTGAGTGTTTGGGCGCCTATCTCCCTGTTTTGAGCACCCGATGTCAGCGGACGGTTGCCCTTGCATGATGTAGGCATGAAGTATCATATAGCCAAGACCTCTCACTGGAATAGATGAAAGAAACAGTAACACTGGCCAGAAGAAAAAGCGACTTACAGGTGGATGTCCTCCACAACTGATCGCAGGTCTTTGTCTCCCGACCGCAAATTGTCTCTCGACCTTTTCACCTCATCGGGGTCTAGAACTTGGAGGAGTTTGCGGCTTCGACTTTTGAGAAGCTTGTTTGACTTCTCCTCAGCTTCTGACAACGTCTTCTGACATCTTTTCAAACTGGTAATCAATCTTCGCTGCAACTGCTCGGGGAAGGAGACCCGAATCGCCCCTGAATAGATCCGCTCATAGACCTTTTTACATGTGCTTGTTTTCCCTGAGATACTTTTGATCTCTTTCACGAGATCTTTGGCATCATCTCCCAGGCCGTTGTAGGTCAAAAAGGTCTGGTAGGCGAAGCCAGCAATAGATGTAACCAGATCGAGCATGTTGTCAAAGGTGCCAAAGATTTGCAAAAGAATAGTCCAAAACCAGAACTCAAGTGGTGATGTAGGAGGCCGATGTGCAAGGTACATGTGCCTCGACCAGGCTCATGTGGCCGTCTTCCCGCTAGCACTCGATGCATATGCATCTGCAATCCTACCGCCCAGTCAGCTGCATAGCCACATATCCGTTGAAGGCAGACCTTGAGGCTTATCCTCGATAAATATTGCAATGCTCTGGTTGGTCACCTGGTCCAGTTGGGCATCAACTGTTGGCGAAATATGCAGGTAATAGCACCGCCCCAGTTTACTGCACCAACAAGATGCTTGGCAAGAGCCGCAAGACAAGGCTCTAGAATAGAGAGAATCACCGGAGGTCTGCCTTGAATTGGATGCAATAATGATGAGGTGGATGAATTGACAAGTATCTCAGATGATAGCCAGACACCGATCTCCCTGTGGCCCAAAACCCTCACAGAATCCGGCAAGTTCCAAAGTGTTGGCTTCCTATTAACGAATCAGCTATCACTGATCAATTCCAGACAATAAGGGAAACTCACTCCAAAATTCATGTTCCATAATGGTACATCTGCTCCGGAATTCTTCCTTGTCAGGCCGACACCCACCGATGCCCCAAGATTGAGACTACCCTGGAAGCCGTTCTGAAAGCCTCCACAAGCCGTGCAAGTCGCAGCTGCCCACCATGTTAGTCAAAGCCAATCGTGAATGAGCATCTCTTGGGGAAGGGCAGACAAACAAGTGATTGTCTTAAAAGACGCAGACAAAGTTGGCGCTTTCGCAGTCAACTCAGCAGCAAAGCCCGTTTCTATAAGAGTGTTAGCTGAGATGATATCTTCACACCAGTGGAGAGAACTGTTTACTTACCAACAACACTGACTTCCATCCCGATCGAGCCCTTAAGGAAAGCCGAAGCGCGAGCTTCAACATTTGCGTCCACCTTCAGGGGCTGCTCCTCAAACGTGATCTCCCAACCGCTCTTACTCATTCTGGCCTCATTCAAAAAATCAAGCTTGGCAGTTGATCCCTTGGGCAGGCTAGCCGTGCCCCCCAGGGTGACGCCAAGACTCCCCTTCAGCTCACCAAGCTCAGCACCTAAAGAGATAGCCACTGTTGGGCCCAGAGTGAGCACACCAGGGATAGCAATACCCGCAGGCGAGAACTCAAAGATCGGAATACTCTGTGACAAGGCAGCCCCGTTCAACACAGTGCCTTGCGCCTTCAGAGCAACAATGGCAGTGGCCGCCAGCTCGTCGGACAAAGAGATCTCCACGTTGGCCTCGGATAGCTTGAACGCCTTGGCCGCGAACCTTGCCTCAATGAGCAATGACCCGGTCGTAAAGCAGCTGACACATGTAGCTGAAGCGTCGATTTGGTCCCGAGAGAGCGAGATCGTCTTTGCCGTGAGATTCGACTCGAACGGAATCGAGAAATCGGGGTTAAAAGCTGGGTCGAACGGGTTCACCTCACCTAGCACAGGCACGGTAACAGCTGGAATCTCCTCGACCTTCTCCTTTACTTTCCCAATGACCTTGTCGGCGGTCTCCTTGATCTTTTCTCCGACCTTAGTAAACCCATCTTTGATTTTGTTCCACGCATCCTTGAAGAACTGCCGCTTTTCAATCTCACTGGGAGGGACCGCCGGCCGGCCGACGGTCAAGTCAAAAGTATGTGCCGCTTTCTTCCACGTTGTTTGCTCAACACTCAAGATAGCAGTTTCCTTCTCGTCATTATAGATCAGCCCAGTGACATTGTAGATGATACGCTCGGTGTTTCTGCCACAAGCACCATCACCAACAAGCAGGAAGAAGTGGTTGTCAGGCTTCTTGTTGACCCACTGCCATATATCTTCCGCTTCGTCAAAGTCGGCTTCCTCGGAAAAGGTAAGCTTCAACTCGCCGTCGGTCTGGGGACAGCTGACTTGGGTGATGAGGTCGTCGATGAGCTCGAGGTTCACGAGATTTTCGTTTTCGCCGGCGGTTTCGATGCGAAGCTTGGCGATGGTGCCGTCCTCGCCAGACCAGTAAAGAGTCTCTTCGGACTTGAGCGAAAAGGCAGCTCGGAGCTCACGTCTGGTATTTACCGGGCGGGGAACACGAATGGGCTTCAGGATGACAGTGTTGGGTTTTGCCAAGACTGTGTCTTCGATGGATGATGAGCTCACGTCGCGAGTGTTAATGATGGTGTTGGGCGAAAAATGTGGAATCGCGCTAGCAAGAGCAGAAATGCTGTGCGCCAAGGCAGCAGCGAAAGGAAGGTGCAGGCGAACCATGGCCTGCTGGTTGAAACGAAAGAATTGAAAGGGAAGGAACGACTGTGTATATCTTGAATGGAAGGAAGGAAGGATCGAGGACGATGCTTTTCACAACACCATCATCCGACACTTGCAATGTTGCGATACCCCGATCTTACTCTAACTACATTGAAAGTAGGGCGGTGCCCAAGTATTAAGCTTGTTTTCAACAGCCGATCCTGTTCATCATGAGAGCTAAGCGCGCATCTCGGCGTGCCCCTGAGTCGAGATGAAGAATTGAACGCTGTCCATCGGTTGGGCTGTGTGCAGCATGAATGTCAGGGTGCCATACCAGGGACGTTGGCCATCCACAGCGTTTATTTGCTGGTGATGCTAGATCCCCTGGATCCGATACGCCCTATGAGACGGGGCATCCAGGATTAGCGGGCCACAGTTTGCCCCCGACTCCTGGGAGCTGCTTGTTTCATCGCTATGATAGGCTGCCCTTTTTCATGTGACACACAACAGGGTCTTGTTCGCTGCAACCCAACCCCTGAGGCAGATCGCGATGGTAAGACTTTTTAGTTGTTTTCGGTACCTCAACCGGCAGGTGTCAAGAAGTTGACTGCCGTCCGATGTCACCATGAGGCTTGAATTCTCCGAGTAAGGCTTGGACACGTTCATTGACCATGATAAAAACACTTGGCCAGGCTTGGCTCATCGGAATTGAGGTATGCCCAAAGTTCATTCCCAATCATGTTCGGTACCTCTGTTGCGATTGCTACCTATCTACCTATTCTAACTGAGATCACTCTCTGTGCCAACTTTCCCTATCCTACAACTTCACCATCTTCTTTTCCTCCGGTACTCCGCCAAGCATCATCCAGGACCCAGTAAGGGATACCCACCCTTCCTCTTCTTCCTTTTGGTCTTCTCGCACCATAACAGGCATCCATCCCTGAGCCTCATCCTCGGAAAAGCCGAGGAAACCATCGTATTCACATCCGCTATCCGATCCCACGCTCAACCCACAATCACTAGCCGAATCCGGTAGCAAGAGCTCAGGTGGTTGCAAGTACGGAATCTCTTCCACCAACGGGGTTTTGAAGCTGACCCGTTTCTTGATCGTTTTCTTGACAGTCTTCTTCGGGGTGCATCGTTGTACTGTTCTAATCGTATAAGCCAGCTCCTCACGAATGATATCCTCCATTCTCATTCCCTCACCCTCCTCGACAGTTGGAGCATTCCAACGTCTGTTTTCCCTCCACAAGTCACTGGGCAGGATTTGCTCTCCAAAGGCCAGTCCCTTGCCATCTTTCACAGGATCATCAAGCGTCACGACTCTCCCACTGCCCCTGAATCGAGGTTCCTTTCTCCAAACCTTTGCATTTCCTCTCTGCACCATTCTCCCACCCTGAAATCTTGCCTTCTCCGCCTGTCGCTGCTTAACTCGTTCTTTCTCTTCATCCTCCTCTTGCATAGCTCCTTTCATTTCCTCCGGCACACCCCGACAGTCAAACTTCAGCCACCAAACCGTCTCCTTTACCGCCTTGTTCTCCCTTTCCTTCTCTCCTGTGAGTTTTGATGAACTTGAGCTGAGAGCCTTGACATCGCGTAAGTGGCCTTTCTTCGCGGTGAAATTGCTCGGCCAGGGGCTACCTAGAGGAAAGTCCTCGGAGACAACAAGGCGCTTGTGCGGTAAGAGGGCGAGCGTAGTATCTCGCTTGACTTGTGACTGATTGTCGTGTCTCCAATGTTCGCCACCGTTAACTGGGACTTCGGGACAGGGAGCTCGATGTAGGTATTGGTAATCAGGTAGCCAGTTCGTCAGAGTGGCTCGGTATGCTACGTAGCCGTTGGATAGGACCGTATGGGCTATGTAGGCATCTGCTTGAGGTTGTGAATTTTGATTGTTGGTCCCTAATGCTAACTTTGCTGCGATCAGGGGTTGCCCCTTGGTGCCGAGGTGTGTTGTTGGCATGATTATTTAGAGTGTATGACTTGGTTATGTAATAGCGATTGTGTTGTTATGACGAGATTAAAAAATGCGTAGCTGATATGTTTCGACTGGTACACAAAATGAGTTGAGTAAAATATGTCCAGCAAAGGAAAACAAAAGTCTATCGTGGCTGTATATAACATCCTGTCAGGTCATCCGGAACTCGGAATCAACAGCACTTTTTCTTGTTTTCCAGGTTTTTCTGCCGACCTGTTTTGCATCGCTTGATTTGCAGGTCACTAGAAATGGCCTTGTGGAGGTCATTCGTTGGACTGGCAGAGCACAACTAGGTTGACTCCGAAGGGCGTCTTGTGTTGGTCACGCCGCATGGAATTTTTGGCCCTGGCCTCTTGGTGGCCTCCCTCTGGTCTGATTATCGCCGAGCTTTTCATAACAGTGGTGCGGCGCAGCAGATCTGGGGACATGCGGGTCGGGCCCGAACGAGGGTGCTGAGCTTTTAATGGGTCACCTTGGGGGTCGCACCCCAACGCAACTGGTCTTAATGGGAGATCAGGCTTTGGACTAGCGCAGAGAGGTCGAGCTGATGGGCCGTTCTGGGAGGAAAGTGACATGGGGTACCTAGAAGGCAAGAATTCTGAATATCAAGATCGAAGACAAACTATAACCTGAAACCTATATATGACTCATTTTCCGACTTGAATATACCATCTTCTTTGATTGTGGTTGGTGAATTGTTCTTTTTACTCGGTCGCTACTGGTGGTGGTACTTGGGGATTACTGGGAAGATAACTTGCAAGTAGTAAATGGGTTCCAAAAAGTCCCCCTATGATAAATAGACAACAACCAACAACCCAAGGTACCCTTCTCGAACACCTCTCCCTAGCTTGCTATAAAAGCTTCATTGCAAATTTGAAAGGCTGGGATGAAGACCTGAAACGTTTGAACTAAGGATATCTAATACTTGGATAGTGGCCGGGAAAAGTTTAAACTAAGACTTTATAATGCTTGGATTGTGGACAGAAAGGCTTAGACTAAGCTTTTTAATGCTCGGATAGTGGATAGCAGAAGTTTGGATGAGGGTTATTTATAATGCTTAGATAAGTAGAAAACAAAAGCTAGAATACTACTAACCATTGAATCTGCGCCCAACTATACCTATTTAATTACCTTAGGTATTTACCAGAATCAAGCGTTTTTAAGCCTGCTTTTCAGCTCGTTCATCATTAAATGCATCCACTGCTTTCAACATTTAGGATTCTACCGCTCAGGCCAGCTCTCCCAGAGGTCTGCCCACAAGCTAGATTCGACTAAACACACTAGAAAAACTGCAACCCCAACCGAAAACCCTAGCCCTAACCCGTGAGGATTGAACTGAAGGGAATGGGCATTCCCACTTAAAAGACTACACCCAAAACCATATTCACGACTGGAATCAGAGCCGGAATCTCAGGTAGCGCCGAGACCCAGGGGTAGAATGTCTCATTTTGCATGCCCGATTTTAAACAAGACGCGTACAAGAGTATCGTCGACAAGAACCTACAGCGGGGGTGTGTAGTGAAAGGGTGAAGTTGGTCGGGGGGTATTGAGGGGTCAATCTCTTGGCATCTGGTGGAGGCTGGCCCGGCCCGCAGGTGACAGGGGGCAACACCTTGCAGAGCCGACCCCGCTTTTAACCTCATCCCGCGCCATCAACGACACCAAGAACGACACCGTTTCCGGACAACTCAACTGCGTAATTAACTCCTTTTACTTCCATAACCGCAAGCCTCTCACAATGCCTGGCTCTTCCCTTTGGCTTCTGCCTCCACTGACGCATCCCCTCTACTCCATCCTCACGAAGCTCATCAGTTCGACCCTCCCCTCCAAGTGCCCCTCCGAAGCTGCATCATCTCCTAAAGTCAAACCGCATTTCTTCTCCCCCCACATGACCCTGACCAGTGATGTCCCTCCCTCTGTCTACGGGTCCGACCCACAAGCATGGCTCGACTCGATCCCCTTCCCTTCTGCCGAACACGTCAAGGTCCGTTTCGGCAAGGTGAAGAGTCAGGATGTTTTCTATAGGCGGTGTTACATATCTGTCGGGTACGAGGGCGTCAAAGACCTTGCGGGGGTTTCGAGGGCGAGGGGAGTGTTTGGGGAAGAGGACGAACGGGGCGAGAAGACGAAGGAATGGTTGGAGTGGTGGAGGAAGCAGTTTGGGCCGCATGTTAGCTTGATGTAGTAAGTCTTTATCGCTTGTTTTGGTCTTTTTTGCATAGGGATAGCGAATGGCTGACATGCATGCCGTGTGGGAAACAGCGGTGATGTACCGATTACTGAGGAGAAAATGAGAGAGGTAAGTCGAATAATTGTGGATGCCGGGGTCGCTTTGCCGGATGATGGACAGGCTGCGAGCGGAGAGAGAGGGATGTACGATGGCTGGGATGGTGGTGTGGTATGGCTGGTTCCATCGGATGGGCCGATTCAGGAGTGGAAGCCAATCGCAGTGATAGAATTATAGTGCGGGTGTAGAAGGTCAGCTGGGGAAGTGGACGATTCATCTAATATAGGATCTAAAGAAATCTTCGTACAAGGCTATCCACGATAGCTCTAATCACTGTCTCTTGTCATATCCAAGTCTTTCCTTATCTACATATCTAACTTCCCGGGTTTTTCACCTTTCCAATTGCTACTATTTAGTAAATACAAACATGCTTCGTGTACGATGGCACGATCGAATCACTATCCTCTCTAAACGAGAATAATATCTCAGTAAGTCCTACCTACGGACCGACGTATAGTTAACCCACCCGATAAAGGGAATATATCCGGCATGCTGAATAACTACGCACTTATGCGTTTGTAGTGGTTAATAGGAAGTTCGTTGTAGCGCGATTTTGGTGTTAGGTATATGCAGACCGCCTGCCCAACTGCACTAGGGATTCAAGCATGCTTGGAGATTTGTCTATGGGGTGGTTTTGGAGCGGTGGGTGGGCGGGATGCTGTAAGCGAGATGGAAAGGAAAGCACAAAAGCAGTGAGTGTGGTGTGGCATTGTCAGAGATGAGCTGGTTTGAATAGTTCAAAACTAAGGACCATATCTCTCTCCATAAGGATTAGCTGAGATAGGTAGCTGTGGAACAGCAAAAACGAACGCAAGGGACTCTGCCCGAACAGGTAAAAAGAGAGTGCTACAAGGCTCCGTGTGCTGCTTCAGAGCTAAATAGAATGTCCCGATTAAGTCGTACATCTACGTGATCCCCCAATAGAGTCACACATGTTGGCGAGTCCAGGTACATATATATTCTCATGTTTGAGATGTCAGCCGGATCTACATTGCGCAGCACATACATGTTCGATTGGCCTACATGCCACAGATTAACAGGAACCAAGTATGCACTTGGGTTTGCACCTGCATACATATCCAATCAATGGTTAGTTTGAATGGCGGTTCAAAGCCTGGAAATGATGCTTCCATGCGTAGGTACCTGGTTCAATTAGTGGTTCAATGTACCTACCTAGCCGGTGGTGGAATGGCTGGTTTTGTAGGTTACCAATTCAGAGCCATCTGTGCCACATTTGGCGCAGTGTTACCTTAGTCACAGGCCATCATTTCAATGAATGGAGATGAGATAAGACGGCCCTCGATTTGACTTGGCTCATCTCATGTACGGGCTCATCTCATTGACCACCTGGCCATCAACAAAATCCTGATCGCGCACCGAATCCTCCACTCCAGTGTTTTCAATGTTCTTTTTTGGTCACGACTCCTCCCTACCTGGCCAGGTAGGTATACTAAGGTACTCAGTATTTCAAAGCCTACAATGCTTGGTTTACATCGATATTGGTGTTTTTCGATGTTGAACTCTGGCGAGCGGATTGCTGGCGCGCAGCTCGTGGTATCTGGCATCGGATCCCCGCTTATAAAAACAGACGTTAGTGCCCTTAGTAACCCATATGGTCGGGTCTATAAAATCTATCTAATTCATGGTAAACAGTGGTTTCACGGGGATTCCATCTGCTTCTCAACAGTTATTTCCCACATCCTCCAAGTACTCCAAAGCTGCCAGGATGCATGGGTTCAGGAGCGTCGAGCCAAGAGTAAAAGGTACTACGGATCCCTTACCCGTGTGGTAACAATGGTTTCTCCCGCGCTTCCCCGGTCAAAGCTGAACCAAAACGTCCCTTGCGCTATCTTTCAACCGCAAGAGGGGATCACGTATTCACATGTTATATCGCTTATTACAAGAAGATATACGGTTTTGCGAAGTTTTGTTTCTTGTGTAGCCAGTATCTTACCTCTCCGGAAGCCTTGGAGGCGCATTGCCAAGCACATTTCGACAGACGCGAAGTCCCTCTGCGGTACGATTTTGTTCGATTCCGCCATCCTACTGCCTACGAGGGAAGGTGCGCAACTTGTTACGGCAACAAGAGCTTGCCAGCCGCTCGCCGATTACACGGGTACCTAAAGAAGGCAAGTTGGGAAAAGCACACCAACGCATGCTTCACGGAATATGTTGGCGGGTTGAAGCAGAACTCCATTATTTGTCCCCACCCGGAATGCGCCGTGGTTTCCAGCACTGAGCAGGAATGCCGGTGGCACCTCCAGGATGCCCACAGCTATCCGGCTCGGAAAGCCGGAACCAAGCCACTACCCAAGAACAGAGGAACTGGAGGCGGCTGCAACCAGAAAGGCAGAAAACGTTGCCGGGGCAGTGAGGACCGAGAATCGTGTGATGCCGAGTCCAGATTGAAACGAAGGCGTTCCTCGTCATCTTTACCATACTTGGTTAGCAGCCCGAAGAGACAGTTCAGAGTTCTTGTACCAGAGGACTTCGATCCGACGGAAGGCGCCAATCGGCAGAGTGCACCCAAGCAACATCATCAAATCAAACTCCTAGTATCACAGAGGAGAGTGCGGACTCTTCCCGCCCTAACACGCCGCTCTCTTCAGGATTTGGCATCGATTTCGAGCTTCAGGAATGCTTCTCGGCAACATCCGTATCAACCCCGTTCCCTGAAATAATTTCTGTCGACGGGGAGCGTGCAATTGGTTCATGGTCTGCTTCTTGGTCAGCCGGTACAATTGCCACACAACAGCATGCTAGGGATGCCACATTCTATACCACAGCTGCGACGGAGTCGCCTGTCACAAACGGTTTCTCGCAGATAGGGCCAGAAGAAAACCATGATGGAGGTTGGTCCTATCTTCCGACCCTTCCGGAGTAGTCTCATTACGCCGTCTCTCCAAAGAACTGTTCTCAGGCGACGGACCAGTCTTTCCCGAAGCACCAGCAGACACAAGCATGTCGACTTCTCCGCAATTTCCCCTCGCCTCTGCAGAACACATTGACCCTAGCCCTGGAGATAACAAAGCGCTCTTCAAGCAGATTGATACCCTAGCAGTGGAAGATCTCCATGACGAAACGTCACCCACGATGATTCCATCTTCAGCTACCTGGTCAGAAGATGTGATGGCAGAATTGTCATCAAGCAGCCTAAAGTCAGTTCTGGGAGAGGACCGAAGCAAGGCCATCCCTTGTATCCCTAAGACCACGCGAATTGTCATCAAAGCGCGGGGAGGACAGAAGTCAAGCTCTATAGACCACCTCGAGATGATCTGGGAACACGTCAGTATGGTCCTACGGATAGCGAGGCAGACAATGCCGCCCGCTTTGCTCGATAAATAGGGAGAGGATGTGTTTGTGGAAGGGGTTGACGGAACCTGTAGTTGGAAGCCTCGGAAAACCATCAAAAGCAAGGAGCTTACCAAAAAGCTTGATACGGAATATAGAGGGCTATACTGGGGTATAGATGTTCTGCGTGCTACCCGGGATATAAAGGGTGTATGGTATCTGGTGCGCTGGAAAGGCGGCGAGTGGAAGAACGATTGGATTCACGAAAGTACATTCACCCTGAGTTGATACAAACGCATAGACCAAAAAAGAAGGCGAAGCGGAGGAGGAGAAACTAGAAATCAGCCTTGTGTTGTTAATGCCAGATAAACCGAGTAACAATCCAGGGGCAATCTGCTGCGGCAGAAACCGTACCACTGCTTACACTAATTCCTATGATACGCTTTCCATGCTATTCCCCAGTATCTATGGAGTTAATATCATGCCTGTGATCACTAGCCTGACAATAAATATTCCGAGCCTTATGCTACTTCACTAACTAGCGCTAGAATGTAGCATAGTGCTCTTTACGCAACCAAATGTTGGACCATCTTGTGCTACTAAATTAGTGGACTGACGAACTGCTAAAGGTTACGTTCATTTTATGAAGACAAGATATCTAATCTGACCTCCTTAATTTATTTTCGTTGTGGTGGTGGATAGTTTGAGTAGAATGGACTTTGAGTTGTCGATGAAGGCTAGATAGGGTCAAAAGGCCAGAAATAACTGTGGGAATTGGTGGCTTGTCTTGACGAGTGATTTGCACCATAATGATCGACCAAAGAACCGAGAAAGCTCAGGGGCTGCGACCGAGCGGTGGTAGTCCGAGGACAGTCTCGTGTAGTTGTTATCGAGTAGGTAGTCTGGATAGGTGCTGGGAAGTGTTGATTGGACTGGTAGGGGAGGTGGACTTAGGTTGAAGGGGACGGTGACTATGCACCACTGGGTGGGTTGATTGACTTGTAGCCACCGCAGACCTCAGACGGCGACGACAAGTATCTCCACAACGCAAGTTACGGGTCAACTCAGCTCAGCATTTGAAAATAGCTCCGCGACCAGGGCTTTGGCGTCTTCCCTCGGTCATTCATTGGCTTACTGGAAACGTTGTCAGTGACAGCGTTCGCCTGTTAACACTGGTGCTGTCATCGTGAACGGGGTCTTCCGATGGCGGTTGGTTCTGTACTGGTGAGCCTGAGGCTGCTGAAGGTGAACTGTGGTTGACCGGGCAACCGATGCAGATTTGAAGTTGACCCTCACAACCGTCATCCTCGATAAGTCTGCTCTTAGTTGGGCAGAGGCCCGAAGAAATATCGAAGTTACCAAAAAAGTTTGGAAATTCTAGTTGCTGGATCTACACCCTTTTAGCTTCTAAGCCAACCAGGTAACATTTGTTTACTGCCCCTGAGAAGGAACGTGCTCGGAGACATTTATTCGACTTTATGCTAACCCTGGCTCTTGGACACCGGAGCTGAGGGACCTACACAGCCACTCTTTAGCCCAGCCACCCGCTCCGGCCGCTGTAAAAGATCAGGCTAAGTAACCCTGCTATCTCTTTCGCGTCAATTCCTCCAGGCACGCCAGTATTCCTGGAACCCCTGCCGCCCTCCGGTTAGGAGGACTGCGCAACATCCATGAGCCCTGTCTCTTTACTGCGATCGTGGGCCTCAGCTCGATTTTACGGATGATCTTTACGTGGCTTGGGCCTAGCTCAATACCTTGCCGCCTGGGCTCAGACAAGCAACATCTCGGTAGCGGGCCAATCGACGTACCGCTGTATACAAGTAATAAATATTCAGGGAGTTATAGACGGGGTTCTCAGGCAGCTCTCTGACTGAGTCTTCAAGAGTAAAACAGTAGCTTCCATTAACTTCTATCGCCCTTCAAGACATGCTGTTCCGATCTTGGCGCAAGAGCAGCTTGGCTTGTCCCTCCAAGTCGAAACCAAAGTGCTGTTAACCTCTGACGGCCACTAGATGTCCCTATGGATTTATCCAAGCACCTGCTTCGTGGGGAGGGGCTATGGGCTATCCCGCAGCTGGCCCGACCCGAGGCTTGGACGCCTGGAGCTTTGGGTATATAATCCATTCTTCGACCCGTTCTCGACCTCCCCCTTCTTCTTCCCTCATCCGTCGATTCTCGCCTCCCCCAGCCAGTGAACCCCGGTACCTTAGAGAGTTATCTCGTTTTCGTCACAGAGCCTTCATCTGCAACCACCAGTCGCCATTCAACGCTACATCGGTGCAAAATGATCACCCACGTACACCCAGCCGACCACTACCATGTGCAAACCATCGCTAACCTCCTCGGTACCGCATCTAAGATCGTGACACTCGCAAGGGCTGGCATCAGCACAAACTCAGGCATTCCTGTAAGTATTACGACCTCTTCTCTTACCTGTATCTCACCAAATCTAGGACTTCCGGTCAAAAAAGGGCACTTAATCCCGAGGCTACCGTCATCTTTTCCGCTCTTCGGCCCTCGTTGATACGGAAAGCAGACACCTCTTCTCCGAGAATATCGCCAAAATGCGCCAGGCTGCTATGGACGCCGATCCAACGAAGACACACCGTTTCATCCGTAACTTGCATGATGCTGGCAAGTTGGTTCGGAACTGCACCCAGAATATCGACTGCCTTGAAGAGAAGGCCGGCCTCTCTACCGATGCACGAAAGGGCCTAAAAAGCGCCGAATGTGTTCTTCTCCATGGATCTCTGCATCACTTTGGATGCTCCAATTGTCTGGCCAGTTTTCGTCTGAAAGCAAAGTGGCCGAGAAATGGAAACTGTTTTGGATCCAGAGTCGCCTTGCCCAGCCTGCACTAAGATATCCAACGATAGAAAAGCAATAGGGAAACGCGCATCCACAATTGGGAGGCTTCGACCTGATATTGTGCTCTACGATGAACTGGACCCTCGAGCTGAGTCGATCTCCGCCGTTGTACGGCATGACCAGTCGCTTCGCCTGGACGTCTTTCTGATTATGGGAACAAGCCTCGCGACACACGAGGTTCGGCGCCTCATCAGGGATTTCGCAGAGGTCATTCATAAGCGGCGGGTTGGGAAAGTGGTATTTGTGAACCTTACTAAACCAGCCAAGAGCTGGGACAACGTGATCGATTACTGGGTTAAGTGGGACTGCGACGCCTGGGTAGGAGATTTGATGGAGCGCCAGCCGGCACTTGACCCCTCTACAGCGACCTTTGGGGTTCCTTTGCACCTCCCGCTGCTGGAGAATGCGCAGCATCTTTCACGTGGTGGTGCTGGGACGTCAGCAGACGATGCTATCTTGATCTCGAGCGATGATGAGTCTGATGATGATCTTGACGAGGGCCGATCCGATACATATTTTGAGTCGCTGGACAGGCTCCTACAAAATGCACGCAACAGGGTGGAATCCGGCCGTGTTACTGGTACAGGTATGTGCTTAGATCTCGCACTTCTCGGCAGGGCAACATGTTGACATATCTGAGCAGGCAAAGGTGTCGACGGTTCCAACGATAGCGACGCGTCAGAGCCCTTAGTTTCCAGCAACGCCGGCCCAGAGAGGCAGGGAGAAGTATCTCTTAACGAGGACAATGATATCCTACTTGACATTATCGGCGAGGAATTTTACGACGGCAAGCCGCATTACCGGGTTCGGTGGCAAGCAACCCTTGAACATGAAAGCAATCTGAAAAATATGGGCAATTTACTGGCTAAGTGGAAGGCTATAAAGCCTAAGATGGGACACCGGTCTGGCGCGGCCGGGATAATGAAACGTCAAGGACAGCCGCGTAAAATTCCACTAGACTTGATCAGCTGTATTTAGAGAGAGAATTTGCTGCACCGGCTTGGGTTATCTCAAGTTAGTATATTACCCTAATCCGCGCACTAGATCGATGAGGTTATACTGGGTGGATAGGCGGCTTTGGGGATGGGGATGGCCGTTCTTTTCCTTACAATATCGACGTTCACCTCCTTTACTTGGGCAGAGGATCTTTATGGTAGAAGAGCATACTGGTTTGGATCGTTCTGCTAGTCGCTGCCTTTATCTTAGCTCCCTGGTCAAACCCAGTCTTGGATCACGATGCCCAGCCTTTTCAAGAATGTAAGTGTCGGCTTCCTTTGCTAGCCTTTTGTTACTTATCTTCTTCCCTTTTTCGTGTTGGAAGACAGGCTAATGATATATATCATAGGTCGATGATGCGGAGCGCAAGCTTGCTCGAGATGCCATCGGAGAATTTCCAACGTATCAACCAAGTCGATGGAACTTGGTGTGAAGATCCTCAACCATATCCTGGGCCCCAACGCATATTTCTGTTTCGAGTACACACCAGGAGAAAACTACGTCATCCCATCCCCATCTGCGGCCTTGAAGGTCTGTATTTTTCAACAGGTTCATGGTGTTTGGACCGTCACTATGCTGTTAAAGGGCACGTCCACTGCTGAGACCTTTGATAGTCTTGGCGATGGGGCTTTGATGGACCTGGATAACGAACATAGTCGCCGCCATCTGGAGTTAAAGACATATTTAAAGGATGTTTTGCACATTCAGCAGGTTCAAGACGTCAGCCTGTATTCATGTCATCGAAAGGCGGAGAGCGGGGCTCTGGCTCTCACTTGGGCGGAATGGAAAGCCCGGGGTTGGGACTGTGTTGTGTGGGTAGCCACAACTGGCTCCACAGGGAGCTCGGACCAACCTGGGCTGGTTTGTTTGGATTTGCACGGTGTCTCTTTCCATAGTTACTTCAATACACACTTATCTACCAACAAACTGGGCAATCGAGAAAGTGAACATGGATCATATCGAGGCTGGCAATGTCTGGTTCCCCCATTCTGTCGCGGAGGGTGATGCGAGGCCTGATACGAGAGGAGATATCCCATGAAACAACATTTGGGTGGCACGGCTCAAGGATGTTGCTCGCGGAGGTTCACCTTCACCTTGATCGGAGTCTACATGGTATAGTTGTCGGGACTTGGTAGGTTTACACTGGGTTGAGATTATTCGTTCATTGCTTGTGGTGCAGGGGGTAATGGCAAGTATAAGGACAAGTGAGTTGAGATCATTCGTGAGATTCCCCACATTAATATGATTTGGTAGCAGATGCAGAAAAGCCAGGCAGCAAGTAGTAGCTTACATTGGCAAACAAGCCCAGTTTTTAAACTTGTTTTTGTTCTTTTTTCCATGTTGCCTACGTGAACTTCGTCTCTACACTGTGATCTCCTCCTTAGGTTGCAAAAGTAAAAACTGGGAACAGCCAGCTACAACACCGTACCGAGTCGGCGGCTTGGCAATCTCTTGTAACAAACACCCTCCCACCTAGATGTATCTATCGTTGCTGGCGTTCATCATTGTCCCTCTCATCGTGCTGATGATGGTGCCGTGGGCTTGGACCTATGCCCGGCTTATTCACCCCGACTGTCAAATGGGATGGCGTATATGTTGTCTGATACCATGGCCTAAATACACGTTACCGAGTTCAGCCACCGATCCGATGATCCTAATTGTGCAAAGGGGATGATGGGGATGATGCGGCGGTTCCAGGCTGAGTTCGACATTTGGATGTAGGGTGGTGGCAGGTTGGCGACCAACACGTGCGCTAGCTGTTCCTTCAGCGCCTGCTTAACGTGAGCGAATATGTCGTACCGCCGAGCAGAGAGCGCCTGGCGCGTTTAAGGACTAGACCCTGAAGCGAAGCTGCTGCAACTCTTGGCTAAGAAGACGCCGCGAAATAAGGGGTACGAACCGGACGAGACGAACGTTTATTGTATCCGTTACCGACCGCTCCCAGCGGAATCTAATGAAACGGTTTAACGTGCTAGAGATCGATTAGGCGGTTATAGAGAACTAGCTAGTGGTCTAGAGCCATCTCCTCCGGGAGAGGAGGCACTTAAGGGTCGGCATCTGATTTATTTATATCTATTACATTACCATAAGGACCTAGCAGACTACAATACAAAAAGGAGTAACCGCTACATACCTTGCAGAGAGAGCTAAGCTCCAAAAAAAAGAAGAAGCGGTAGGCTTAACGACTGTCTAGAAAGAAATCTATAGTTTTATACGGTATACCGGGGCTCTATACCAAGGGACTTACTGCTGCGGGATCTAGAGAATAGGAAGTATTATAAACTTGATACTAGCGATTTGACAAAGCTTGTTAACTACACCGAAGAGGGTAATATACTTAGGACCCACGGGGGTGTACCACTATGGATCCGCGAGTTGATCTATGCCAAGGAGTAACGGGACTTGGAACGTAGGAAGAGAAAACGCCAAGGGTGCTTCTCCGAAAGCTTGCCTCCAATTCATATCACCAAAGTCATAGCAGCACACTATAGCCAGGACTCGGTTGGCTGGTCCAACGGGTCCCTGGAGACTCAGGATGACGCGCGCATTTGGCCTACGACCAAACTTGACATACCACCCCCGATCGATCAATTTTTGTACCGTTATTGTGCAGCGGCCTCGCTGAGCTGCTCGTCGGTGAAGAGCCAGCTAGGACGGTCCGACCCAGTCCCACATCTAACCCACCGTAAGACGTTGCTGTGTTCGTTCTCTGCCTGCAGCTTCGGTGACGATGTAGCCCCTGTAGCAATCGGCCTGCCGCCCAAGACCGCTGCCACCGGAAGGGCGTGCAATCTACTGTGGGTATGTTGTCTGCCGGCCTTGCCCCGACCATGGCCGATGGGGCAAAATAGTGGTTTACTGTGAGAAAGGGGGGCGAAGCCCCCATACTTATAGTTTGTACATGGTTGCCATAGTCATTATAGTCATTATAGTCACCCAAGCTACCTTCTTCCAGTCTTGAACTCTCGTCTCCTTCTCGCCTGTAGAAGTCTGAAATTTAACGTGTCTTTTGTCTCGCCCGGCCACTGTTTCTGGAGAGGATGGTCGCTTACTTATACCGGCAATACCACCGTTTATATCATCTTCAATTTACCCCAGCAAATCCCACGCCGCCTGTGCTCTGTTGGCCATCCTACTTTGCGTAAGGAAAAGCCCCGGTGTTTCCATCCCCCCAAATTCCTCTTGGTAGTTACTACGGTCGTAGTTATCTTGAGTCCGTTGCATTCCTTTCTACGTATTCCTGGTTCGAGCCTTGGCCAACTTGTACATTGTCCTCTAGGTCATCTTTTTTCTCCAGTCTCTTTTTTGTCTGCCCCGTGGCCGGCTGCACATAACCCTTTGGCATTTTCCTCCACGACTTCAGCCCTGGATATCCGCCGTCGCACATGTGGCCCTCACCAGAGGCTGCCAAAAGGCCCAGGCAAAAGAGGCTGAGCTTGATCGTCAGCTTGTCGGTGTTGTGGGCGGCCCAGGGAATCACTACATAGTCCGGGGGGAGAAGCTACCGGCCTGCCAAGTTGCTATCCGTGTATTGTGAGCCAGTCCCCAGTGACATAGTGTTGAAGTGGGATGATAGATCTGTGCTGCCAGAGGCAACTCGTTGATGGGACTGGTAAGCGCCACCACGCTGTGAACGAGCCGCGGCCAACCCATCATCGATGGGCTCGGTGGCGAGCCTCAGAACGACGAGATGCTGGTCGGTAATGATGAATCCATACCGGAGGCCTTTATCTGAGCTTGCGGAGCAATAATACTGAGCCTGGCTGAGTGGATTGCTCCACTGGACCATGGTTGTTTGTGAAAAATCGGGGGTCCATTTCGCGGAGAGCTTGGTTTCGCCGAGAAGTAGCGGCCTATAAGTCCCCATCTCATACGTATGGGCCACAGAGCGAAGGGCCCAATCGGCCGAGGACCCCACGGCAGATCCCGCTCCATAGTAGGGCGGCATGGGTTCTGGGTGTAACCGCTGCAACCTGCCGCCGCCGCGATTGATGATGCTAGAGACACATGTGCTAAACACCGTCCCTTCCCGCCCTTTTTTCCCCACACGTCACTCGTGGTTGGTTGGGACGGACTGTCGGGATGCTGGCGCCAAGATTCTACCCAAGTTATTCAAGACAAGGCCGATGAGGTAAAGAAGTACAGGCAGCTGGTGGCGTCTTTATTCACTTCTCATTCTGTTCCAGAAGTAGCACCAGGTTATCATCTGCCACAAGCAAAGCAGAGTGCCCGTCTCTTCCCACACTTCTGCCAGGCTATGAAAAGGGGAGGAAGGGGAAAAAAGAAATGTTCGGCGGGGTTTAGCTGCACCCAAGGGGGGTGGTTGATAGCACAGATAATGATGGATGGATGAAGGGGCGGCAGGAGCAGGGATTGGTGAAACAACTAGAAATGGCTAGCTGAGAATGCATCCAAAAGATGTGAGCATTTTATCCACGTTGGTGACGAGGGTTGGAAAGGATGGACAAGCGGTAGCTCGGAACTTGCCGGTTCTGCCGCGCGTGTCAGAAACAATTCCGGGTGCACGTTCCTTCGGCAACGTCACACTTTCGAATCCAAACAATCGTTCCACCGTCAAGAACGCCTTTTTCTACACATTCGCAATGGCCGACGAGCTTGCGAGACTACGAGAGGCTCTTGCGCAAGCTAAGCGCCAGGCCTCGGAGCAACAACGCCTGCGCGAAGAAGCGGAGAATCGCGCCTTCGATGAGCAACGCCGACGAGAAGAGGAGCAACGCCGACGCGAAAAAGCTGAAGAGGTTGCAAGAAAATCGCAGCTACAAGCACTGGAGGGTTATCTTGAGACCTGTCACTCTCTCAGTCTTGCTATCCAGGTCGTCACTGACCGTTCTCTGACCACCCAAGGTGACACGACCAATCCCGTCGGCCGTCTTTACCCCCAACGAATCGCTGAATGGCACGACTTTCCAGCAAGGCAAGAGGAAATATGGGAACAGCTCTCCATCCCGTCCTTCGCCGATAACCCTGTGTTCCCATCCCAACACCAGATGGCCTATGTTGAGTCTTTGATCAACCCCATCAGCAGCGAGCAAGGCCTTCGCTCCTTCGAGCGCGACACCGTCGAGAATGCAGCACAGAAGCTGTTAGCTGCAGCATCCGAAAACACGCAGCTCCGAGACTCCCTTGGCCTACGGGGAACCGTGATGTTCGAGAGCCATACGAATCTCGGCACCGTCGACGACACACTTTCCAAGCCTCTCGAGCGCATGTCCCTTGCCGGGAGCCGTGCCGCAGATACACCCCTCACAACGACCGCAGCGATCCGAAAACCGCGCCGTGGCGCGAAAGGGAAAGGCAACCGAGCGGACCAGTTTTGCATATACAGGACGGCAGACGGCGCCAACATCCCGGCGATGGCCATCGAGTACAAGGCGCCACACAAGCTAAGCCAGGATGAAATTGTTACCGGGTTGGCGTCTGATATCCAACCGAGATGAGACGTGATCAACAAGGACTGCGAGGGCGCTCGCCGCCGCTGTCGTTACCCAACTCTTCTCCTACATGGTCGGCAAGGGCATGCAGTATGGATACGTCTGTACGGGACAAGTCTTCGTCTTTCTCTATATTCCAGACGATCCCGCCACGGTCTTCTACCACGTGTGCGTGCCGAATTTGGATGTGATCGAGGGCGATGAGAACAGACTTCATCGCACGGCTGTCGCGCAGGTCTTCGCCTTCATACTCCAGGCCCTCCTTACGCCACCGCCCCCGCAATCCTGGCACGATGCCGCTGAACGACTTGACATTTGGGACGTGGAGTTCGAAGATGTGCTGAGCAAAATCCCAGTGACAGTTCGCAAGGACAAAGAACACGCTTCCCCATACAAGCCTCAGCGCTGGCGCGGCTTTACTCGCTCGCCAATTCGGACTTGATTAAGTTGCAAGCAAGCCAGCATCGAGTCCGGTCTACCACATGAGGACGATGATGAACCGCCACCCCCTTCACCAACGGCGGATCGGTTGACTCGTTCTGGCAGGAAACCTGCGACATCAGGCGCCTCTGGCGGCGCGGTCGCCACATCGGACGCAAGCTCTGGAGGTGGCGGAAGGGGAAGGCGGCCAGACATACAAGACCGAGCGTACTGCACCCATCAATGCCTTGTTGGGCTTGCACTTGGCGGCCCGATAGACCCGTCCTGCCCGAACGCCCCTTATCGTAAACCAGGCCACATTAGCCGCGTCGACTTTCTGCATCTACTTCGTGCACAGCTGGCCCGTGACCGCGGCCGTGACGCCGACTCCGCACCGCTGTACCTAGCGGGAGCTGTCGGGTCGCTCTTCAAGGTCCGACCGTCCACCCATGGTTACACACTTGTTGCCAAGGGCGTCGAGTCAGCAAATCGTGGCCGCCTACAGAATGAGGAGAACATTTACAATGAGCTCTCTGTTATCCAGGGGAGGCACGTTCCGGTATGTCTCGGTCTAATAGACCTGGTCCTCCCATACTACTGCGATGGCCGTGTTTCCGAGCACTTCCTGCTGCTTAGTTGGGCTGGGCAGCCACTGTCCAAATGCGTCGACCGGATCGACAAGGTGGTTGCCGTCGACGCAATCGCCATCGCCTATACCGAACTTCATCGGCTCCGAGTTTTACACTGCGATGCGGAATTACGCAACGTCATGTACAACCGAAATATTATGGTCGTTGACTTCGAGAGAGTAGAGGTCCGCAGTCGCCAACCTCTTGGCCCGCTCAGCCCAAACGGCCAAAACCGGAAGAGGAAGAGGGAACTACCGCAGAAGCAAGGCAAGGATCCTTTCACAGAAGAACTACAAAAGGTTGTGAAAGACATCTCGGGATGTTTCGGGCAAAGTTGAGATCGCGGCGCTGGCGACATGAGCGCAGCCCAACGAGCCGATCCAGGGGTCCACTGTAGCTTGTCAGGTTCGGAAACGGAGAGAATTAGGGCCAGTGATTGGTTAGGCCGTGTTGAATTGAGATGATTCGCTCCCTATATCAATATTACTCTGATAGGAGATGTCGACAAACCAGGCAGGAAGTGATAGCAAGTTGTCTTGACAGACGTGCCGAATATTTAATCTCGCCGGTATTATTTTCCGTGTCACCTGCTGAACTTCTTCTCTACATTATGATCTCCTTAGATTGGGGATCCCGAAAGCAAGAAACAGGTAATTCGCAGGCAGGGCACAGTCAGCTACAACACTGTGCCAAGTCGGCGGTTGAGATATGTATCCACTACAATGGACCGGGTAAAGACATTGGACTAACTGAGTTCGACAGCTGGAATTATGAGGGTGATGACAAACTGGCAGACCTAAAGAAAGGGCATGTATCTGATGAAGGAGATTTCATCAATAGGGCAAAGAAGAAATTCACGCCTTATTACCAGCTATTAGTCCCATGGGTCAATAGACTACGGAGGAAGGTGTTTCCGAGCGGTGAGAGGTGGAAGAAGTCACAACCAAACCTGTATTTCGAGATGAGGAAGATCCTTTCCGAAGCCTGGAAGGACCCAAACGTGGTGGCGGATCTTAACGTGGGCGAATATGTCGCACCACCGAGCAGAAAGTAGCTGGCGCAGACACCGTAACAGAACCGCTCGACGTGGGCACGGTCAGGTATGGGAGTTAATGTGCTTGATTGTGAAGCCACCACCATTTCCTCTCGGCTCGGTGGTCACGGCAACAAGCGTCGTACGTCATCATGAAACCGTAGTGGTATGAGTGGAGCGCCGTAGACGTCCTCATCGATCGGTTTGCCTTCGAGTATGCGCTTTGGAAAGGAGCGGTCGTGGAGTAGGAGTAAGTCCGGAGTAGGTATTCGCGGGTGCCATCGGGTAGGGTGGAGACAACCGGAGCGGTAGTTTGTGCATCAACGAGTGCGGCGGGGGCGTATATTTGTGGAGGGGTTATTATTTCGGGTTCTAGGTAGTACTTCAAGTTGGGCCCAGCTGGCTGAGGTGTCGGGCAAGAGTCAGGTCGCAACAGAGACAAACGCGGAATGACCACAATAGCAAAGCAGATGTGATGCAGACGATTGAGAGTGTTCTATAAATCTAGCTAGATGGGTTACTGTAAGCAGTGCGATCGGTGCTTTGAGAGTGCAGGAGTGCTAGAGCAACACCTCGAGACATCGAGCCGTCACACCGTCTACGTCCCTTATATGCAGACGACAACATCAACACGGACAATGCCATGAGGGTTCTTCCTCTTTGGGACCCAGGCAGCGCCTCCCAGGGACAACGAGCCCTTTGAAATGCTGATGAGCTCTCTAGCCGAGTATGATCATTTCGCTCTCGTCGTTCTTCCGTCTTTGCAACTTGCAAGAGCTAACAATATTCTGACTAGGTTCTACTCTAAAGGGGAATACTCAGACCTTGTGATATCTTCGGATTGGATATTGATGCTCATCGCACTTGTTGTGGGCGCAGCTTCGGGCTGGTGCGGCGCTGTCCCAATTCACGGCTACCACCAATTGGACGATTTGCATTTTAACAAAATTGTAAATTGCTACCAGAGGCAAAGAGGTTTGATTGATGGGTTTGGCGGTTATCAAACCTAGCCCCCAATCGATGACCTTCCATGTTCTGGATGCTGGCCTGGCGACAGGTGGGGGCCAGTTGGTGCCTGCCCCGACAGAAATTGTCAACAGGATGGAACCAATCAAGGAAGGTGCTACCAATTAATGCATTGGGTTATCGTGGAGCTAATGAAGTTCTTGACTAAAGCATCCCTCAAGCCTGGTTATCCGCCCCTCATCCATGAAGATCGGCACAGCCTTTTGGCGGAAACTGAACAACAGTCTTGATCATCTCGGCGACCTTCGTATTGTTAACCGCGTTGATGTACTTGACCTTTCTCAACCCAGGCGGCATCAGTGCTGCCTGGTACGGGCGGATATACCCGTAAAAGGGCGAGTGGTACGATGTATCGACATCAACATAAACTATCGCCAAATCAGCAAACCCTTGTTCTTTCCAAAATCGGATTGGGAAACCGTACCTTCCACTTCATCCAACACAACCGCCTCACGATCAACCATCACAGCCGCGGCAGTCTCATCCCAAAACGGCAGATAAGTAGGCTGGTTCGCCCTGACCAATCTACTCAAAGGGTTGTCATTCACCGCCACCAACTCATTAAGAAACGCCTGATTCGGTATCACCCCATTAGCAGAATTAGCCACAAGCGTGATATTCGGAAAGTCAGCCGTAAGCGCAATCTTGGTTGCTTCAGGGTCAACGATAAAGTTGATCTATTCCCCACCCGCAGCATGTCAGTGTCAAGTCTTAGTCTAACATGTTTCAGCACTGAACTCACATCCGAGACCAAATCCGCCCTCAACACATCCCCTATAGCCTGCTCCATGAACCTGTCCACATACCCTCCCATGATATACAACCCAGCTGTGTTCTTCGCGAAGTTCTCATCAAGCCTCACCGCCAGCGCGACATTCGTCAGGGCCCCTGCCGAGAATATGTTTACCTGCCCTGGATTCTCCCTCACGGCCTTGACCATAAACTCCGCTGCTGAGCCCTCGGCGAAGCTCACATTGGGGTATCCATAATATCCCTTGGTAGTAAAAGCTTCTTTCACCACTCTTCGTGGGTCACCGGAGGTAGGATCATTTCCCAATTTCTCATTGGTGGTGTTCTCCTTCGCAAAGACACCCTTCCACGGTAGCTCACCGTGGAGGAGCTCATAGGTTTGAAAGGTATGTGCTGTTTGCAGAAGCGGGTAGTCAGACCCCTTGTAAACAGGGATGCAAGACGACAAGGAGGCAATCTCGAGAGAGGCGAGAGCGTGAAGGCCGGTTTGGAGTGCCCAGGAGTTGGCTGTGTCGGAGGCTAAGCCGAGGACAGTGTAGTTGTAGTATAAAGGGAGCAGGAAAGCGATGAACGCGGTGGGGTTCCAGTCGTTGTCGAGGATTATCTTTGGTTGGCTGGTGGTTGATCTTGGGCTGCTGTTCTGAAGTGAAGAGCCAGGGAACAATAGCAAGCCAAGGACGAAAAACAAAAAGGGGTATCGGGGCCGGGACATTTTGACTGAGATGATTGTATAGGGCGGTTGTCAAGTCAGTGCAATTGAGACGGATACATATTTTAGTGGAAAGAACATGCTGAGTGAAGGGAGTCAGGTGGTGAGATATTTCTGGTTCGTGAGACGATAAGCACGAGTGCGAGGCTGATGTGCATGAAAGAGCGAGATAAGCAGCCCTTCGAAACCGATGAGGCACCTAATCAAGAAAAGAACGACGAGAATGCGATGGCGAGTAGGCTTGAAAGAAGAAATTCTTATCTGGGTTGAGCTGCAGGTTAGCTGAGTCAGTTTCCCTGATTCTCTTGCATCTGCATGGGGAACGGGCCGAAGTGACTACCCCCAATAACCGCTAGGGCTAGCAACGCTAGGTAGGTAAACAACCGAATGCAATAATGCTATTAGTCTATCGAATATGCGAATGTCTATGATGCTACTCCTCAAGAACTGGTACTATGTCAAAAGGCCGGTCACTCCTGATAATGTAAATCTCACCAATCAGGACGGCACAGCCCACACTCATGGCAATCGCAATGATCGGAAGATTTACCCGCGCAAAGTCAAGTCGCCTGACGTGAATATGCTTCTTGGCTAGAATATCACGCCAGAGTAACCCGGCGAGAGAGGCACTGATGGCTGTGCTGAAAGCCCCGTAATTAACGCCAAGGGCCATGCTGTAGATCGTAGCGTAGTACGTTCGTTCACTGATGGGAATCCCGCTGGCATCATGAAGCCTGAGCCATGATTGGATAATGCGTGATAATAGGATGGTAGTTCCAATGTTGGTACCCGAAAACTGTTGGATTTCAAGTCAGTAAAGCAAAGCGAAATTGCAGCTAAGCAGGTAATCACATACGTTGCAGAGAATGACCGAGAGAAAGCCCATGCCTCCTATGGCACCAACTGCTCCGGTCTTGTTCACCCAGTGATCCCATCCCTTCGCGAAGACCTCTACCCAACCTTTCGTGACCAGCGCTTGAACCAGAATGAACATTGCAAATGCAAAAGGGATCAACGCATAGGGTAGGTGAGAGAGAACCGCGGTAGCGGTGGGGAAGGTCTCTTGTGACCATCTGTATGCATCTCTGGCAACTGACGAAAGTGTTCGTTGGTCTGAATTGTTGGTCTTGATCGCGGCTTCGGTCGATGGTGTATCTTTCTCCAGAGAAGCCTCCTTCTTCTCATCGATTGTAGTGCTTTTGGATTTGACGATTTCTGAATCACTTCCAATGCCGGAAACGTCGTTCCCGGTGACGCTTACCACTTGATCCCCTCCCTGGGAAGCGGCGAGTTCCAGTTCTTCCCTCTGAAGACGTGCCTGCTCCGCTTTTGCTTCTTCAACTTGTTTTCGACCTTCCCGAGCAATCTCACGTGTTTCATGGCGATGAAGCCAGCCAAATGCCAAGTCCCACACGAGCATGATGAAAGCCGCTGGTAATGTCACCCAGTATACTTGCAGGACAACGCCCTCTGGAAGGTTTTGTGACGCAGCATTAAGAGACAAAACTGAGACCAGAGCCAATGCCATGATGGCTGCCCCGAACCCCGCACCACGCTTGTCAAGAAAAGGATTCATGATCTCTTCCAGAGACAAAAGCTTTCCTTGCTCCCCTGGCTCATCCTCCTGTTGTTCTGCCGTTCCCCTCGCATTGGGAATGTTGGGGTTTACTGGCTTTTTGCCCCTTGCATCTTCCGGAAGCTCGTGCATTTTGATCTCGACAGGGATCAGAGATTCGCTGGCGAAGACGATATACAGCAGGAAGGGGAAGAGCACGATAGCTGTGATGATCACAGGGACCACCATATTGGCCGTGTAGTCGATGAAGCGTATTTTGAAAGCGCCAGCCAAGACCAAATTCGTCGGATTGGACGACACGAGGATAGCAGAGGCAATATTGGCCACGGCAAACTGAGTATATATCCAGGCCCTAGGGTGAACAATGTTGCTCGAAACGCGCGTCATGTAGGCCAAGAAAGCTGTCCCAGACAAGATGATGGGATCGTTGCCAACGAAGCTGCCTATGCCAAAAAAGAAGAGGTAGAGGTAGAAGAACAGACGATGTCCGACCTTCCCGCCCCATTGCAGCACCCTGAAGGCCAGATATCGAATAAGCCCTGATGCGTCGATAGATATGGCGATATAGGCGAGGGTGATGAAAAAGACCATGATATCGATAGGGTGGATATGGTCCGCTCCAACGGTTCCATCCTTGACCTCCTTGCCACCGATGGCTTTTATGGCCAGCAGAAAAAGATCGGCAATCACAGGTGCCGTCACAATATTCATTGAGAAGCGTAACCGCACCCATGGTGAGCTTGTCCCCTGAGTCTTGTTGCGGGGCGAGATGATGCGCATGGAGCTTAGCGCCCCTAGAAAACCGTTGTAAAGCCACCGAGGAATGCAGAAGGGGATATGAAACGGAAATAGAACCACAACATCTATTTAGAGTTGAGTTAGCTGGTGCCCTTGCCAGAATACTATGAACGGTATATACACTTACTGGTAATGACGAACACAATGAGTGTGACAATTGACCGCCATTCACTGATGTCACGGTTGCCGCTACTCGAGTCCGTCGTGGTCGCCATGTTGCCAGCGCAATGGGTTCAACGGTCACGACACTTGCGGCATGCCAAAATGGCAGAAAGAAGATCAGGATCAATCATAGAAGATCAAGGAACATATCGAACATATCTTGTGATAGCAAGAGGCTCAGGGTCGAGGTTTGTCTGCGGGGCGGTGGAGAGTGGAGGCACGTGGAAAGTTGAGTGGCTGATATTTTATTCGCCCGCTAGAAATCGGCTTGGCGCTGGCTTAGCCCTGTGAGATTGCAACTACCAGTCACCCAGTGGCTTCTGACCTCGTCTTTTCCGACACCGTCCACAAAAGAGACCGAGAATGAACCTGGAAGCATCGCCGAATGCCACATTGGGAACCGATTGACCAGGAACGCTAATGTAGGCACAGCCACCATGCGGGGCAATCCTTTCCAGCAACTATCTCGAGCCCCCACAATACCATATGTACATTCATTCAGTGATCTTCGGGCACGGCCACATGGAGATATTGACTGGCTCGTCCTCTCATAGGCACAAGCCCAAACTGGCATGAGGACACGTGAGGAACCAGACAGCCCTGCTTTGCGGGAATAGCAGGCGCATCGCGATATGACGCTGCGATGCTGTATTGTGCTACCACACCGAGACAGCGGCACACACGATCCTGTTCCCCCGCCCTGTCTGCTGCCGACTTCCTCTTCTGATTCACCGATGTCCTTAAAGGAGTCAAGTCCGACATTTCGACCATGAGGCTCTGTCGACACCACCTGCATAACAAGCGCACACGTTTCCCCGGATGGCGCTATCATCTTGCGTCTTCTTTTTATTCTATCTCCTTCTGCCATTTCAGCCGCTCTTGATCTGCCTTGATGTTTCGCTTCTCTTAGACGAGCTTATTTTTCCGGCACTGCAAGGACATGCCCACGCTTCCGCCACTTTCACACGCCTATGACCTTGTTGCCCGCAATAGCACCGCTGACGTTGTGCTGCCAGCACTTGCAGCTGCAGTAAACACCCCCGCCAAGGTGGTGTGTTCATGGCCCGTCTCTGGTCAATATGGACCTGGTAGTAGAGTCTTGTACGTGGTCTGTTCGGCAACTATACCAGAATACCGTGCTAACACTTAGATCTCCTTTCAGATACTATGTTCTTGTTGCAGCTTGTGTGCTTGCTAGGAAGACGGAATGGCTTCGAAATGCTTGCTTGGCCGCAGCTTTGATCTTCCCCGCCGTTGCTGCAGTCCACGGAGTAGCTTTGGCGGCATTGCATGTTCCCAACGCCGTTGATATGGACATATATGGCGCTTTCCAGCTCTGCTCTATTGGCATTCTAACAGCCCCCATCACGGTTAGACTGTCAACTACATATTTCAACAACCCTGGTCGGAATACCATATTCCTTTGGGCAGGCATCATCCTCGTTGGCCTGTTGGCTTTGACTGTTGAGTTCTTCCGGACCGAGGCGGTGCCGTGTGATACCGACGAGTCACTTTTTATTTACGGCGAAAGTTTATGCGGTTTGGTATGCTCTATTGAAGACGGGCCCTTTTCACCGATGCGACAAGGTTCGGCAGACGAGATATATGTTATTCCCGAGCCTTTCATCATGACGTTTGGCACCGCCACGCTATTCTGCGCCGCCTGTTGCATTCCTGCCATCCTTTCGATGGTGTCGATGTGGGACAAGATACTTAAAGTGAACTGGCAAGAGCGATTTGGAGAGACATATCTGGATCAGCCAGAAACGGGAACCAACGGCGCTACCCCTGAGAGGATGAATAAGGTCAACAATATCATCAGGGGGTTTCTAAGCGTCGTGGAAATTCCGGTGTTCGGAGCAGCTGTCATTGCAATTCTTGTCGTGGGGGAGTTGAATTTCTGGAGCGCCCCAGTCAATTGGCAAACAGAACCCATGGCCAACGTTGGTATGTAGTCGTTATTGCATCCACTGTCCATTCCAATTCACCGGTCTTATTACTAACATTTCGGGCCAGGTCAATGGGCGCCGATTGTGGCATCAGCCTTTGCTGCCTGTGGTTCGCTTTATATGCTACTGGCAGAAGACATGGTTGCTGCAGCGAGCCCTACCCCAGCTCACTGCAACTGCTCGCACCATCATGACGAGTTTGATGCACAAACCGGACTTGGCATCAGCCATTCGGGACCCAGGCGTATCAGCGAAGACAAATCGGACGGACCCCGTCGTCCCGATGCGGGCCGGAGCAAGATAGCAAAAGGACTGAGCGCCATCGGTCACATACTCGGCACCGCGGATCTCAAGAGCTTCGACGATTCGGAGTTCCAGGATGTTGCGGCGAGCAAATATCCGACTACGCCAGGAGAAGAAATTCGGAACCGGAATCTGAGGCACCTTGAGGATAGATACAACATGGCTCGTCCAGAAGACGATGAGCGCGGACGTCGACGCTCAAGAGCAAACAGTTTCACAGGGAGCGTCACGGGTTTCACAAAGCCCAGCCCGCCGTCGTCATCGAGGGCTCTGTCGCCAAACCCTGTATCGTTGCAGATTTCGCCAGGAGGCCCGTCCAGGCCGGATCTCAACAACGGAACCTCCCACAGAGCTTCTCACGACTCCGGCCCTCGCCACAACGACGATGCCGACACGACGTCCCCATCAGCGAAGCCTGGATTGTCCCTCACTATTCAACCAAGCGGTTTCAACTCACCGTCGATTGTCGTCTCTGCGGAAAATGAGCCTGTGGGAATCTTGCCACCGCCTCCTGTACACAAACCTCCATCACAGATTGTGGCTAGAGATTCAACACGGCCAACAAGCAGTGGAATGAAATTATGAGATCATGATAGAACTTTTTGGCTTTACACAGTACACGGCGTGGCTTAGAGGAATACCAAGTGATAGTCTGGCGTTTTGGAATATAGGCTTAATTTGCACTGTCTCCTTCTTAACCGATATAAGCTCTTAAAGTAGCTTTTAATATCTAGAAATCCGAGCTTTTGATATTCAAGACTCGAGTCTTTAATTTCTAGAACCTGACCTTGAATATTAATGAAGAAAGAAAAAAGCCTAGGGCTTGCAACCCTTCAAGGCATGTCAGTACGAGAATTGTCTTGTCTCAGGCAGAAGTGCTTTCGTCTTATTGTAGGTCAGAGGCTCAGCTTACAAGTGAACCAAAACGATTTTATCTCACTGATTACTTTGATTCACACCGCATTCTCATACACCTGTTGAGGTAGGGAACCATGTGATGAAAGGTGTGTTTACGAAACATTAGATCCGCGAACAACATCCAATACCCATCTACTTAGATATATATCAAGCAAAACACTGCATATGCTGGGTCCAAGTTCAGATTTCTCCGTGTCTTTTATGGAGGGCAAGAATGGTGGCGAGGAGGGTGAAAATAGCCATCATTCCTCTATTTGACTGTTAGATGATATTCAACCAAGCTTCTGATCCTACCCACTCTTCAAGTATTACAGTAACTTCATCTACACTTCTTTTTCATTGGTCTAAGCTCTTACAGTCTATAGTTCAAGCTTAGTTCCCGTTACTCTGAGCTTTTAAATTCTAGAATCCGGGCTTCGAGTATCCATGATCTCATGTTTCATATTTAGCACTTCATTGTGGCATATTCATTCAACTAGAAGCCTATATATAACAAACGGAGGCAGAGTAGGCATCACTGCCCAAAGAAGGGATAGCACCCACAGCCAGCGTATAATATAACTCTGACAATTTGATAGAAAGTGAGAATAAGTGGTGCCTTTCAATCCGAAGTCAATATACCTATCATCAAAAAGGTCGTCTCTCTCTGCAATCCTACCTCGGTATCTAACCCAGCGGCTCATGGTTTCCCAAGAGCAAGGTAAGCGTTCACAACTCATCCTTGCAACTCAATGAGGGGTCAACCACTGTCGTCACAGTCCACACAAATACACGGCCGATGATACGTGGTCTAGAGCTGCTAGTGGTTGCTAGTGTGATCCTCCGAGTAGAATCCCTTGGCGTACCTGGGCAGCGAGAGTTTCTCCTTCATGTTGTCTCAATATTTTTGGCTGACCGAGAAAACAACCAGCGTCTTGGAAACCACAAGATATGGTAAACGTAAAATCCTCAAAGTTTGCCAATCCGAGATATCTCTCACCAGAGTCTCTAAAGAGTAAACTCTCTTGTCTGAATCTCGGGATCTGATCCAATCTTTGCAGAGATCGACCTACAGATACCCAGAAAAGCTCTAGGCTTCCATAGCTTGTCATTGAGACTAGAGTCATATCCATGGGCTAGGTAATCGTACAACTTACTCCTCTGATTGGGCTCATCGGCCTCAATTCCTTGGGCTCGTGCCTGGCCAACTCACAGTCACATCGCTCCAAGAAATGACGGCAGAAACAACTAAAGCAGCTAGAGCGCTTTCACGTTTAACTTAACCTTGTCTACCTAGCATCACTTGGGCTATGGAGAAAAGACTTTGGCATGGTATTCCATCACAATTTGGGGTCTGACCCCTCGGACTTCTTTGGTCTGCTGCCTTGTCCTAGAGTTCAACAGTTACATCGTCTGAAGTGAGGAGACCAAGCCTAGTGGACTCGACCCTTGTCAAGCTCAACAGAGACAGCAGAGTGCTTGCCATCAACGCCCAGGTGATCCTAGCATGTACATCCACTCCTACAACCAACAGCAGCGCGGCACCGTCGCTCGCCTATGTCTATAGTCTGTTAAGATACCTCCTCCCCCAAAGAAGACGTCCTCCTCACCACACTCACACACCACCAACCTTCACCATGCGTTTCTCAACCCTCATCCTCGCCTCCCTCGCCGGCCTGGCCACCGCAAACTTCGACCTCTACCTGGGCCACCAAATCATCCCCGTCGACGGCGGCGTCCTCCACGACGGCTGGTACATCTTCGACAACGACCCCACCAAAGCCGACGTCCGTTCCGCCCCCCTCCTCCCCTCCCCCCCCCTCTCTTCTTCCTACTAACCATCCCCCACAGGTCCTCGCCTACGGCCCCTACCTCTCCCAAGACGACGTCTCAGGCCGCATGACCGGCGTCCGGTGCGTCGGCAGCGGCTGCTACGGCGGTGCCGCCACCGACATCAACGTCCTCGAGATGCACTTCAGCAACAACCCCCTCTACCATTGGAGTGAGCCAACCCCCCCAGCCCTCTTTCTCATTATTGCCATCATCATCACACCAATTTGCAACAAAAAAAAAAGTACCTTAGCTGACCACACACTCGATCCCCCAAAACAGCCATCTACAAAGACAGAGGCCATCCCTACAAAATGTATGGCCTCGACGGCAGGACCTACGGGGAGTGCATCCTTTTCCCGGGCGTCAGTTTCCACCACATGACCAATTTCGCCGAAACCCGCAGCGGCGTCCGCAAGTTTCGGTGTCTGACGCAGTTTACTGCTCGGCAGATCAGGGCTGCGAACTGAGATGCCTACCTCTGACCGGGTGGTTACCCCTAGAGCAGGAATAACTGGCTAGGTAGGTAGGCATTCATCCTAGAAATCAAATCAATGGCATCTCGCCAAAAATCATGAGCAAACATACCAATCTTGCAATCGAAAAGCTTTCACCACCCTAAAGTCCCGCACATCAATCATCCTTGTGATATCTCGATTACTACAGCTCAGACTAGCTTCTGCCCCTACATTTCACACCACATCCAGACCGTCCCAAGTTCCATATGCATATTTCCCACACTGTATATCTCATAAAAAAGTCATCATAACATCGTAACCAAAAACAGCCGCCCACATTATTAGTATGCTGCTGCCGCGCCCAAAAGAATCTCAAACAAAGAAATTCGCAACCAATCACATCATCCAAAAAGATCGCCTCCCAGACGCTTACTATCCAATCTCGTCTTCAACTCGCTTCGCTTCGCTTGCTTGCTTGCTTGATTCGAAATTGCTCACTCAAGTCAAAGTAGCCAACATAGCCTTCATCAACCTGGGAGGGGGACCTACATCACATCACCCAACCTGTCAGCTTCCTCATCCTCAACACGATCAAGCAAATGCAGCTGAAGGAAAACGCACCGAATCCGGCAAACCGAGCACCGGTTACCGGTTCCTCGGCACGCTGATAGACATCCTACCTCGTTTGTCCTTCTCGATTCTCAACCCTCCCCTCGCAGGCTCCTCAATTGTCTCAATTTCCTCTTCGTACAGCACCAGCTCGCCCGTCGACAACCGCTCCGCCCTAACCAGGTCGCCTCGGCTGCCGTGACGCGAGTGTCTGGACTTTGACCGTTCCCGCCGCGCGAGCTGCCGCTCCAGATGCCGAATCTCAGATCGCAGCTCATCATTATCGTCGTAGCGCCAGGTATCCCGAGAAGGCTCGACAAGGGCTACCTCACGCGGGCGAGCGTCCACAATCACTGTGGGTGGGCCCCCTGGAGGTAAGAGAGGTGTCATATGACGTGGTTGTGCCGTACGAGGTGGTGTCGTACGAGGTGGTCGTGTAGGACCGTGCTGGGGACTGCTCGCGGATCATGGTTGTCTTGACCACCTCGACGGGAGGGGCTGGTGCGGGAGCGGGCTGGGCGTTGATGATAATAGGACCATTACCGGCCGGGGCCGACGGGTGTTGATGGTGGTAGTGCACCGCAGGGGGAGGTGCCGTGGTGTGGTACTCGACAATCTCTGTTCGACGTTCCTCAATGATATCACCAGCGCTGGATCGCGCGGCCATGATCTCGAACTCGCCTGGGAATGTTACTTTTTTGTCCTGGTGGGGGAGTAACGGGGTGGGCGTACTCTTCTTATAATCATCGCTCAGCTTCAGCAAATCGTCTATGTTCTTCTGGCCAAGTGCCTTCTGGACGATGATTGTGTTTCCCTTCGCAAAATTATCAGTATCGCATCTCTGGAGCTGCATCACAGGGCGCCCAACTCACCTCCTCGACGAATGGGTAACCAAGCTCAATAAGCGCCCGCTTGGAGACCAGGCGCGCTGGAATGCGGGTCTTGCCCTTCTTTGGATACTCGCTTCGGGTAGTGAGGCTGGTGCCGCCGCTGCTGCTTGAGGAGCTGCTCCTGCTGGACGATCGGGATCTTCCACGACGGATGCGCGACTCTCGACTCCGTGACCTCATGCGGGTGTGGATCACCTCCCTTTCGCGGACTCGGCCGGGGTGGTCATGGTGATGGTCATCGACGTGGATCTCGTCGAAGTATTCACGTTCGGCGTACACTCTGGGAGGGGGCAGGGCTCGGTGGCGGGGCAGCGGCCGGTGGCTCTCGGCGTAGGGCGGAACACTGTGGTCCAGGCGGCGGGCGGGGGGTCCGTATTCCTCACGCTCGTAATATCCACGGGGCCTGCGATCAAAAGTGTCCAGGCTCGATTGCCGTCTCAAAAGTCGTCCAGGACGGGGCGCATTGGAGGGTGACGGGCTGCGGTACCTTCTCTCCTTCTCAATCACGACAGAAGATCTGCGCTCCACCTCACTCTCGGGAGATGGTCGACGTCGAAGGATACTGCGTGGTTGCTCGTCATCATAAATGACCCGGCGGCGCTCCCGGATGATGGTCTCGTCGTCGTCATAGGGGGCCCGGGAACGGCGGTCGACGGATCGGTCGCGGTCGCGGGGGGGAGGCCGGGATGTTACACGGCGTTCTCGCTCGTACACATAGTCGTCGTCGTCGTCTTCGAAGCGCTCTCGGATCTCGCTGAACCGATCGCGGTCTCTTTCGTACTCGAAGCGGCCCCTTTCGAAGCGGTCGGGGCGCTCGCGAACAAGGTCAGGGGCAGATGTCCGGTGAGCCATGGCAAGGTTCTGGTGGAGTACTACACGAGACGGACAAGTGCGGGGGTGTTCGGCAGATCGCAGGCCAAGGGAGACCACAGATTCAGGGTCCAAAGGGATATTTGAATGCAGAGACTGGAAGTTTGCGCGCACGGGGAGAAAGCAAGAACTTCGAGAGATTTCGACAAAAAAAGACGGTGGAGGGGGGTGCTGAGGGTCGGCTGTTCAAGGTTTCGACCGTCTCAGGTCCAAGATGTTGGTCCGATGACGACACAGAATGGAGGGCGCCAAAATAGCCTGCGCCAGGGGAGGGGGTCCAAGACAAGAAGTGGACTGTGCGTTTTCCCCTTTCCCGTTTCCCTCGTTCGATTGCCCGCTGTTTCCGGGATGCAGCGGAACGGCAAAGCAGAGATCGAACACAGCGGGAGATGTTCTGTTGCAGAAGGAATCGCTGCGCTCTCGCCGCTTAAGTGCTTCGTTTGGGATCCCGATACGTTGGTTTCGAGAGAAAACAATGATAGAGCCAAGCACGGGCTGTTTAGTGTAAGAGCTCAAGGTGGACTCGATGGCTTTGGTCTTGTGGGGCTAGGGTCAGGCTGATGCGTCACAAAAAGACACAGAAAGCCCATGAGCACAGATGAGGTCTCTCCAGCCATTTCTATTTCTACAACTCGATGTTGGGCTTCCGCACGCATACCGCCTAAGCAGGGATGGAAGGCAATTTTTGGTGTGCCTTATGTCTGTGTGACTGACTGAGCGTAGAGGTGAGGTTTGTCTCGGCTTCATATGCAATGATAGTTTCTGTTTGTCAAGCCATCCGACGTCGGTGAGAACCCTAGCAGATTCCACCACTTGGCATGAGAAGACCCAAACCACATGGTTTAACCCAATGCTTTGGTCTTGGGCTTCACCTCTGAGCTGAACCTCAACAAGCTTTCATCGTGTGTCTTCACGGATTCCATTCGTACACAGACAGACGCACAGAATTTGCATCGGGACCTGGGAAAACCCCGCGCCCAAACATTTGTTTGACCTGTTCCGATTTGCCTCTAGGTTTCCCCCGGCCAATGCTGTGTCTTGGTGATAACTTGGGCTGTCTGTCATACTGTGCCTAACCATCCTTTGGACCCCCCCACAGGGCAGGAAGCTGGGCAGCACCGCCTATCTGAGCTTCCAGGAGTGTCCCCAGACAGCTGATCACATAACTAAACCCGAAAGGCACACTTATCTCCAGGTCCACATGTGTGCCCAAGAGACTATGAAGATACCCTGCTATTAGCTGTGTGATGACGTCGGGAACCTCTTTGCGATTGGTTGTCGTGAGACATCCATCTGCCGAGGATGAGACTGCCCAATTATGCAACTCAGGATAATCCAGTGTCCTCTGGTGGATGTAGATAATATGTATAGTAATGGGGTGTGTTGCCGATGCGATCACGTGAACACTATTGCACTGAATAACGTAAAAGGTCTTGTAAAGTGTGGCATAGGGGCTTTCTTGCTCCTTTCCGCCGTATCTCATATACCATTCAGAACTTTTGGGTTCCAAGATTACCGCAAAATACAACCACGAAATTTTGTAAACCAAATGCATCGCCCTTTTTCCCTGATACACACAACTCCGCAAATGATGGCCCAAAACAAATAAATAATAAAGCCCCTCAGACAGCGCTCAATGACACCCAACCACTAAGCTTTACGCACCAGTCGCAAGCTCGGTAGTCTCGTCACCTCTTACTTCAACGTGAATCGCCTTGCCGTTGGACTGAGTCTCAATTGGCCCCTCATGAAGGTTGAGGTGGAAGCTGCGGATGATGGAGTCGGCATCGTCGATGGCGATTGGCCTGACATCAGCCAACGCCTTGATCTTGGCCGTCACCTCCTTGACCTGATCATCGGTCATCTCCAGACCGAGCTGGCCAACTCTCGTCTTGACGGCGTTCCAGCCAGTGAGACGAGAGGCAAAGTGGACGTAGCGGGTCAGACCGAAATCAGCAGGGTTGAGAATCTCGTAGGTGCTGGGGTTGTTGAGGATGGCCTTGGCGTGGATACCGGCCTTGTGGGTAAAGGCGCAGAAACCGGTGATGGGGTTGTTGAAGGGAGTGTTGATCTCGACGGCCTCGGCGACGAGATCCTCGAGCTCCTTGAGCTTGTGGAGCTTGTACTTGCCCTTGACATACTCAGGGCTGGTGACGACCATGCGAGCCATCAGGCCACCAAGAGGGGTGATACCATTGCGCTCACCAATGCCGAGAACACTGGTATCAATGTGGGTAGCACCGGCCTCGAGAGCACAGTAGGCGTTGGCGATACTGCAGCCGGTATCGTCGTGGAAGTGGGTCTCGATGTCGCAGGACACGACGCCTCTGAGGGTGCGGACAAGGTCGTAGACCTGCCTGGGGGAAGCGCAACCGACGGTATCGGCGATACCGACACGGTGGACACCGACCTTGTCGACGGCGCGGTAGAGGGAGAGGAGGTCGACGAGATCAGAACGGAAAGAGTCCTCGCTGGAGACTGTCGGGGTTGTCAGCTTTTGTTTACTCCACAAGATTTGCCTGAAGGTTCAAGCATCAACGCTGTCTTTCCATTTTACCGACGATTGGCGTCATGTAAAACAGGGACATGGGCTGAACGAAGGGTAAGGAAGTGACTCACAGCGAACCTCGAGGCCCTTGGACTTGATGTACTCGATCACCTCAATGGCAGTCTTCTCAATGTAGGCCATATCCTTGCCGTGGCTGTGCTCGCGGAGGAAGCTGGAGGTGCCAATGACGACGTCCAGGCCGTCAACACCGGTCTCAACAGCGATCTTAGCATCGCGCATGTCGCAGCGAACGTCTGATTCCCTGTTAGCGATGTACCCAACATGAAACCCATCGGTTATACTCACGGGTAAGAATCTTGGCCTTGAGGCCGAGCTTGCAGATGGCCTCGCAATCCCTGCGAGATTGCTCGGAAGCAGCGGGGGAGGTCAGCTCGATGTAGTCAACACCGAAGTCATCGAGAGCCTTGGCACTGAAGTGACAGCCATGTCAACAAGGGATTGTCCTGAATGCGTCCGAGGGAAAGGGGCGAGAAAGGGGGGGTAGGGAAAGGGCCACAAACATCTTGATCTTGGTCTCGGTGTCGAAGTAGGCATTGGCGAATTGTTCACCCTCGCGGAGAGTCGACTCGATGATCTTGAAGCGGCCGACGTTGGAGAGGAAATCGCCTACTGGCTGGTAGGGGTTGGAGCGGAAGTTGGCACCCTGATGATCCCCACCAATGTTAGCTGTCTGTCGCAGGAACAACAACAAGTATCACCACCACAACGGAACCTTTGCGACAGGAACCACATACCCCATTGGAAGCACCGTTTGTGCCATTGGCGGCGCCGTTGGTGTTGCTGGTCTCGCACATTGTGTCTGTCGTCTGTCTGTTGGGTTTGCTGCAGGCGCAATGGGTCGAAAGGGCAGTAAAAGATGTATAGAGATCAAAAGTAAAAATGTCAATCAACAGCTTCCCGATGTCGCTGAAATAGTCGGCGCGGTCCGCCCCTCTCAAACCTGAATGAGTCAATCAGAGTTTTTCGTCGGCAGCTGCCATCGACCCCGCAGTGGCACAAAAGGAAACGCTCTAAACAAGAGCCCCTACAGCTCGCCCAGTAGAAAAAGGAGGGCTTGATTGGCCAAACAGTCTGAAAACGGCCAAGAACATAACGTCACAGGGCCCTGTCTGGGGGTCTTTTATCCGCCGCTTTTTTTTTCCATAACACCGGCCGCGATCGAGAGATCTCCGGGACTCATGTTTTCAATCCTCTATTCCCTACGAGGAGAGAATGTCCGTCTATCACCAACCGGCCGCCCCGTTGAAGCATCACGATGGGGGGCAAACACACATACACACAGTGGCTAATGGGACACGGATATGTACGCATATTGCAAGCACCGTGGTACACGTTAGCCATAACTGGGCGGTCAATATAAAAAAGTTGCATCACAATCCCCGCGCTCTCCAAGTGCCTGGACACAGCATCCGGCAACCCCTGTCCATGCTGAATTGACTAACACGTTTGGGAGCATGTGTCATCGAGGAGTTGGGGTGTGTGTTTGCTGTCCCCTCGACCCTTCCACCGAAGTTCGTCGTTATTGTTACCTTGCTGCACCAAGAGGCTAGAAGGCAAGCAGCCCCATCAGATCCCACTTGAAAGAAGAGATGATTCATCATAGCCATGCGGTGTCATGGGATTCGGCATTGCGTCTCGATAGCGTCCGAGCGTCCTACCGGGTAGGAACATCCACGACGTCCTACATCGGCGGGGTTTACAACTCCAGCAGACATCCACTTTGGTGTTGCCCCGCCCTTATTTCAGGCCGGGATGCCGACGGCAAGGACCTGGCTCGAGCTTTTTTTCACATGGATGGCCCGTGCACTTTCGCCTGTTGAAAATCCGGGGCAGAGGGAGGGGTCTCAGTCAGGCGGGGTCGGCAAACACCTGTTCACCACCACCTCCTACCTGTACGACTGTCACCATCCAGCCCAACGCAAGGCACACGCTTCGGCCGCCTTGACCGTGGAAACCCGATACCCGGCCGGAACCCGCCTTGACGTTACACCGGCGGTCCCGTTGATACCGGCCCCGCGACTTCTGTTCGCGGGCTCCTGTTTCGTGTCCATATAAGCCCAGAAGCCTAGAGCCGTGTCGTCAGATCATCCGTATTGGCTGGACCCGGCGCTAGGCGGGTTGGCAACCGTCAGTGAGGGCGTGGCCTGATTTTATCTGCATCCTGCAACCTTTCGATTCCTCTGCGAGTGTTGCATGCGTTGGGAACCTGATCTGCCTGAACGTACGCTCTTGTCTCTCTGATCAGCTATAAATACGGAAGGCTCTTGGGGGAAGGCGTGGCAAGTGTCAGCGTCCGTACTTGATCTCTCGATACCTAATCGCACACACTCACACACGTGCAACTCACCTATCTCACTTCCCCATATATTATCCCGTATCCTTATCCGTACTTGTGACGATCCCGTCCTTACCCGTCTCATCTATCTTATCTATCTACCCATTTTCTCAACATCCCTACATACATCATCTTCCCCTAAACCACCACGTCAAAATGTGTATAGTGCTGCTTACAACATCCCACCCCAAATACGCCCTGGTCGTCATCGACAACCGCGACGAGTACATCCTGCGCCCAACGAGCAGACCCCACTGGTGGAAAGCTACCCCAGAAACCCCCGCCGTTAACGGCTCGACCAACGGGGTAGCAAAGGCCGCTCCACCGGCCGAGGTCGAAGTCCTCTCCAGTCGAGATCTCCAGCGAGCCGAGCGAGGGACGTGGCTCGGCATCACCAAGGGTGGAAACTTTGCCGTCCTTACAAACTACCGGGAAACGGACACCCACGATGTTGCCCATCCGGTACATGGCAAGCGCAGCCGTGGAGGCATGGTGACGGCATGGCTTGGCGCTGACCCGGCCGAATCGACAGAGCGGTTTGTGACCCACATGCTGGAAGACGGTGGAGTAAAGGGGGTGGGTGGCTTCTCCTTGATCTGCGGAAAACTCAGAAAGGCGAAGGGGGATAGCAACAACATTGACCCCCTGGCCATCATCTCGAACCGTTGCGACCATGTTGGGCAGGTTCCATGGATTTGTGGAGAGCGCGGCTCCATCTACGGCTTGAGCAACGCCACATATTTGCATCCGGAACAGGAAGATAAGGAGGAGGAGCTATGGCCCAAGATTCGGGAAGGCCGCGAAGCAATGCTCCGTGCTGTCACCGAAAAGATGGACGAAAAGGAACTCCAGGAGGCACTGTTCGAAATTTTGGACACGGATAGGTTTCCGTCCGACCACACCATGGACCTTGAGGAAGGCATCCCGTTGCTCAAGGACTCGATTTTCATCCCTGCCTTTGGCGGCAAGTCGCACCAAGAAGAAATGGCAGAGGCCAGACTGCGAGGACAAGTGAAGCACAAGGATCGTGATTCGCCGGCAGCCGAAGTCTTGACCATCGTGGCTCGCCCAGACGACCAGCCCAATGGCTTCCAAACTGGCCTCTACGGCACGCAACGACAGACCATCATTCTCGTGGATTGGGATGGCAATGTGACCTATACTGAGAGAGCTCTCTGGGACCCTCATGGGAACCCCATCCCAAGAGGCTCTGGGGATGAAACATTTAGATTCAAGATTGAGGGCTGGGAGAAGGAAGAGGAGCTCTGCAACTAGCATTGTGCAGGATCTCAGACTGGTTCCAATAGCTCAGTCGTTTCAATGACGAGCTTTTGGTCGGTGAACTGAGCAGGAATAGAGAGGAGGATACCTTTGGATAGTTGTTTTATGTTTTTCCCCCCATGATAGAAAATTGTTACTTTGCATTTGCTTTCGTCTGAGCCAGGTCATATTATGTCTCTATCTTGGCTTATTGTCTTATAGTGGTCTCGAGTCGATATGGCGGCCAGCGCCACACTCTGCCCAAGTGAAGGGGCAGAAGTCGCAAACCGAGGACCTCTTGCCTGTTGTTGACATTGGTCCCTATCCATATTCCCCGACGTTATTTGACGCCCCGTAGCAACTGCCTTTGCAACTTCCTGCTTTTTTATCTTAATCTAAGGAGTCAGAATTTTGCTCTGTTGTCTTTGGAAGGTGCGTAGCATGGATGTGGCCGTCAATGAACTTGGGTGTTTGTCTGCAGCTGGTCCCGCTTGTAACCATCTCCCCCATACATCTCTCTCCCTGCTTTTCTTCTCGACAATCAACATTGAGTCCATTATGCCCCGCTGACCCGCCATGAACAGAAGTAACTTGCACTGCTGCGCAGATTCGGACGCAAGCTCCGGCAATTCGGACGACGAACTCTGCTCCCAACACCCCCTCCACAGCGTTGCAAACGAGACTTCAAAGAAAATCGACGGCATCAACAGGAAGCTCCAACAGCTTGAGTTGCTTTCAACCACCGCCAAAGACATTGACGCCACCCTCAAAGGTCTTACTGCTGCACTTGTCATTTTGTTTGTCTTATTTAGTCGTATTCTGTTCGCCACAGTTCGCATCACACTTCTATCGTCTCACTCGACCTACACTGTTATAAAGTGCTCGCTTCAAACCGATCTGGTGACTCTTAGGCACGTCGTCAACCTCTGGTTGGTATTCCTGTTTCAGGTTGCGACCCTCGCCGGTGCAGCAGTATTCGCCATTGTTTCTGTGGTCGTGGCAGCCTTCAGGATTTTCCTCCAGTCATGGAACCGCCCGCTCGACGACATGGCTGGACACACACCTCCAGCTGGGTGCAAAGACGCGCTTCAACTAAATCCACCCGTTCCGAAACGAAGGCAAGAAAATCTACCTCTGTCACCAGAATCCCAATCAGTGGGCCTATCGGCAGAGTAACTCGAAACGGAACGCCTCTCGAGGACACCAACTTGATGCGTCCCTCAGACATGTCCAAGCCAGCAAGCACTTACCCACATCCGACCCCTTTTGTTACAACGGTAGATTACCACAGCATTGACAACAGCCGGATGACAGAGAACCAGAGGCCTGCTGACAACACTTCATTACCTCCCCCTCGACAGGGATTGCTCACCAAATCCAGAACTTTCAGTGTCCTCTCTAGCATTACCAACTCATTGTCACGGGCCTCCCTTATTCACCATGGCAGTACTAGTCGAAATGATAGCTCAAGCTCTTCCCAACCAAGGGTCACCCCGCCAGTTATTGCGATACCTCGAAAACAACCTCCTGTGGCCACCAGATGTTCCATGGAGCCCCTCCTGAATGACAGCCAATGCCAAAAACCCCCCTGTCAGGAGGCATCTCCCCCTCTACCAGACAACCCACGATTCGTCACCACGGCAATGCCGTCCCAGTACTGGTCGGGTCGTTTTGCGGCCCTTGACGACAAGTTCCATAATGAAGTGCTGCTTGGCAGGAATCTCAACATGGTTGTTGAGGCCCAGACGAACCGCTCAGGCAATGCAGGAACCGGCAGCAGCAACTCCGCAGCCCGTGCTCAGAACAACCCTTCGGCATCGGCATATTCACTTATTCGCCCAGTACCACAGTTGGCAGGGTTAGCGAGGTATAATCAGGGACTGCCGTCTCGGCAGACTACTTCTCATGAGCATTCTTTCCAGGGGCCTGTGAGCCGGATCCCACAGTCTGCTACGAGCGGAGCCATTCTCCAGACGACGCCCTACTCGACGCGTACCCGTGAGCAGCAGCAGCCGCCCGGGTCTGCGGCTAGTACTAGAACGGCGGCGTATTATCACAAGCCGCTTTTTTCTCGACCGCCCTCGTATGAGCAGTCGGTTGGGCTATCTGGAACAGCCACTGCGCCTGTGTCGCCTATTTTTGAGGGATCGAGTGATTCGCTTGACTCGGTGGTGCCGGCTTTACCGCCTACGTTGGGGTTTCCTGGTCCCAAGAGGTCACATCTAAGTGGTGTACATGTTCAGGGTTATGCCTCGAGCTTGAGCAGTGAGGATGGGAGTGTGGTGACTGTGGAGGGGGATTATTATACGCAGGGTAGGGGAGTGGTTGTTAATAATGCGGCGATGTTGACGGATGATGATGCGAGGCGTAGGAGGGTGTTGGTTCATTTGGAGGCTATGTGCGTTACTGAGACGGCGAGGGAGTCGCTTCGGGCGTGGAGGATTGCGTATGCGAGGAAGACGGGGAGGGCGGTGTTGCTTCCTTGTGGGGAGACGATGGAGGGGGCGTGTGGGAGGGGGAGGGCGGAGAGGGAGAGGGAGAGGCAGCATTTGGTTTATGGGTTGGGGAAGGGGAGGGAGATTGTGAAGAGGTTGAGGAGGAGTTTGGGTGGTGTTACGGGGAGTGGTGGTGGTGGTAGTGGGTATTGTCATGCTCATCATGTGAATGCGTATGATGAGGAGGTACCTAGGAGGAGGGGTGGGATGATGATGGGGATGATGTAAGGGGATGTGTGTGTATGATCAGTGGTCTGTACATTAGGGGGCCAGAAAGAGCATGTGGATTTGTATGAGTATAAGTTAGATACCCGTCTTGATGGAGGTAGCATTTTTGCTAGGTTAATGCGAGGAAGTTAGTTTGGGCCAATGTTTTATCTCAGCTTGATTCTGGTTTCCCGGTGAGAAAAAACCGTTGTGCTAGAACTTTTCGCTCAACAATGATCATTAGCCATGTTACTCTGAATCCCAGAAAAGCACGTTCCCTTGTAGGGTCGTTTCCTAATTCCCCTTCTTCCTTGCCTTCAAGAATTCCCTAATCTGCTCCACCTTGCTGACGAAAAACGTGCCTTTCCGATCATCCTTCCAAACCAAGACCCCTATCTCGGTCGCGTACTCCGCCAGCTGCCTGTACTCCTCCACGCTCTCGAAGTCTTTGAACTGGAACCCTGGCGTCTTTTGCATCCTCTGACTCTCCAGCTGCCACAGTCGGATCTGATCCATCACCGTCGGCGGGATTACCGTCGTGCCCCTCGCCGCGGCGGCGCGCCTCATTTGTGGGTGTGCATGCGCGACAAGGTAGTCAATGATTTGGTTCGCCGTGATCCCTTCCTTGATGGCTTCCTGGACTGATTCTCTCGTCAATCTGGCGGTGACCATGTTTGGAAACCGCATGTGTAGCCGGCAGAACAGCTTGAGGATGGCGATTTGCAAAGGGGAGGAGGTGTAAGCATAGATACGATAGTTTGTTTCAACTACAATCCCGCCGTTTTCATCCGCCGGTGCTGTTGGGGTGGAGTCTGCTCCCAGACTGCCCGCGTCACCGGGGGTTTTCTTCGTGGCGGCATCGATGCTGGCTGATACTGACCTCATGGTTGATAAGGAGGTAAGAGTGGTGGCTAATCGGGTTGGGTAGTATTGCTGTGGTCTGTCACGGTCGATGTATATCAGGCCAAAGTCAGCCAGTGCGGGGAGCATGTTCTTTCGGGTTTCGGTCAAAGCAGAAGTGTCGTATGCGCGGCCGAGCTCGAGGGAGGCGAGCATGAAGAGAAAGGAGAGCATTTCGACATTGTCGATGGCTGTTCCTGTTATGTCGGTGCCTTGCTCTTTGGCGAGGGCTTTGTTGCGGTCGGCGGCTTCGAGCCAGAGGAGGAGGAGGGTCCAGACTTGGGCGTTGGCTTCTTGGAGGAGGAAGTTGAAGCCATGCTCGCTGATTTGGACGAGACCGCCGGCGCCTTCGCGGACGAGACCGCCCATTTTGAGGAGTTCGCGGACTGCTCGTTTTGGGCCGCCGCCTCCGGAGCCGTGTCGGCCGCCGGACTCGTTGGCTTTCATGGGGACGCTGTTGACGACGTAGTAAAGGATGTCTTGCCATATTCTCCCGGCCCATTGGTCGAGATATTGGATGTGTATCTTTGGGTCGGTAGGTAATGTGCTTGGTACGCCGAAGCTGTTGTGTGATCCGCCGCCCTCGAGGGCGAGTCGTAGAGATTTTTTGAAGTTGGCTGTGAGTTGAATATCTTGTGCTTTCTTGGCCCTGGTCGACTGTGATAACTGGGCGATGTGTAGTGAGCGCAGCCTCGCGATCGCTCTATTGCTCGTGCCTTTGCCTTCTGGTCGCGTCCAGAGCTCGATATCATTTGTCGTAAGGGGGGTCGGACTGTATAGCAGGGCCTGAACATATACCTTTGCTGTAGGCGCGTGTCCGTTAGTCACGGTGGTCCGGAGAGAAGGGGGAGGCGTGTACCTAAAGGTGGAAGCATGCGCCGAAAGATAGCAAAGGCGGTGGAAGGCTGCTGGTACAGCTTTCGAAACGTTGCGCCTGGCAGCTTCTCCAAGTAATCGTCGAGCAAGAAGGACGAGGGGCCAAAGGACGACATGATGGCGGCTGGCTGCCCGGCACATGCGTTGGCTTTCGTTGTCGATTCCCTCGATTATTTCAGGCGGCTTAGGTTTCACTTAGCGCATTCTTTGGCGGTTATGTAATTTGGATTCGTCGGGGGTATCGTCAAATATCGAAGGCACGGAATTGCGAAGGTAGTTGGTGTTTGGCTGAGATGTCGTGGATTGATTGTCGCAGGCACTGTTCAGCGGCAGGCATCCCCAAAATCTAGAAGGCTGCCGCCAAAAGAATAGCAGGGATGGCTGAACAGGGATCCGCATTTCGGCTAGTTCCGTTGCTCTCCCGTGCTGTCGGGTGTGAAGGTGCGCGCCAGTTGGTGCATGTCTAGGTTTACACTAAACACACCTACCCTTGGTTCAATGGGAGCATCTTCATCGAGATCCCCTACTTAATGATCATTTGCTAAAGTCAGCCAGCATGGTTCTCAATGAAGACTCTGACATCTCGACCAAACGGGCACCTTGATAGCCATGGTCGGATTCCCCACATCCCGGCGCCGGTTATCGGGCGGGACTCGCACGACGTCACAAAGTGGGGGTTCGGGTTGTCTCAACCAGCTGAATGCGATATGTTTTCAAGCAGTTTGAACCCTCCTTTAAACCCTCGGGTAAACTGTGTGTATCGGAGCGCTACCAAAATGACCGGAGTGAAGCTGCAGCCAACAAGATTTGTGAGATCGGTATGACAAGTCCCTTGTGCCCATTCCAGGAACACCTCAGGTTACTAACGTGACAAAGGTTCTCAAATCCTTCATGGCCGAGTCTGGTCTGGAGCCGAGGTACGTCTTCGGGGTTGCGATCTGGAATTCAGGGACATATACCTAACCCTGTATTTGACTTCAGACTGTTCGGACCCCATGTGAGTCGCAGTCCCCTGATCGTCTGAAGCCTGAAGTTGCTGACCAGGGTGGTGAAGCTACGTGTTGTGAATGCATCGAAGGGCAGAGTTGATCTTGAGCTGGACATAACGAAAGACCACACAGTATATATCCCCTGCGGCTTTCTTGTCGTCTTGCAAGGTAGCTACTTACAAACCCTCACAAGAACCGCCTCAAGATCATCCATGGAGGCACAATTGCCAGTCTGGTCGACCTGGGTGGCTCCCTAGCCGTCGCCTCGGAAGGTCTGTATGCTACTGGCGTTTCCACAGACCTAAACGTCACCTACCTCAAATCGGGGGGCAAAGTGGGAGATAAGCTTCAAGCGGTTGCGGAGTGCGAAAAGAGTACGTACATGCTGTTCAGGATCTCTGCCCTATGCTCTGACTGACACTTTTTGTACAGTTGGCCCAACCTTGGCCTTCACCAAGGTTACCTTTACGAACCCCCTGGGAGAACTGGTAGCCAGGGGCAGCCATACCAAGTAAGTTTTGCTCTTGCTTTACCCAGAACCACGTGCCTAATCAGTAATCGAATTGCAGATATGTCAAGGCAGCATGGAAAGGAAGCCACCCATATACTCCTCCCGAGGGGGCTGAGATTGCGGATGAAGTTGACTGATCCGTGTGTTCCCGAATGTATATAACTCGAATGAACATGAACCTGGGCGGAGTAGAACGGTCGTTGCATGTGTGAAGGTGATACCCCTGAATTGAGATTCTATCACCGTTTGTTTGCCACGAAGCGGAGTCAGAGGGCTATCTATCAGGTACCGGCCGTGATTTTTTCATGCTCCGTATTGGGCCTCCCTGACAGGTTCAGTTATACCGCTTTCATCTCTTGTGAGCCACTGCTGATTGCGAAACAGCGCAAACCGATGGTGGCACTTTGGCACCTCGTGGCCATCGGGGTCTGTGTCTCGTGGCAGGCAACGAAACGGGAGCTTGGTGTTTACTCGTCGTCATCTACCATGCTCGCCATCCTCCAGTGTAAAGAGTCTTCCTCTTTCCTTCATTTTTTTCATTTCCTTGAACCTTGCCGTACCCAAACTGCAACCGAAATCTCCGCAAACATCTCTCGGTTACATCCCCAGGCGCAGTTAACATGAAGTTTTGCTTTTCTGCCTTCGCCCTCGTGGCTTCTGCCTTCGCCCTCACACCTCCTGTCAAGCCCTACTTCTGGCAGCCTTCCTCTGCTATAGTCTTGCCGGCCCTCAACTTGACCGGCAACATCTCCCCATTCACGGGCAATAACGCCAGCTTCAACGCCCCTTGGTATACTCTCAACCAAGCTGGCCATTCTGTCCGGATAACCGGCGGCAGCCTTATCTCTTTGGCGGAAGCGAACATCACCATGCCCTTCTTCTCAGCTACCAACTATACACAGTGGATCGAGTTCGCAGTCACCAGCGACGGCATCGTCGAATGTCGTCACTCCACCTTCCGCGCTGGTGTTGCTATCACCCAAAATCTCACCTCGAACACCGCCCCCCAATACTACACCTTCTACACCACGCAGATTGGAGGTCAATTGTACACCCGGAGTTCGAGGTTCTCTCTGGCGACGGAATTGGTGTCCAGATCATTGCCAATTCGAGCAAGTCGGGTATGGTCGAGTTCTACAACGGGAGGACCAAGGCCTTCTGGAATCAAGACGTCAACGATATCATATACCTGCGCTGTGCTTGAAGGGTGCGAACTGGGCGGCTGCCTGCTCTCTGCTTCTATGGTATCCCCCATAAATCTATGGTTCAGTGGAAGGGGATGAAGTGGGGGACGGCTGAAAATAGCGTCTATGAAGCTGACAAAGGGCCCGGAAAACTGCATACCATGCACATCGTGAATAGTACGGCCAATTGGGACATATTGGTGTGGAGTGCCTGGAACAACATGACAAACGGGTTGGATTGTAAGATCATGGACCGAGAGTGGAGACATAAATTCGACAAGCCTCCTCAATAACACGCCTCTAGCTGTCTTCGGCATATAGTCAACAATTGATCAAGGGGTGTTTCTGCATTGCTAACCCCATATTTGTATGGAAAAATCGTCTTCTCGCTGTTCACCGATTGTTGCGTGCATCTCTCGCACTGCCTTTGACCTGTGAATGGGACAAACCAACTGAAGCCCGTTTGTGAAGCTGTGATGGATTCAGTGGGTGGTAGTGGTGGAAGTGATGGTGCATAACAGTTCAGGGGCACCAGTTCTTACGGTAAGTATTTCAATGTAATAGCGGGTGCCCTGGCCATTGAACCTTTGCGTAGGGAAATCTGTGAATAATTGCAGTGTTTGAAAGTGATTATGGCGAGTAGGTTGGAATATTGCTGCATGGCTGGTAGCTTGGCACGAAGTAGGGGTTGGTTTTGCCCAGGAGAAAAGAACTTTCAATGCAGGCTTGTGCAAATGCCTGGTATGTTAAGGGCTGTTTTATGTAGGAAGCTAGTCTGTTTTGTCTAGCTACCCTCTATCGACCGATATGGGTCGTGAAGTACTCGATAATGGCAGGTTTGGGGGGCGATAGACCGCAGCAATATTGTGTCAGATGTTCTAGTTGCGAGTTGATTCAGTTGATAGTGAGACAAGACATGATGGTACCCTTGCCACAAAATAATTGGGACACCAAAGTAGGTTAACATGCCCTAAAAGATAGTCCATAGGCTTTTAAATATAATATATGGGCCTTTAAAAATAGTCAATAGGCCTTCTGAAGTATTTTGAAGGCCTATTAACTATCTTTGAAGGCGGAATAATTATCCTTTAAAGTATAGTTTATAATATGATATAGGTAAACTTACTTTTATATATTAACTATTTTATAATGAGGGAGGATGGTCCTTCGTCTTTTGTCCTGTTACTTTGCAATAAAAGTTGTGAGATTTTTGAAAGTGATGTTGACTCTGTGGCTACTATCCCTTTATGGATGGCACCTACTCCCTTATACCGCCGGTCTTTATGATTGGGTTTGAATTGAAAGAAGATTGCACAACAAAATCTAGACTCAGACCTAGTAAAGCTAGAATAGGGGCCGTATAAAGCTAGGATAACGAGCATGTAAAGCTAGGATAGCGGGTATGGAAAGCTAGGATAGACGTTGAAAATAATATGCCTCTTGCACCAGACCCGCCTTTAAAACAGTGGAAATCCAACTCAAAGCTTTATTTCTAGGACGCACTCCTAACATGGGTTTGCGTACAGTTGCTTGAGAAACTACCTTACCTATTCACCCCTGTACTTAGGAAGCACCTCGTCTACTGTCTGCATATTGGAGACTGATACAGACCCTGCAACACACCATAGACACCCTTAACCGCAGACTGGCGACAGTAACACTTTTCCCTGGTCTCCAAACGACTTGATCAATGATGTCAGTAATGTCAAGGAGTGATATGAGCGCAATGCGTTGAACTTGTGTCACTCAGTTGGATTACCAATCGGCGGATTTTGCGGATTTTGTGTTGCACCGTGTCCGAGTTTGTAAAGTTGGCTTAAAGAGGCACATCGCAGTCTCTTAATATGGCATTAGTTGTAAAGTTGAATTCTCTCTTGTTGACCGTGTTGTATAACCAGTTTTTTGTAGCCTGAGAAGTGATTACATCATCGCACCCACTTAACCCCCCTCAATCCCTCGCTTTTTGACACATTCCCCTCGGTTCATCCCAACCTGCTCACAATCATCATTATCTCATCCCATCCACACTGGCAATCTGAACTACCTAATAAAAACTTCTGAAAATGACTGCCTCCATAGCACAAGCTACCAAAACCATCGTCGCTACAGGCACATCGTCGGGGTTGGTATGTTACTCCCCGCTGATCCCCTCATTGGAGTTCATTTCACTCACACTACTCTCCAGGGCTTTGAACTCATCAAACAACTCCTCAGCTCTCCCACTTCCCTCAGCCCCTCCACCACTCACCTCAACCTTGTCCTCGGAGCCCGCGACACCAACCGTTCCGGTCAAGACTACAATGCGCTCTCGTACCCCAAGACTGATCACATCCTGTCTATCCTTCCCCTCGAGCTCTCCAGTCTAAAGTCAACCGCCTCCTTCGCCAATGCAACACTCGAGCGTCTCGGCCCGGACGGAAAGATCGATTACTTGCTCCTCAACGCTGCGGTCTCTGACGGGACAGACAAGCCCGCGAAGGAGTCCAAGTCTGGGTTTTGTGAGGCGTTTGTGGTTAATTTTCTTTGTAAGTGGTGTTGACATCATCATTTTGATTTCGAACCATTAGGTCTGACAGGAAACAGCCCAGCATTACCTCGTTCACTTGCTCGAGAAGAAACTGATTGATTCCTCTACGAGAATCATTTTTGTTTCCTCGGGCGCCATCCGTCGGGTTACTGACCCCTCGACGTTGGAGAAGGACTTGAAAGTTGGGTCTGGGGTGGAAGCCAACGACACGTACTCTCAGACAAAGTTCTTGAATTTGTTGAGTGCGCAGTGGTGGCGGAGGAGGCTGGAGGGGAAGTGCAGGGTTGTTGCAGTTTCTCCGGGGCTGATTCCTAACACTGGAATTGGGAGGGGCTCGGGAATGAAGTTGAGTATGGATATGCCTGATGCGAAGAGCGTGGAGCATGGGGCAAAGAGCATTCTGGCTGCGTTCACGAGGGATGATTTCCCGAAGGATAGGGAGCAGATGTTTTTGACGAGCTGGGGGGAGTGGTGGGAGAAGGGGGTGTATGAGAAGGTGTTGGATAAGGGGTTGCAGGATAAGTGGTGCTGGTCAAAGGAGGAGATTGAGAAGAGGGAGGGGTTGAACTAGGTTCACTCCAGTCCACTTCTCTCTCCTCTTCGTTCACAGTTTCACTATAGACAATCCAACATTGATAGATGCACATATCCGGTATCTGGCGAAAGATGTAGGCCTCTATGTGTGACGAACCCCTGTCCAGAACCTCTGAAAGGGATACTAGTTGAAGGCGCTTCTGAACAATACTGGTTCGGTACAGCTAAACAGTGTACAACAATGGCTTGTCTCAATCACAATTGTCAAGATACTAACGAATGTGACTTGTATTGCATACTGCGGAACTATCTGATGCCCATCTAGTTCCTCCGTATATATAGGCCTCAGGGCTCTGAACTGATCATGGCCAAGCCACCCTGATCTCGTCCTTATTGGCCCAGTCCGTGATCATGGTGATCATGCTCCGATCACCCTGATCACCTCCTGATTGGTTGACCTTATCTAATCTAACGATTGGCTGAGCACGTCCTGCACCGCTCGTACTGTCTAACCTGCATGTTGGCTTAACTGTGACACTGTGACATTTCTAGACAATTGGTTCTGTGCAGCTAAACAGTGCACAACAATGGCTTGTCTCTATCACGATAGTCTGAAACCAACGAATGTAACTTGTATTACATACTGCGGAACTATCTATAAGCTATTTAGTTCCTCCGTATTATATAGACCACCATTTTCCTGGATTATTATCTTCCATTAATGATCCCTAGAGCCGGCCGGATCGTTTCCTGGATCATACTCTGGACCCAATGATCCTCTCCTGGTAGGTCTGTTTCCTGTTCCTCTGATTGGTTGTCCCCTTCTCCCTTTTGATTGGCCGATGCTGCCGGGAGTCCGCATTCAAGAACGCAACCACCTGCCACAAGTCATTAGTCGTGCCCTCCTCACCTCACCTCTCAGAACACCAAACGTCCCAACCCCGCTTCAGCTCCCAACAACGAACGAAGAGCTCGCCATCTTCATCGCCTCCCCTGACCCCGCCAACACCCAATTCTTCCCCTCGAGGAAGAGACTCACTCGTCGCTCTCGCATCAGGCCTGCCTCGATCTTCCACCCGGAAGACCCCTCCCTCACACCGGAAGAACACTTCCCCTTGCAAACCGTCCGCGCCCCCGACCGCCCAGTCCACCCCCGCTTCGTCAACAGGTTTAACAGCAGGGAAATTTTACTTGTTATCGACGCGTCATGTATCAATAACGGCCGCCACGCGGATAAATCCTCCCCTCCCATTGGCAGCTCCTCCTTCAAGTTCAAGAACTCACCTGGAATCCTAAATGCGGCTGTGACGCTCCCTTTGTCAGAGTAGTACAATGGGCCCATTACCGGGACAATCGCCTTCTGTCTTGAGGAGGAACCCCAGGGTAATGTAATGGATCACACTTCCAATCGGGCTAAACTCCGCGCTGTGATTGCGGCGTTGCAGTTTAGGAGTTGGCATGGGGAGGGGTGGAGGAGGGTGGTGGTGTTGACGGATTTGGAGTATATCGTCAAGGGGGCTACGGAGTGGTTGCCTAAGTGGGTGGGCAGGCGGTGGAGGAAGTCGAAGGCTGTGAGGTCGGGCAGGAAGTATGCCAATCGGGACTTGTGGGGGGAGTTGCAGCATAGGATTGAGGAGCTGGGGGGTGAAGGGTGTGAGGTTTCGCTTTGGCTGGTGAGGGATGGGGAGTTGATAAGGCAGACGAAGGCGGCGGCGAGGCTGGCGGCGTGGGAGGGGAAGAAGGAGGGGTTGCCGGTGGAGAGGTTTACGAGGTTATTTGGGATTATGATATGAGAGATGACGGGGGATGTGAGCGAGAGGTGTGATGTGGATGTTGGGATCTGATGAAGAAGATCTGGGAGGCTGTGTGTTGGGACGCGATTCAATGAGTGAGCAGGTGAGGTCACGTCCATCCAAGCCAATGAGGCCTGGGTCAATTGTCTTTTTCTTCATTTTTCTTTCCTTCGACAGAATGTTTACCAACATCCCCAGGTACTTCGTACAACCTCAAATTAATGTTCATTAATTGCTACCTACCGGCAGTCTGGTCGCTGCGGGCCGAGAGCGGATTCATGCAGTGCCGAAGGAACTGTGGAATCGCGGGGAACGGCCAATGTGGGGTGCTCGGCTTCCATCGGGCCAGTCCCGCACTGGAGTTACTCAAGCACCACCCTTCTTCAAGCGGCACAAGCCATAAATGTTTAGAACAGCTCTTTCAACTCATTCAAAAGTCACCTATACGACCAAGCACTACGAGTTACGGACAAGATGGCTAACGAATCCTGGATCTCCCACTACAGCCCCTCAAATGACTTCTCTCTCGCCAACATCCCCTTCGGCATCATCAGCACTCCGGAGGACCAAACACTCCGCCCAGCCATCGCCATTGGAGGCTTTGCACTGGACTTGAAAACATGGCTGGCCATAGTGAACAAGAAGAAACTCGCCGACGTCTTCTCAGGTGTTGATATTGATCAGCTTGACCATGCTCTAAGCCAACCCACCCTCAACGGTTTCGCTGCTCTTGGACGGCCGGTGCACAGAATTGTACGAAAAGGACTCCAGGATCTATTACACAAAGACACGCCATATGCAGAGCTCCTCAGGGATGACGAGAATGCCAGGACCAAAACCTTGAGCAGGCTGAGCGATGTTACGATGCACCTTCCAATGGAGATTGGAGACTACACCGACTTCTACGCAGGCTATCACCATGCCTATGCGGTTGGTGTCATGTTCCGCGGGCCAGAAAACGCCCTCCAGCCAAATTATACGCACTTACCGGTTGGATACCACGGTAGGGCATCGAGTATCGTGGTGGATGGGACGCCAATTCGGAGGCCAGTAGGTCAGATACTGCTGGACCCGAAAGCTGAGCCAAAGCAACCTGTGACTGGGCCTACGAGGAAACTGGATATCGAGCTTGAGCTTGGGTGCTTCATCTCAAAGCCTAACAAAATGGGCGAGTCTGTAGATGTGAAACAGGCTGAGGAGCACATCTTTGGCTATGTGCTCCTGAACGACTGGAGCGCGAGGGATATTCAGGCCTGGGAGTATGTGCCGCTGGGGCCGTTCAATGGCAAGAACTTCGGGACGACAATTAGTGCCTGGGTGGTGCTGGCAGATGCGCTAGAGCCGTTCAAGGTGAAGACCGAGATTGATAACAAGACCGAACTGCAAGAGTATTTGAAGGGCGAGGAGGATAAAACAGTGTTTGACATTAAGTTGGAAGTCGATTTGACAAGTGAGTGCTGTTGACCTGGTTATTGTCAACTGGAAGAGGGGATGAGACTGACACATATACTTTATAGCTGCTGATGGGAGCACAACTACCATTGGAAGGACAAGCTCGAAGTATTTGATGTGGTCATTTCCACAGATGATTGCGCATCATACTCTGGGTGGCTGTTCGATGCGTCCTGGTGACTTGCTTGGATCTGGGACAATTAGTGGCCCAGGTGGTGTCGAGGAGAGGGGGAGCTTGCTGGAGATGACTGAGAACGGGAAGAAGGAAGTATTGCTGGCCGGGATGCATGCCAGAACGTTTTTGAAGGATGGTGACAGCATTACACTGAGAGGATTTTGTGCTGATGACGGCAAGGGAGTACGTGTTGGGTTTGGGCGCTGTTCAGGAACAATCTATGGTGGCCCACAGAGATGATTACTGTAAAATAGCCCGGAGTTCTTTTTGGTGTTGAAGAATAGACGTAGGATCATTCTTTGTTGTAGGCATCCACGCATCAAAAGTTGGTCGTTGCTTCGATATCTGGGAGCCGTGCCAAGGCGTCATAGCTTCCCCGGAGAACGCGGGGATCTCCGCTTTGCCAGCCAAACTAGCACCAATCTGGAATGGCGTACGATTGTGCCAGGGCATCGAACACAGCAAGAGGAAGTTGGAAGGACAAAAGGGCGGAAAAGAGCGGCAATCCTTATCACGTGGACGCGCTGCCAAAAGGGATTGTGCTGACATTTGGGTGGCTTGTCCCCTTTGCTCAGCTCGCTGGCTCTCAGGTGGGAAACCGAGAGCGTGTCCGGGAGGTCTTTCAGGAGAAAAGGACACATGTGTTGCAATGGAACATCTTGAGACCCAAGTGAGCGACCTGCGCTCGTTCCTGGCTCCGCAGTCAGCTGCCGCTCCAGGATTGAGCCTGTCGACGCCAGCAGCCTATTCTCCCAGTGGGCCTCTGTCGTCGCTTTCCGCCCTCGGAGACAATTCCGCACCACAACCTACCTCACCACTCCCACTCGAGTCGTCGCACGGAGGCGGCACCACGTCCGCCAACACGACCACCTCCCATGCCAAAAGAAGGGCAGAGCCAGATGAGGATGGTGAAGTGTCTGCCAAGCAGCAAAGGAGCAAGCGGAATAGAGTGCGTCGCTCCCACAGCACAGCTGCAGCTACCCTTTATAATCACTTGTACTAACCCTGTCATCCAGTACACCTCGATCGCCTGGTAAGGCTGTTCCTCTCTCGATGTGACTCTGTCCCGCATTGGGCCCCATGCCACGTTCTGGAATCGTACGACGTCGGGCCATGTTTTCTGCCATATAATTATGTCTCAGACCCCTTCCAACCCTGGTTTCTGACCTTTATGATAGCAATGAGTGCAAACGCCGCAAGATCAAATGCAACGGCCAGACGCCCTGTCACCGATGTGGCAACCTCAACCTACAATGTCTGTACGCGCCCAACTGCTGTCCCAACTTCAAGGACTCGGATGAGTTCAGGGACATGTCGGCCCAGGTGACTCGGCTGCAAGAACAGGTCGACAATCTCTTCAGCGCCATGAATGCTCTTCGCCAGGAAACTTCAAGTCTGCGACTAGCCCCGATTCACGATCATATCCTGCCTCCGCCAGTAACCACAGGCAGTCCCTCACCCATTCCCACCCTTCCTCCGCTGACCAGGCCTCGTCTTGGGTACCGTGTGCCATCCTCATTCCATGGACCGACGAGCATCGCCTTCACTGTCGATGTAGCCAAGAGTACGCTCCACAGAATGGGGTATACCGACGTGGCTGAGGACAGCGTTTCTCAGCCTACAGAGCCAACACCGCATCCATCGCCGGCCCTAGCTCCCCTAGCAGCCCCTCCGCCACCGGCATCCTCCTCTCCACCCTCAGCTGTCCCTCGTGATCCTATCCTGGAATTCGACGAAGCAGAAATGCTGCGGTTATGTGAGCTACATGAGGAAGAAGTTGGGGCCATGTACCCTGTGATACCCATCGAGACTGTCAAACAACATGCCCAATCGCTTTGCCCATGGTTTGCAACTGTGAAACTAAACTCCTCTGCCGCTCAGCAAAGTTTGCCGGACCTTAACGATCAGAAAACATTAGTCCTCAAGATTGTCCTCTGCTGCGCCCTGGTGGTGGAGGAACACGGCAATAGTGCGCGCGCCGCCCGCTTATACGAGAGTATACAGCCGATCATTGACCGAATGCTCATGAGTGAGCCGGCCGATATCGTCAAGTTACCGTTCTTAGCGCTGGTAGCCGGGTATCGATACTTGTCTAACGACGAGGTATTGGCCTGGCGAGTGGTTGGGCATGTAGGAAGGCTGTGTCTCGAGTTGGGTCTCCACCGAAGGGAAGGACTGCAAAATATCACCGATCCAACGGTGAGAAGGAATGCACTCCTGACCTTCTGGAGCGTCTATGTTCTGGACCGGAGATGGAGCTTCAGCACCGGGCTGCCGTTTGTGTATCATGATGACAAGATTGATCCCGGGTTACCTAAGCCGGTATGTCTTAATTCCTGTGTGCAAACCACAAAAGTGAAGTGACATTGACGTGTACAGGATGACTACCCCTTTTTAGTAGCAATGGTTGGGTACTCCAAGCTAGCGGCCAAGATCTGGGGGTTGGTGGATTGCTTTGAGCCAGCTGTTATCCGAGGTTTGAAGGCTCATAATTTTGAGCCGCTGGAACAGGAAATTTGGGAGTGGTATGAGAGTGTGCCAGCTGAGATCCAGACAGACCCATCCGATGGTGACAGGATTGCTATGCCTAGTGGTCCCACTGATAAAGTTCAGCGGGTGAGAATATGGACGAGATTGAGGCTGAATCAGGTATGCGTGCTTTTTGTCCTGGTCATCCCAAACCTAAACCTATGCTAACTTCATGTTCTAGGTCCGCATCTGGCTGTACACACCTGTGTTGCACAGCGCCACAAGCATCGCCGAGAATATGCAACGGGCTGAGAAAGCAGTTGACCTTGCCAAACAAACAATTCGGCTACTGGCACACATCAACCAAACCACGAGTCTCTATCGTCGCTGCCAGGTCTTCTACCACCAGTTCTTGACCTCATCTATTGCCGTTCTATTTCTCGCTTCCACCCATGCCCCTGTCGAGTTCAGCTCGCATTGCCGGGTAGAGTTCTACATGGCTCTCGACCTCGTACGGGACATGTCCTCTAAATCATGGGTGTCCCACCGACTCTGGCGCACGATACGGTCTCTCAAAGCCGTTGCACCTCGGCTCGGTCTCGAGGAAGACTTTGCTGCCTCGCCCCCGGCCACCAAGCCCTCCAACACCGGCTCTGCTGCTCAGTTACATCGTCATCAAAGCACGAGTGACTACAACCAAAGCAGGAGCCATAGCATCAGTCAAAGCAGCCCGCGGACTGCTGGCACAGTGCCCTCAGTCCGAGGGGTCGCTCAAAGCCATAGTAGCATGAGTCCGTTCAGTCCGCAGATTAGGGGCAGCGAGATGAGCCATCACCCAAACTCAGCTGTTTCTACGCCTCATCAACAGCAGATGCACGTGGACGAACGGACTAATGGCCTGAGATTGCAATCCGAAATGTCGAGGATCTACGAGGGCTATGCAGGACTGGGTGTAAACGGGAGTGTGCCGACGACGGCAGGGATGAGGAGTATGAGCTTGGAAACCGGCGCAATGTCTGCTGGTGATTTGGGGTATGGGAACAATATGCATATGGGTCAGGGACTCGGGCTTGTCCAGGGGGTCGTTGGACTGGGCGATGAGAGCGTGTATCAGCACATCAAGGACATGTTTTAGGTTGAAATAGATGTCCAGCGTTGTGTTGCTTGTCTTTATACTACCTAAAACTTTGCTAATTTTGATTAGGTATCATTGAGATGTATTTACCTCGTTCCTCCATTGGGTTAGCCAGGTATGCTTGCTGCCCATCGCCTGCATCCCGAGATTGTGGGGGAGGGACGAGAGGAAGTGACTGGGCCAGCAAAGCCAGGGCCGATTCGCTCTCAAGTCACAAGCACTGGTGGGGTGACTCGGCACAACTTGATGTGTTGCCTAACGACTAGCGTTGTTGAATTGACCTTCCTGAGATAACAAGACCGTCTCCGCAATATATACCAGAAGCAACCCTCACTTTGTAACCAGTAGGTATCTAGAGTGGGGTCATATTTGTAGCGGTGAGAAGAACCAGCTCTCCAACCCGCACGAGGGCACTTATTTTTTTCCAGTTGTTACTCTTTTCCCCGTTCCTCGTCACCCTCGACTGTCATCACCATGGCGCAACGCACACCTCTGCCCTTGCCCGACACAGCACCATCCACTCTAACGACTTTACCCCTCGATATCCCTTTTCAACTAGCAACCCATCTCGACTATGGCGATCTCCTGCACCTCAAGCAGACCTGCCAGGCTTTCCACTGCTCTCTCGACCCTGATACCTTGCTTCCCAACTCTTCCAAAATCAACTTCTGTCTCGAAGTCGAGAGGTTTACACGCTACCGTGCCCACCTTCACGCGAGAAAGTCCATCATTGACACTCGTCGTACCGGTCCCAAAGGAAAATACGGTCAAGATCTCATCGGCAAGGAGCAAAAGGTATGCTGCGATTGTTTTATCAAACACAAGCTCCTCCCCCCGGAACCGGCGCCCCCAGAGAGGGTCTGATGTGGTATCTCTGCCTTCGATGCGAGAGGTGGAGGCTCAAGAGCCAACGTTGCCGCTATGCCCATAGACAGCCAATTCCCCAGGGCCCCTACATTAACACCCTCGCCGAGTACGACCAACAATATGAACAGCTGAAGAAAGCAAAAGAGGCCATCAACAACGGGACTGGGTCGCTCCTCCCTCCTGTGGCGCAACCACCCCCTCAACCATTATCACCACCCACCCACCGCCTATCCCCCAGCACCGGACAAAAACCCACCTCTCACACTTGGATCATCTGCCCCCCTTTCAACACCATAGCCATGCACCCAGACCGCTGGGTTCCCTACTCCAACGAACCGCTCTGTCTCTCCCCGTTTGAAAAACTGGACTTGCCTCTGCACAAGAAGATACTGTCATTGCTGCCCTACCAGGAGTTGATGGCGCTGTCCCGGGTGTCGAAGTACTTTCGCCTTTTGCTTCAAGACCCGGCCTTGGCTTGTTCGTCGCTCTACTCGTTGCAAGCCACCACCTGGCGCAGGTGCTATAATCCGCCCGTGTCGGCTGACCGGCCTGTTTTGCCGCTGGTGGCGACCTCACACTTTGACCGTGTTGCTTGCCCTGGGAGCTGGAGGCCAAGGGCCTTTGGTCCCGACTGGGGTATTACACCTGGGGACTATAATAATTTCTGCCGGAGTTGCGTGAAGCGCCGAAGGCATCCGAGTCACTTTAAGGATTTTGCGGGATTGGGAGAGATTTAGGGGACGTATGAGGAGTGGAAGAGCAAGAGGGAGGAAATGAAGCGGTGTACTGGGTGTGGTCTTTTTAGATTCAACGGGAGGGAGTGTGAGGAGTGTGTAGATAATGCTAAGGAGTTGAAGAGGAGGATGGGTAGGTTTTGAAAGGCGGAGAGGAGGTGGGTGAAGAGGAGTGAAATGGGAATGAGGAGGTTGGCGTTCAGGAGGGGAGAGGGTGAGGAGGTTGGAGGAGGCGGTGGTGAGACTGGGGGAGGTGGGGGATGGTGATTCGGAGGAGGTTGACAGGTTGGTGCGTGATCAGTTTCTTATTGGGGAGCGGGCGGATGGGGATGAGTGGGGGTTGGCTGTTATGGAGGGTTGGGGTATGGAGGAACAAGAGAACGGGGAGCAGGGACTGGAAGGGTTGGTATGGAGTGACTAGGTTGGATTCATTGGTGGTAAGATATTTGGGAGCAGTAAAGAAGCTTGGAGCAGCCTGGATAGATACTTGGCTTACACGCAACCCGCGAGGTGCTCTTGCCATGCTCCTGCGGTGGGGATATCCCGCTTCACATCGGTCATTTGGGTTAAGGGAGCCCCAATTCCCACGGTTCAGAGCCTTCTTGCTCAAGTCATCCCAAGTCCTCAACGAGCGGGTTTTCCATGGAGCACGTAAAGAATGGGGCTCAATGCTCCAACCGATTCACTTTGTTGGTCAAAAACCTATATAGATGACCTTCTCTTCCTGTTCCAGTCGGCCCTGCCTCTATTTCCTTCTGCTTTTAGCTGGGCTGTACCCAAACCTTCCAGGTTCAAAGCGCGTTGCGGAACAAAACCGCAATACCCGCGGCAAAATCAGTCAAAATGGGATTCCATTTCATCACCACGGCATTGTCGATTCTCTGTCTCGTCTCTGGCATCTCCCTTGCCACGCCCATTACCTTCTCCGCGTGGACCTACTTGTGGGATGTGACGGGGCAGAAATACGAGACCACGCACAGCAAGATTCGTAAGGGGTTGTACCAGGCGCACGCAGGATGGTTGGTGACGGAATGGCCGGATTATGTGGCCAATCACCAGATTCTTGTGCACTTTGGGGAGTTCTTCTTTAGTATGATGAAATGGGTGGGGAGCGACGGTCAAAAGTACTAGCCATCGACGTACTCGACTATTTACTGGCTTGAGTTTGGCGCGTATGCCGACGAGGGTACAAAGTACTAGAATCGCTGGATAGATGCCAAGGGCGACTGGTTAAAAGACGGCGAGAACAACGACGACTTGGGGGTTCATCGTATATGTTATCATGAGAGGGAGTACCCAGGTTCGTGTGGCAGAGATTAGGGAGACATTAGTTTTATAAGAGCACAGGAAATGCCAAGTCTTTATTCATTCGCTCCAAGTGGGAACAAGTTGGGTTATGAATTCAATAATGTGTATCTACTGTTGAAATCAACCCCTTTGAACTTATGCCGCTGGGAGCCAAATGACTTGCCCACAACGTCAAGGTACTGCCTCGACTTGAAGACGGTGAAACCCTGATCTTAAATGCTCCTTCCCCCTGGATAAATGCCTTCTCTACCCGAGCACTCGGCCCATGTTAAGAAGATCGTACCTTCCTTTCAAACCTCCTCTCGACCACCTGACGGTTTGGCAGAGTTCGAATGATATCATGATATCCACTACACAGTGGTCATTTGGCGGAGCTTTTTCTGCTCGATTGATTCCATCCTGCTCCATTTTTGAGCTTGTGATCAATCTCCGCCCAGGTCTTGCTTCAGATGGGAAATACTCTGTGCCCCTTGTGACCGAGATCTTTGTTGGTATTTTCAGGAGCAGTCCAATGGTACGAACCATCCGAAGGGACATCATGGGACTGTCTGGGGTGTATATATAATCCCTCTTCTTGAACTCCTCCCTTTACTCTTCTTTTTCCTACCACCAACACCTCCAAGTGGAAACACCAGCAACTGCCCAACGCATTTTGTACCGACAACAATCTGACCTCATTCACGGCACAGTCACCATGAAGCTCGACTTCATCACGCCCGCCTGGGCTCTCTCCTTGATGTTTGCCATCACCAATGCCAGCATCGTCTCTCAGCCCGTCCGCCGCGCAGAGGACAGAAAGACAGATTACAGCTGGTACTGGACCGGCCTCTCTATCAACACCACCACCGACAGCCCCATCTCTGCCATCCAGAGCGTTGTCGTAGTCCCCAAGTTCTTCCCCCCGGCCACCAGTGAAAAGGCCAACATCAGCTTCGTCCTCCACCTCGGCACGGGCGCCAACTGTGGCTCCTCCGCTGCCGTTGGCATCGACATGAGGGTCAAGACTGATGGCACCGCCGACATAGCCGCCTGGTCTCATTCGTCATACGCCAGCGGCGTCGAGGTGGCAACGGTGCACTGGCTCGACGAGCAGCGCGGCAAGCGGTTCGACATTCAGCCCGGCGATGAAGTCACCCTCAAGATCAAGACGCTCGACAGCAGGAACTTGTGGGTCTATTGGAAAAATGCCCGGACGGGCGAGCACGAGACGGTCATGATCGGGAACTATCACAACGACGTCTGTCGTTCGTTCGCCGCGTGGGTGACGGAGCGTCGCCCAGGGGAGATCATAGTGGATGACAAGAAGGGCGATTTCAACCACATCGGGGAATTTGGAACCGTGATCTTCAAGGATATGCAGTGGGGAACCGAGGATGCGCAGGTGTGGAATACTGGTGAGAGGAAGGGCCCTGCCACGGAGAAGTGGTATCTACTGGGGAGCAACGATGGGTGGGGGGAGGTTGTCATGCTCCGTTGTGAGTTCTTCCAGAACAAGCCGGATATCACCCCTGACGGCATGATGTGTACACAGGGAAAACTAGGCGATTCTTGAAGAGAATCAAAAGGGTAGCAGATTTTTGTTTGAGCTGAGTTTCGAGTGGTTAGCAATCTGAGCAATGCAAGGGGGAGTCGCCATCACTCAATGCCTGAAATGTCGCGACTAGATGTGTGTGTGATGAGATCCCAGTTGACAGGACAGAGCACGAGCCATGTGTCTCCCAAAAAGAGTGAAGCAACCATCCCGTGGTATTTGGTTTAATAAAAGGCTTTTGCAATATTGGGAATGCCACATCGTCCACGGAGTCCAAGGTGCCTCAAAGAATGTGAATAATACTTGTCTTATACAGGTATCCAAAAGGGAAGACTAAAAATACAAAAATAACCAAGGTATCCAAGAACAAAAGCCAGAAGAATACACAAACAACTCCTCATCCAAAGAATGCTTTCCATATCATGTCATCATTCTCCCGATTGTCAATCTAGTGAGTGCCATTGAAACCATTGCTCTTGCAGCAGCTGGCGCCGTTGCCGTTGGCAAAAGCAAGAGTGCTAAGCTTGTCGGTAGCGTCCAAAACACCCTGCTTGCCGGCGAGAATCTGGCTCGGGGTGCTGGCATAGCTGGGAGGAACATCCATCACCGGGTTGCCGGCGAAGAAGTTTCGAGGGCGGAGGAGAAGCATCATCGGCTCGGCAGGCATGACGGGGAAGTCCTCGGGGGACGGGAAGTGGGTCACGCCAAAGGTGTGCCAGAGGACAATGTCGGTGTTGTCGATGGAGGTGGTGCCGTCACCAATCCACTCGGTGATGCCGCGGGATGGCTCGCCAGAGGTCTGGGGGACGTGTTTTCCCGCGGGCCAGAGCTCGTCGTCGCGGTACTTGGTGACGTGAACGGCATGTCTGGCAAAGGCGGCGCGCTTCCAGACCAGGGAGCCCTCCTTGGGTATGAGGCCGGGGACCTCTCTGCTGACCAACTTGTAGCTGACGGGCTTCTTGCTGTAGGGGTTGAGCTTGTTGGTGTTGGCGATCTCCCAGGCGCGGGAGGTGGCGCCGTTGTAGTCCGTCATGGCCTCGCCCTCGGTCACGAGCTTGGCGCGCTTGTTGTAGAAACCGTTGCCGTAAAAGTTCTCGGGGCTGCCGACGGGGGCCTCGCTGGGGACGGCGTCGTTGACGAAGACGGTGTTGTTGGGACCGTCGATGTTGGCGTCGATGCGGAGGCAGAAGAGATGCTGGTGGTTGTGGGCGTTGACGCCAGGGTAGACCTGAGTGCCCCAGCCCTTGGTGTCCTCGTCCTCGAGCATGGCGTAGGTGTTCAAGATACCGGTGAGCTTGATCTCAGGGGCAATGGTGCCATCCTGGTGGAACACCCAGGCGACGACGTACTCGTAGTTGGCGGCGGTGAAGATTTGCTGGATGATCAGCTTGCGGCCACGGGTGACGATGACGGAATCGTCACGGAAGTCGCTATGCTTGAAGAGGATGCCGGCATCCTCCTCGTGAATGCAGATGGCATTCTTGATGGTGCGAAGACCACCATCACGGGTGGGGAACTCGGCATCCATGTAATGAATGGAGCCCTTGCAGTCGCAGCCAAGGGACAGGCTGTTGGTCATGTAGCCAGCACCATACTCACCCTGGTCAAGAGCGTGCTTGCGGTGGTGGGGGGCCTCGGGGTTACCGTATGGGACGACCATTTCGGCGAGAGAAAGTCTGTAGAAGATGGGGCGGACGGTGCCCTTGTCGTTGAAGGTGATGTTGTTGAGCACGATGCCTTCTCTGTAGTTGAAGCCGATGTGGAACTTCCAGTTTTGCCACTCAATCTCCCTGCCGGTAAGCTTGAACGAAACACCTTCGGGCTGGGTGATGTTGATGGGCTTCAGATCGGTGCGGTAACCACCACGGGCCTCCACCGCAGCAGGATGATAGTCCATAGGCGGGGCCTTGCTGAGGGGGCGGCGGACCTTGGGGATATCGATGGCAATGATCTCACCCTTGTCGGCATCGTAGATAGGGCAGAAGTCAAGAGGGTACTGGTACTGGCAGTTGTCGATGTCTGGACGGTAGTACATGAGTGCCTGTTGCAACCGCACCTTGTTGCCAAACCGCTCATCGTAGCCAATGGTCCATGGGTCGCAATAGACCTTGTGCATGTCCTCTGGGGCAACACCGCTGATGATGCACTGTTCAATGACCTTGGGGTCCTTGCGGACGACGTGCTCTACCAGCTGGAGCTCCTCCATGGTGATCTAGCATGTAAATCAGTGGCTAGGTCAGGAAACATCACACAGGGGTAAATCTCACAATAGGCTGCTCTCCATCCAACAGATCCCACTTGGTGATCTTGGCCTCAGCAAGATCAACGAGACCATCGTAGACCTTTCCACCGGGAGCGATCACCACAACATCAGCAAAACGCTTTGGGCGGGGGGTGGTCTCGGGGTTGGCGAGCCATGCTGTCATCTCAGCCTTGCGAGGCTCCTGGAGAGAGACGACATTGAAGAAGACTTGGCCGTGAGCCTTCTTGACGATGTTGATGGCCGTCTCAATCTCGCCCAGAGAGAGAGGGTCGAAGGGGTGAGGGAGGTCGGCGACGATGGAGCCCATTGTGAAGGTTGTTTCGAGACTAAGGAAAGAAGAAGTGTTCGAGCTGCTGTGCCGATATCGAGATCTCAACTTCCTGGTGAGACGAGGAACAGTCTTAGATATAGCCCTTTTCTCTTGCCTCCCATCTGTCCATCTTCATCACCACGGCGTGCTGCCCGCATTCCTTGCCTGCCCGGCTTCGGCCGCTGTCGTCCCATGATGATTGATAAGAATTGCAAACGCCTGATTTGTCAATCAGAGTCTTTGGTGTGATAAGGGGTTCTGGAGGGGTGGGCGCGCGGGCATTCAACCCCGCCATGTCGTTCAACCACCACATCGAGGAATAGCGGCGCGATAACAGGGCTTATCAGCAGTGGTCCAGTCAAAAGGTTGACAAATGACAGCCCCGCGCTAGCCATCTAGTGGCATCGTCGCATCGTCGTCTCCAGCCAACCGGCGCGCTGTTGATTTTCTCTGCGGATGCCGAAGCTCGGGAAGGAGGGGCAGGCCGTCGACAGATCTCCGAGTTGCCGACTGGCGGGGGGCATCAGCAGCTGTCAAACATCGAGATGCCCCGCACTCGACTACCATTTCGAGGAACACTCGGTCAATGGAGGGGGACTTTCTCGCCTGTCCTGGAAGCCGTTGAACAGCTGCTGCATGTGAAATATATTGGGTTGCACCCTCATTGCATTATTCCCATGAGCTGTCCATGTCCCATCCAGCGGCACTCAACATCAACAACATGCGTTGAGACATGTAATAGAGTCAGGTACTGGAAACAACGATTGTCCCCACCACCATGCACCTAGTGACGACGGTCCGCCAAATGTGGAAAGGGCGTCAGACTGCAAGAGCCATGTGGGAATCCACTTGGCCTTATCTCGAATCGAATCGATCTCCAAGGCTCGCCGTCGACACAAATCACTACACTACGCCTGTAAGACACCTCAGATATCAGGGCAAGTCTTCTACCTAATGCTAATGAGTCAACCCGGTCAAGAGAGAGGAACCGGGGCCAGTTTACAAGACAAATCCTCTTACTTCAGGCTTCAGAGGATCTGGAGCGCTGAAATTGTCGACAAAATTTGCCACCTTCTCCGAATCTGTCGGGATCAAGCCCAGTTGTTGGTGGGTGAGAATCTGTTCAGGGGCTAAGGAGCTTCTATCAACCCTAACCCTTACTAACAATGCAGTGTTGGAGCACTCATAAGGAAAGCGAATTACTAAAGCCAATAACCAGGTGATTCTGTAGTTATGCCTAGCTTTTCTCTTCTGAGGTCCTGTTACCCTTGGGAAAGTCCCTTCACATCCTGAGAAGCTGGAAGAGTATAGTCAAGGGTTAGGGTTACAGGCGGGATGCTGATCACCAAATGCAAATCACGGGTCTAGGTGAGCACTGCCTCAACACTACGTGCGGCACAGCGGTGGAGCAACAAACTTTGTCCAGTGGAGCTTGTGAGCTTGGTGAAGCGCAGAGGATCAATTCCATCCAACTTCATATCTGGGCATTTACGCATCCTGGCGCAAGAGAGAACAAGCCTCTGTCGCGACTCTTAAGAGACATCGCCAATATGGACATTTTCGGCATTCTTCTTTTACCAGTTCAACGTTTGTACCTAACGCCATGGGCGAAGGATGACCCCTTTTCCACCCAGCCAATACGATCAAGCGTTAAACCCCCATAAGCTGCAAGGGTCAGATCAGATCCCAGTTTGGATGTGACCTTGTTGGTTCAAGCCGCACAGTCGCGCTTCGCGATGTTCCTGACTGTCGGTCAAGACAGCGTCCTTTTTTTCCTCGCCCAACATCAGTGCTTTCCTACGCTCTTTTGCTAAACGGTTATGTAGCGGATGGCCTTGTACGGCGGAACCAGCCGACCCCTGAAGACCGCCGCCATCAGTCAGCACCAGAAGGATTCGGCTAGCCTACTTTGAGTCCATCCGTCCACAACACAATTCTTCACCTCATCAATTCAGCTTCGCGGCCGTGGATTGTAGGCGCCTGAACGAGGGACTACTCACGATACCTGCGTGCTCCACCGAGGGCGTGTCGGTTTGGTGACCGCCCCGCCTAATCGACCTCAAGGCAACATGAGTATGTTTTACCTTGACGTCTGGATAAGCGGCTTTGCCGCCGCCCATGCCGTACTTTCTGGTATTTGGATCACACCACTGCTCGTCCTGTGGTTTGTGAGTCTCTGCGTCGTCCGCCGAAGGGTGACCCCGCTAGAGTGGGAGTGGCGTGGATGAAGGTGGTGTACCCGTTCTGGATCGTGTGAGCAACCACACCGAGCGCGCTTCGTTTTACAGTGTGCTCTCAGCTAACTGGTTGTCTCTTGAAGTTCGTCATTATGCCAAGTGGCCCAAGTCGGCTTGAGCATTTGGGGATTCAACGACATTGCTGGCAGAATAACAAAAACAGAATACTTTGAGCTAGCGGTATCCCTTGTTCTCTTCCTCGCCGAGGCGCTTCAGAATATCTCCGATATCCTCCTCTTTATAGCCTTCGTCGAGATTGGCAGCGGCTTTGTGTTGTGTTTGAACGGAGCGAAAAAGTCACCTATTCGAAGACGCCTAAGATTCGCTGCCTTTGCATTGGGCATTATCTTGCTGGCTCTTGCTCTTACGCATTTTGGGGTTCGTCTCCAAGCTGATATCGCTCACAGATCACAGCTACAGAAGTTGAATGATCTCCATGTTACAGATGGATTGTTCGATCCGGCCAGCGAAGCAGCGCGTTTATACTTCGCCCTTCAGGCAGGAGCACAGGATGCTCATTTCGACTCTCTTATCAAATCAAGCCATCTACATAATGCCTTTAACATTTGCTTGTGGATCACCAGTCTTCCAATCCTTGGGTTTGCCTCCTATGTGCTCCACCATACAAAGGAAAATATCATGCTGAAAAAGGCAGGTCGACAACCTCCAACTGTGCAGACGGACTTGCTAACACTATACCCAGGTCGCCGCCTTGTATTTGACATCAACAATTCTTACATTCTGTCGCCTTCTTGTCACAATGGGCATTAACCTCAGCGAGTATGAAAACCATAGCCTCATCTGGTCTGGAAACATTAAAGGACATACGGGTATCCGCACAGATATCTTACCCTTAGTTGAGGCCTTCTTCAACTACACTCTCATGTTCATCGTTCTCACGCTCTTGTTCGTCGTGGCCATCCGAAAGCGAAGAGGTCTCTGGTCCAATTCCCAAATGACTTGGGATGCATCAAACAAGTTGTCCAACGTTGCAACTGGTTCCTCCCCTACCTCTGAGACTCCAGGGTACTCGGATGATGGCCTGCAGGAGCACGGGTTCTGTCTCGAATCTCAGCAAACAGAAACATCTTCTCATCCGACAGATCCTCAACCATCCAGCCAACCACTTCTGTCTTCAGCACCACCTGCGTTGCCTCGACAACCCCCCCCTGCAGCGCACCTAGATCCAGAACCTATCTCAACCGCACAGCAAAGAATCCCACGACGACCGCTTGCCCCATCGATACCTCTATCACCAACCAAACCAAGCTCGCCATCAGGCACACCATCCTCACCACAAAGTATACACCCAGTCCACGGGGGGTTTCTGACACGTCAGCGGACTATCGAGGAGTTGGACGCGCAAAAGGTGTTGGTATTAGAGATGTCACCAATACACCATCCACACAGGATCCCTTCCAGCGACGATGGAGAAGAAGTGGCGGATGGATTTCAAATGCAGAATCGCGCCCACTTGAATGTAGGAGAAAGCTCGGCAAATGCTATGGTTGCCACTAGATACCAGGCAGCGCAGGGGCATGATCCATCTTTGGAAGAAGACACAGAGCTGGAAACGGTGGTCGACGGGTTTCAAATGGGCTCGGCACAGAGAAGGACAAAGGAAGTGGAATCGACAACCAAATCCCAGAAGTCCCAAGACCATGACGAACCTCTTGCGGAGTCAGACGTGGTAGCTGATGGGTTTCAAATGCAATCTAAGCTGCCGAGTTATGACGAGGCGGCCCCGGCGAGGACTGGGTTAGGGTACTTGAGGGAGAAGGACGACCAAGATAAGAAAGCGAGGGGGAGGGCGAGATCATTTTGACGGATTACCTGGCATTATGGCTGTCAAATGAACAACGTTGATGTCGTTCCGGTGGTGGCACACTTGTTTTTGCTGGGATGAAGGCAGGGTGGGTGTCCAGGCGAGTTGCATATACCCTTTGATCTGTTTCACTATTTCTTATTATATATGTACATATACTTGGCTGAATGGCGTTTGTGGAAGACACTGTTAAAAAGCATAAACGGGCGGTCGACCCGATGTTTATTAGGTTGGGGTGGTTTCTGGGGAAACGTCACGTACTGGTTTTAGCTTTGTTCCGGCTCTTGATAATTGTTTTACAGCATTTCACCATTACAATAAGGATGTAAGGCGACTGTCTATAATGACCGATATATTTTATTTAATATAGATTTCCCATTGAGGAGCATGTTGATTTGGAATTAGTTCCTATTAAGTTTATTCCATCATCGATTATCTATATACAATGACCTTGGCTGATATCAATCTTCCCAGCGATATTTTTTCGTTGTTTACGATGTCAATATGGAAGAATGTTAGAGAGTGTAAGTATGTAACTCAGACATTTCTTTGCAACGTCATGATCAATATGGTGAACTTGGTCGATGGCTGTTTACCAAAAGAGTGACATAATGATACTTCTGAAATGACAGGACCTTGATTTCATGGCGGTCATTCGACTACATCCTAGCCTCAACTCTCAACCCAATATCTCCAAAGCAAAAGCGGGTCAAGTGACATTATCAAATTTCTCAGAACGCGGGCATTAGACCCGTAGGTTAGCATAAGGGTGATGAGAGAACCCTTCTCCAGATCAATGAAGGGACAAACGAGCCATGAGTAGTGTCAGTAGCCAAAGGTGAATGGGTCAAGAACAAAGGCGAAGCTGAAGAAATTAGTAGTATTATGTACTCAATCTATGGCTCCGTGGCCATCTATGTGTGTGGTAATCCTCTTCTGTCCTATCTTTTTCCCTGCCCCCTCCATTCTCAAGCATCAACTTGTTCAATATCCATCCCTGATCGTCGAAAATCGAATAACAAACAACACCCTGCCAGACATTATCCTCCGCCAACGATTAAAATAAACGTAATTTCGCCCGAAAAGTTAATGGCCCTGGTCCTCGACCAGACACCAGTCTTGCCTGTCAGTTGGCAATGAACGAGCAAATGAAAGCTCAAAGCAGTGAATGCTGCAGGGTATATAAAACGCCCAACCCAATGTGATGCCCTGAAAATGCCATGTACGCCGATGATGTTCTGTGACCCCAACCATGCTGCCCCAAAAAAATAACGTTGCGCCAATCCTTGCATTTTGACCAAAAAAATGTTGGCTCCTTCAACGGCGCCGGACGCTGAATAACCAAGTCCTCCACCCCTTTCTCGAATCTGAGTTCCCCTTCTCCTCGCCGTCATCCTCCGTGTCGAGGTCAAGGCGGTACCGAATCACGCTGCCTCTGTCGTCCTCGAACCCCACCCTTCGCTTGCTTGGGGGCACAAAGCACTCTGGGACGACATGACGCATAACCCAGCCGCGAACGCCCTTGCTCGCGGCATCAATGGCCGCATACTCAAGTCGTCGCGTCTGATCGCTTGTCCAGTAATGCGTCGTCTGTGGAGGGAGTGAATAGACCGCAACCTGAGATTTGTGTGTGTGGTTGCCTTCAGTAGCGAAATCACGAGGGTTGTGAGAGCCTATGGTATCGTCCAATGCCGGCTCCGAGGTGAATTCCGGCTGTGGGAAGTGAAAGTAGGAAACCTCTTGTTGAACCTCCTCCGATTGTCGGTAATCGGGGGAGGGCGAGACAGAGTTGCGGCTACTTCTTTGGAGTTGCGAAGCTGGCGCAGACCTGGGAGATCGCCGGGTGGCAGGCCTGACACGTTTCCGGCCGCTTGAAGCCAAAGATGTTGTCGAGGCTCCCTTGTGATGAGATGGGAATGAATCCTTGCGGGCTGGTGTGATTGATTCATAGCCCGAGTCCTGTCGCCGCATCTCCCAAGCTACCGGTGGACGTTGATGAGTAATGGGAACAGATGTAGGAGCTGGCAAACGAACAGGCGGCCTCGAGGTAGGATTGGAGGGTGCTGGTGGTGGTACCTCGGGTTCCTGAAGATCGAGATCCTGAAAGCTATGATAGGTTGAGTGGCTGGAAGCTTCAGACCGCGCGAAGCTCACCCGCGAGTCAGGGCGGTCGATAGACTCTCTCAGATGAAGTACAGCGGCAGCCATGTTGTCGTCATGTAGTCGAGACCTTGGGACATTAGATTGGGGACGGATTTGGTGGCAAAGTTTCCAAAAAGGCCAACCGGGAAAAATAAGCAACGGGACGGGAAGGCGGGAGAAGCGTTCTTCTTGAATCCTTCACCGCGTGGAGCCCCGGTGCGGGTGTGGAGTGTTCCAGATCGGCGGTTACCGCAGGGAGGACTTTGGTTCCGTCAAAAGTTGCGGTCAAAGCCAACCGGGCCCGGGCTTGCCCCTGGTCCTTTGGTGAGCGGGAGTAAACAACCGGCCACCGAGTGGATATAAGTGGAGTGCTGCGCTGCTTGACCGACAGCCGTCAACTGCACGGTTTGACACCGCTGTTGACACCACTGCTCGACCTGCAGCACGGCAAATAAAATGCGTCACTTGCCTGCCAACCACTCTGCTATTGGCACGTCACACACCCGCAAATGCAGGCCCATGCAGGCCCAAAGGAGGGGTTCCCAAAGCTTGGGATGCGAGAAATCGTGTGTGTCGGGTCAAAAATATTTAAAAATCTCATGACGAGATGTTTGTGAGCCCCAACACCGGGTTGCGGGGAAATATCTCGATCGAATGCTCGAAGGCCCGCAGAAGGATGTGAAGATTTACTAGAGGCTGGGCTCTGGGGATGGTGGTTCGTGACGGAGGTGAGATTCCCCTTTCGGCGCTTCCAGGACTCCAGGAGATGGGGTCCGGCCAGTCGGAAGATGTGTGGAAAAATCTTGATGGAATTTCTGTTGAGATCGTGATACTTGTTTCTGGCGGTCAGAAGCTTGGACAGGGCGGTGACGGTGACAGACCCCACTACGTGGATCCACGTGGGGAAGTTGGAGGGGTTGGAATCGGTGGGCCTTGGACCACCAAAACGTCGGTTCTGAGGATTGGTGAGACAAAAAAGAGGTGAAGTTTGTGCGTGATGCTGTCACGGGTCTTTTGAAGAGTGAATTCTGACGGGAAAAGAGGGATACGGGCAACGAGGGGATTTTGAATGGAAGTTATGTCGGTTTTGAGTGAATTCCAAGTGCCCAGTCCCCTGTCAAGTTAAGGGTTCGGGTTGTTTGGCCGAGGTAGCGCAACCCTGCCGATACCGCTTCCAGATCAGATGGCAAAGCGGGAAGGGCTGCTGGAAGGTGACCCGAAATCCGTCCAACCTCTGGCAGGCCGTAGGGCAAAGGAAATCGAAGGCGTAGAAGCGTTACTTCTTTGCGTGGTAGCGGAAGCTCAATGTGCGACCGTTGCACGCCAAACGGCCCGGCCGTTGTTCGATCCCAGTTGAAAAGTTTTCCAGAGGTCAACAAGACAGATTAAGGGGATGTGAGTAATGCGCGCGCGTACCCCGCGATATATCAGCTTCTCTATGTTTGGGTACATGGACTGCATTTACGTAGGTGGCTATCGAGCTGAAGGGTGACCATATGCGTGAACAAGGCACAGAGTACCCTCTCTGTCTAACACACCACCAGCTTTCCCATCACAGCCTCCCTCGCATGTCTTTGCGGCCTATTTTTGACCAGCGAGCATGTGGTTCCATCGGATGAGGGGCACACGGAACAAGCTAGTGGTGAGATGAACATTTTCACATGCCTCACATGCCAGTGAAGACTTGACCAAGCATCTCTACGTTGCTGTCGAGAGGTTATCTTCCAATCAACGGACTTGTGTTCCGAATGCTGAAACCCGAAGACAGACGGCCAACCATGGTCGTCACTTGTCCCGGTCCACGGACCAACCAGAGAAAGTAGGGCTCCAGCTTCCGCACTTTCGCCGGTCCGTCTGAGACTTTGGCCAGGTGATGCTAATAATCGCTGTGATGGCACGGCGCACAAGCTGCAAATGGTCCGGTGGTAGTCGTGGCGCGCGCTTCTCCAACACTCATCTTGCCGTAACAAATGTGGCTTGGAACAGGTGACACCTTGCCCAGACTCGCCCACCTGTCCGGACCCCATCAACAACCCTTCTTGTCTTTCCAGTTTTGCTTCATCGTTCCAAGTGTCCTCGTTTCTTTGTCTTCAGCGTGGGGGCTAGGTGGGGGTTCATGGGGGTCAACATTATTGTTCGCTGAATGTTCAAATTGTCGGCAACTCAAGAAGCCGAACGAAGAGGCCCCAGCTCTTTGTTTGTGGTAGACACAATGGCACTGTCAACAAGGGTTCCTCTTCTTACTTAAGCTCCTGGATTGCCTCATCTTCGAAAAGTTTTAGCCGTCCTCATCCCTCAGCGAAACCCATTTCCAGACACTTGACACCGTCAGACGATTCTTTCTAACAAGGCCGTTTGCTTACTTCACTGCACACACAGAAGAACAAGCAAGCAACCCAAAACCACACAACCTCAGCCTTGTTGGTGTAAGAGTCTTCGACTTGAAGTAGTCAAGTGCGTCAGGAAAATCATAACTGAACTCCCAACCCCCATACATCTCTTCCGCCATGGCCTTTACCATCACGAACCTGGCTTACTGCCTCTGGGAGATGTTTATGGGACCTGGTGAAGTACCCCCTTCAGATGATTACTTCACCGTTTCCTGTTCCGAGACCCCAGCTGTTGATCAGTCTGAGTCTCGATATGCTGCTAACACCTACGACCAAGCTCTTGATCCATCGGTGAGTACATATGTGAGAGCCAACCACGACTGGCATACTTGGGCTACTTCTCCTACCGTAGATCCTTCTTATCTCACCATAACCCATGGGAACGCTGCAGGCAGCTCCTTCCCATGTCCCTCCTCCTTTACTCGCTCTTCCTATTCGAGCTATTCAGAAGTGAACTCGGCCACCTCT